AACCTCCGTAGGTTCAGAAGGGCCGACCAGTTGTTTTAGCAGGATYGTTTAGTGCTGAGTCACAGCAGTTTGTCTGCCAGAAGCAGGCGAACGGGAGCTTGAATTCAGCCGATCCGGGCTCGGTGTGTGTTCTGAGAGGCCCAGACTGCTCGCCCCAGATCCACGTCAGCTCAGCATTGCCTAGTGATCCTGAGCAAACAGCATTTAGAYGGTTTACAACTCCCTATGCCCGCGCAGCTGAAGAGGTCAGAGACTTGATCTCTCCGCGCCCGCCGCCATGTTGGATCTAATCTTAACTCTTTGAAGAACCAAAGCCAAGAGAGTTCTTGTCCTTCATTCTGTATTTGTTTGACTCTTCATAGAGCCATCTAATTTGTCTCATTTTTCCTGCCTTGGGCAGGGGTTGGGGGAGAAGATGTATGTTAGCATCCAGAGGACCAGTCCTGGTTTAAAGTCACGTGCTGTAAGAACTCCTAATTTTCAGAAGATTAAAGACCTCCTGTCCCCTACCAGAAGCTGATTGCTTCCTAAGGAGCTTTGGTGCCGTCATAGCTAAATGTAGGTGGAACAGGAACTAAACAGAGGATACTGAATTCTTTTATGTATAAAGGTGAACTTATGTAGAAGAGATGTTAGGTAGTCACAAAAGGTGTGTTGGTTAGAAGGGTTTCATGCTTAAATTAGGGAACAACATAGGTTTATCTCTTTATGCTACCTCTTCTGCACAGGATCTGCTTCAGTGCAGTTGAAGTTATCAGTCAGAGTAATCTACTTCAGCCAGGGCTGGCTGAAGATACTTATTTGATTATTTAATGTGTTTGCATGGCCAGCAGAAGGAATTCATGTACTTCTAGGGGTGAGGGGGAAAAAGGAATTAGCATGAAAGATTTTTTCCAATTCTCTATTACTTCTCCTGTTTATRCAATGTTTATTTATCCCAACTATAAACAAAAGTTATTACCACTGTAGTTTGATTGATGATTAAGACTGTGAAACTTATTGAGACAATCATGTTTACTTTTTGGCTACACTAACAAAATCAGAGTGGAATCTCTCTACATATAGATTCTATATTTCATTACATGTCTAAAAATCCTAAAAAGTTGTTATTCTCGGGTTGGGGTTATGGCTCAGCGGTAGGGCACTCGCCTAGCATTTGCCAGGCACTGGGTTTGATCCTTAGCACCACATAAAAATAAATAAAATAAAGATATTTTAAAAATTATAAAAAAGTTGTTATTCTCAATTCTCAAAATAATTACATTGTTTCTGAGACTATCAGAACAGATATCCTGGCTATATTACTAAATATTACAAAATGCAAACAAAAATGTTCCCTGTTCAGAGTTGCCTGGTAGTCTACTGGCTTGTTTGTCTCCATCTTGACCAACCCCAAAAGGAGGGAAGAAGTAGAGAAAAAAAGGTAGATACAGAAGACAATCTGGGTGCTCCCAACTGTTTTCATTCTCTTGGAAGAAGTAGTATTCAAGTCTCTGAGAAAGACACCAAAATTCCTTTTAATTCAGCTTGCCCAATATCAAGAACCTTCCATTGACCTGTGAAAAACAGGGGACCTTGAGAAGATATTCTTGGCAAAGATGGTCCAGTTGAAGGAATTGGGATTTTCTACCCAAATCATCACAGAGGAGACTCACATGCACGAAAGGAATGAATGAAAGAGGGTGTTCTGATTTCCATTTATTGAGAGATTAACTTTTGAAATGAAATTCTAAGCTCTCAAGGGTGACTAAAATCATTCCCCTATTTCCACGCCATCTTAAACCTCACATTATTTCATTAGGTTTGTGAAAGATACTTTTTACCATTGTATTATATATTAGTATTAAGTAGAGTGGTTCCCCTCTATCTCTGGGTTCTGGAGGTACAGCCCCAATTTCTTTCTTAAGTTACTGCTTGTATATTGAGTTCTTTTACCATGTAGAAGAAATTTATAGGACACTAAAATAATCTTCTCTGGAATAAATAATTTTGCTATTTTTAGCATAACAATCATAGAAAGCTTTTGGAGCTTGGGGTGGGTTTGGGCAGGGGGAGTAAAACAAACAACCTAGCACTACCCTAGGTCAATTTCAGATGAAGAACCTATAATCTGTCTGATGAAAGTTATTCAGTCCAATAAATAATACTAATAGAAATAAATGTCATTATTTCAAGTACATATAAATTAGCCAAATTAGGTTTCCTTTTCCTGGAGGTAAATGAAGTTACCAMGTCCATCAATACAGGGTTACTTGCTTTTTTCCTAAACGAATAATACCGCTTCATGTCTTCTTTGACATGAACATATTGCTTACTCCTGGAATGTCCTTCCCTCACCTCTTCATCCACTACTTGTCCTAAAAATTCACCTTCCTAGAAATTTTTTTCTTTTTCTTTTCTTTTTTTAAAAAATTTTATTATTTATTTTTTAGTTATTGGCGGACACAACATCTTTGTTGGTATGTGGTGCTGAGGATTGAACCCGGGCCGCAAGCATGCCAGGCGAGCGCGATACCAATTGAGCCACATCCCCAGCCCCTAGGAAATTTTTCTGACCCCTAATTTGTGGTCCCTCATTTGTGTTCATTTAGCATTTGTATCATGATACTTTGCACTGGAATAATGAACCAGACCTCACATTCCTGGAGGTCAGCAACCATGTCTCATTCAACTTTATCCTCCAAAATGCTCCAAGGATGGCATCAGACACATTAGCAGTGAGTGCTCAGGAAATACTCCAACCCCAACCCTCTATTTTGTTTTGGTCTCAAACAAATATATTTCATAGATGTTCTTTTGAGATTTTAGCCAAAAGAAACTGATTTCTCTAAGTGAAATAAGCCTCTTAAATTCACTGACTACAACTACTTTGATCAAGTCACTTTATTCAATGAATATGAATATTCATGTCCTATACACTGTTCTAAATCCAAAGAATCCTGTTTCAAAGAGTTTAGAAGATGGCAATAGTCAATTCACCTCTTATAGGAATATAGCACATTTACAGGCAATGTGAGATTAGGATATGTACAGTATTGTGAAAATCAGGAAAGAAGTGCAAATGATGCTGTTTAAATGAATTTGAATTGTTGAAGTTCAATCAGGAAGGAGGATGCAGAGAAGGAAAACAATTAGTAGACAAATAGCAGATGGCATTTGATGCCTGCTTTGGGGTTGCCAAAGAAAACCAGAGCCAGCCTGGTACAGAGGTGCACGACAGTGATCCCTGCAACTTGTGTGGCTGAGGCAGGAGGATCACAAATTAGAGGATAGGGCTGGGGATGTGGCTCAAGTGGTAGCTCACCTGGCATGCGTGGGGCCTGGGTTCCACCCTCAGCACCACATACAAACAAAGATGTTGTGTCCATGGAAAAAACTAAAAAATAAATATTAAAAATATTCTCTCTCTCTCTCAAAAAAAAAAAAAAACAAACAAAAACAAATTAGAGGATAGCCTGAGTAATTCAGCTAAACTCCGTTTTAAATAAATAAATAGGCCAGGGAATGTAACTCAGTGATAAAGCACCCCTTGGCTCAGTCCCCAGTATAATGATGATGATAATAATAATAATAATAATGCCAGCACCAGACAGTAAAGTGGTAAATCATGATTTATGAAGGAACATGAGACATTAGGATATAGAACCGGGCTCAACCGCCATATCACAAGTTTGTGAATAAAATCTGTTTTTAAGGAAAGATAGGAGATATCTCTTGAAAATCAAAGGAAGATCAACAGAGGAAAGGAACCAGGGGTGGGAGATCAGGAGGGAGGAGGGAATTGCTGGGGAGTGATATCGGCCAAATTATGTTGTTCTGTTGTGTGCATGTACGACTATGTAACAAATTCCATCATTAAGTACAAGTAAAATGCTCCAATAAAAAAAAATGGAGAAAAAAAATTAGTTTTTAACTCTTTACCCCCACACCACGTCCCAGGGTGATTCAGGACTTTTCAGATAGAAGAATAAACAAACGCAGAGTACTAAAGCAAGTTGGGAGGAAAAGAAACTAACCCAATAAAAGTTGAGAAGTCAAGGCAAATAATTCCCCATAGGGGGTTAAGAGGCAGATGAGGAAAGTAGGTTTCTTCTAGTAATTTAGTGGGGCTATTAAGTGATACTTGGAAAACAAAATGTTTTTATATTTTTTCATGGGAGCTCAAGTAGGAAAGGTAAGTTTGAACAGGGTTGTTTAGAATGCTATGCCAAATTTGGACTTAATTCTGCACATCTAACTGGGAGTCTGGGAGCTGTAGAGGATTTTAGGTCTGACTCTATCTTTGTATGTGACAAGCACCAAGCATCTCCTCTCCCGACTAGAGTATAGCCACTTCTTTTAAGAAATGGGTTGCGTCAGATGTCTGCTTAGGTCCCTTCCAACCTTGACTGTCTGCATCCGAGGTACTCTGCCGGCTTCCATTCCCCCGACCCTGTGCCTCGTTCCCTTTCTTTTTATCTTAGACCAGATACCACCCTCCCGACCCTTCGGCCTTCCTCGGGAGCCTTCAGTCTAGAGCAGGCGAGGGGCGGGAAAACACGTGCCCAGGTAAAACATCTCCGCGGCCCAACTTCCCAGGCAGCAGCACCACCTGGGCAGTGCCTCGAGCCGCATCCGCCCTACAGTGGGCGGGGAGCTGAGTTTCCGGGTCGCTTTTTGTCCCAGTTCCCTAGGGGTGGGAGTCCGGGCCCTCCTCTGCGATCTGCCGCGGGAAGGAGAGCCGAAGCCCGCCCCTCGCGCGTCCCGGGTTTCCCTAAGGAACAAAAGCGTGAGACCCGGCCGCAGCCACCACGCTCTATCGCGACACAGGCCTGGCCTTTGAAAACCGACGGACTTCTAGGGTGCCCCCAGCCCTGCGCTCCGAGAGCTTAAAGAGCCGGGAGCCGRGTCAGGGGGGCGGCAGGCGGCGGCGACGGCGCGCGAGCCGCACCGGGTCACGTGAGGCGGCCGGGACCACGTGACCGGCGCCCTCGTGCTCCGCCCCTTCGCCGCCGGTCGGCTTCGGTGTTCTCTCCAGCTTCTGCGGCTGGCAGAGCTTCCGAGATCCCAGTGGCGTTCTGGGAGCTTGGGCCCGGCCGGCAAGGCGGCGACAGGCCTCGCAGGTAGAGGTGGGTGCGGGTCGAGCTCGCGAGGCCTCCTCCGACCCGGTCCTTTCCCCGCCTCCCTTCCCCGCAGCCGGGCCGGGTGTGCCCCGTTACTCCTGCCCTCTCCCACCTCCCTGCCCCTCCGGTTCCCGGGCTCGCGAGGCGCCGCGTTCCGAGCCGGCTGTGTGGCACTTCAGCTGTCGTTTCTTCCTGCCGAGAGGAGGCAGGGGTGGGAGAGGAGAGCCAAAGTTTTCTTTACTGCTCTCTGTTTGGAGCCGCACGGATGCGGGTATTTTTGTTTTGTTGTTTTTGCTCGCAGCTGAAGTGTTGTCACTGCGCTAGCGCCGTTTTGCTGAGAGGGGACCTCCCTGCTGACTCTCCCCTTCTCCACTTGGTCCTTCCCCAGATATTCGCATCTCCTTCGCGCGCGAGGGTAGTGTTGTCACAAGCTGTAGTCTCGACTTTTTCCTGGCGACAAGGAATCCACAAGAGCGGGGGCGGGGGGACTTATTTTACTAGGGACATTTATCCTGGAGTATTGGGGTAAACTGAGGGAATGGAATTTATCTGTCCTGCGTCTGATAAAAGCCGCCTGCTTTATTTTAAGATGACCATAGAAGAACACTCTGTTCTCTTTACGATGTCTCACCAGCAAATAAGTAGGTGAGACAGCTGCAGAACTCATTGCAGCTGGGTACAATCTTGTTACCATGCTTTCCTTTGCCCTGTTCGCCTCATTAGGATTAAAGTCTATAGAGGGCAAAAATTGAGTTCTGAAGCTGATGTGTTTTGTGAATTGATAACATATGAACCTCAAAGTTCCGAAGGCACGGACATAATGCCCGAAGGCATGGAAAAATGATTGAACCCTGAGGGCAGTTTGTAGTGTGCTTTAAACTTTAAAGAGTGGCTGTTGCACCGGGTGAATTTCACCCCTTTGAACTGTTTTCAGGGTTGAGTATGTAACCATATATTTAGATTCTATTAATACAGCAGTTCATCTGTGGCATGTCTTTCAGTGCATTGTGTGAATACCAGTCTGTGTTAGTACTTCTAGCTAGGTCCTTTTTCTTCTATCCTCTAGGCCATTTCTCTTGGAGAGGAAGTGTGTTAACCTTTAAGGAGTTTTCTGCAAGTGATTTTTATGTCTGTGATTTAGGTGATCAAGTTCTAGAAATTTAAAATAAGGAATAGCTATAAAAACCAAAGCTATCGATCTTGTACCTTTATTCATTCATTCATTCGTTTATTTTAGAAACGGGGTTTCACTGGGTTGCTAGATTGGTCTCTAACGGGTAGGCCCGTGGAATTCTCTTCCCCTCACCTGCCCCAGCCTCTCAAGTGGCTGGGATTACTGGGATTAAAGGTGTGTGCCACCAGTCCCGCCAAATTTGTAGTTAAAAAAAGTTCCTTGTAAGGTTTTTAAAATTAGAAAAAGCCTGTTGTATGTTCCAGCCAGAGCTTGGCCTTATCTTAATTTTCAGGAGCTCTACCATTGACCCAGTCCTTTTTTATTTTGCCACAAGGTCTCATTAAGCTGCCTAAACTGCCTCAAAGCTTGCAATCCTCCTGCCTTCAGAGTAGCAATGATTACAATTGTGTGCCACCATGCCTAGCTTTATTCTATGATTTTTTTAAAAACATTGTATGTTTTGTATGTGTTGAGTAATGCACAAGAGGGATATGATGGGTATTGGTTGAATTTAACCCGAATAGACTTCCTAGAGGGGATCAGTTAGTAATTATCTGTCAATTATATATTTGACCCACAACATGAATTTGTTGTGGGTCAAAATATATTTAAAAAAATATAATTAAAAAAATTAAAAAGTTTTCAAGAACATTTAGTCCACAATACAGTCTTACTTTTTAAATTTTGCCAAGTAAGGGCTGGGGTTAGTTATAGCTCAGTGGTAGAGTGCTTGCCTCACCATGTGAGGCACTGGGTTCGACCCTCAGCACCACCTAACAAATAAATAAAGATATTGTGTCCATCTTAAAAAAAAAAACACTTTAAAACAATAAATTTTGCAAGCAAATCATAGGAGAAAATTTAGAAAATACAAATAAATATAAAGAAGAATGTATATGGTCTATAATTATACTACCTAAAGATAAGTTAATATTTTAGAATATGAGTACTTTTTTTTTCTATACACATTTTTGGGTTGCAGAGTTCAGATGTTGAGCTTTCAGATTATAAGGGATTCGGTGATATCTAAATCCAGCTCATTCTTAAATCTAGGAGAGCCAGTAGCAAGAGTTTTGAAGCTAGGGGCTGAGGTGGTGAATCAGTGGTAGAGTGCTTGCCTAGTTCATGTGATGCAGTGGGTTTGWTCCTCAGCACCACATAAAAATAAAGTTATTATGTCCATCTACTGCTAAAAATAATTTAAAAAAAGGAGTTTTGAAGCAATCCAAATCTATTTGATTCTTAAATTTTTTGATAGTTTGGATAGCAGGAGTTTAAATAGCTAGGGATGCTTGTATATGTGTGTTAGGTTCACTTTTAAAAAGGAGATCATATGAATAAAAAGATCATACCTTTTTATTCATGTGCATAATAAATTGTAAGTTATGAAAGGACTTCAGGAAGTGATGGATCTCATCCAGGAAAACACATACTCAGACCATTTCTAAAAGATGGTGTCTATCCTTCCCACAACCCCAGGAAAGAAGATTCCATGGTTTTCCTGAAATTAGCATTCTACATGGTCAGCTTTTTGCTGGGATATTCTTTCTGAAGCTTAAAAAGTGAGTAGTTTTGGAAATAGACAAAGTCTGTACCTTCTCAAGTGCTTCAATCCTGAACTCAGTACGGTGGAGATATTCTGTGGTATTGTTTACAGCTGGAATATATTGTTTGCAAAGATGACTACTGCCTCCAACTCTTCTCATCACTGTGCTTGACTGCCTGCTCCTGCAGTCAGAAGATAGAGGCTGTTTTTGCTTCGTTTGTATTGAGGCCAGCCACCTGACTTGTTTTGACCAATAGACGGTGGTGGAGGTTATACTGTGCCAGTTCTGGGAATAGTCCTTAAGAGGCATGGCAGCTCTAGCTTTCATTGCCTTAGAAGCCAGTCAGTGTTTATAGAAAAGCTTGGTCTAGACTAGCTGGAAAGAGAAAGACCACTAGAATGTGCCACATATGTGAACAAGGCTTGTTTTAGTTCTAGTTAAATTCCCACTGCCTGTGACCTAGGGAGTAACTCCAGCTTCCTACACTCAAAATTCATTTTCAAGAGAAATGCTATTATTTTAAGCCACAGTTTTGGAATGGCAAGTTACTCAGCAATAGATAATTAAAACAACAACATCTTTTACCATAAAACCCTTGCTATTAATCTGGATCACAGTACAAGTTAGTCCCAAGATGTGAAAAAAAAAATTGTGGTCAACGTATGTAATAGTATACTTTGGTGATACATCTCTAAATCTTTATATCATGTAGGAATGTACTTGTGGATTAGTTAAATCAAAGACTGCCTATGCTCTACATGGTAACTGGTTGAATAAAATAATTTTCTTTTGTGTTACTGGTTATTGTATATGTGATTTTTGTTACTAATTTAAGTAAACACTTTATGATATGATTATCTGCAGGTGTTTTGAAGAAGTGACCTACTATTGTATATGTGCTGCTGAAGGGAGCACAGAATGACTCATTATTGAAACGATGGATGTGTGATGTTTCTCTTGGCAGTTTGCCATTTGATGAAGTTAGCACTGTTTGTAGTTAAATTCTTATAGTAAAGTTGTCAGATCTGTAGTGAACTTGTGTTTGAGAGATGATTCATTTTCAAAGTTTAAGAAGAGTGGATCTTAAGCAAAGTGTCATTTCTGGTGTGACTTTAAACAAAATGATAAGATTTTTCAGGAGCATTCTGTTACTGCTTTTAAATGAAAAAATTCTCTGAGCAGTTATTCCAATTCTGGTTAGAACAACTTTTAAAGAACTCCTGGAGAAGAAAATCTCTACAGGACATGAGAGGGTACCTCAAGCCTGTGGTGGTGGTGGTCTTCTGGGTTCTTCTTGCTTGGTGACTGCTTTAGACTTCTGCAAACATTTTTTTTTTTTTATCTTCAGGTTGCTCCTTTTCTTCCTTGCAACAGAAAGCCTTACTTCTTTCTTTACAGGGAAAAATAATTGACCTCTGAAGAGAATGCTCCCAGATGCAAATCACAACTGCACTAAGATACCATCTCAAACACTGGAGTGACTGTAATGTAAATAGACAATGATAAGGGTTGGTGAAGGTATGGGAAAATTGGAACCCTCATGTAAAAACCCGGGTCACTGGTGGGTATGTAAAGAGAGAAAGCACATGATCATGTGAATGAATATGTCTCCAACATTTGGCTCTGCAGCCTTTAAAGTTTTTCATCCACTTCCTTCCTTTCCTCTTCCTCTTGTGTTGGATTGGAAGACTTTCTGCAGCTTTTATCACATCTCTGCTGCTTTCTCAAGAACCTTACATACTTGTTTTATCTTCTTTTATTGTGCCTTTTTTTTCCCTCCGTACTAAGGATTGGACACAGGGGTACTCTGCTGCTCTGCTATATCCCTAACCCTCTCCCCTTTTTTGTGCTGGGGATTGAACTCAGGGCCTTGCACATGCTAGGCAAGCACTCGACCACTGAGCCACACCTTCCCAGCCCTTTTTAATTTTTATTTTGAGATAGGGTCTCACTAAGTTGCCCAGGTTGGCTTCAGCCATGCACTTTTCTTGCCTTAGCCTCCCTAGTTGCTGGGGTTATGGGTGTGTACCACCACACTTGGCCTCTTTTATCTTTGGTATTTCTACTGGCTCCTTTCTAGGTATTGAACATGTTTAAAATAAGATTACCAAAAAATGTCTCTCAGCTCCATCTTATTTCCACAGTTACCACCTTGGTTCTCTAGTTTCTTTGACAGTCATATTTCTGGAACATGTTTATGCTCATTGCTTTCTTTTTTTTTTCTTTTTTCTTTTTTTTTTTTTTTAGCTTTCACTGCTCAACCTGCTGCAATCTGGCTTCTTCTACCCACAGCCTTACAGATTCTACTCATTGGGGTCATCAGGAATTCTTGTTAGAGCTGTAAACATTCTCAGCTCTTACTTTGGTCTCTCAGGAGCACGGGTGCTGGCATACCTCCTGCTTGTGATGCTCAGTTTGTAGCTCATGACACTGCACTCTGCTGGTTTTCTTCCTTCTTTGTTCCTCCTTTGTCTCTACTGTGGGGTTCACCCTGTCCCTTTCCTGTTAGAGTTTCATCACTTTTTGCCCATGATTGTCCATGCTTCTTACTCCACATACTTTTCCCTGGGTGAATTCATCCCACTAGTCCCCAAAATTTAAAATGTCCAGAATCGAGCTCCTTATTCCTTGGAACCTTCTGTAGTCTCCATTAAGGGAGCGGTATGAGGCGCACTCTCATACTCAGGCCAAGCATCCAGGTAATCCTTGCTCTGCTTTTCCTCTCACCCAGTGCCTGCTTCCCATTTAGTCACAGAATTCTTTGAGTCTCCCTCCTGTTGGGTGTTCTTCCTTTCCCTGGCGTACCTTCCATCCTTTATTTCCTGGCTTAACGTAGCCATTTAGACTCCCTCGGAGCCCTCTTCCTCACCCCCTTTAGTCTCCAAGTTCAGACAAAGTAATCTTTACAGACCTGCATCTGATCATGCTCTGCTTAGACTCTTCAGGGATTACATGTGGCTACTAGGATAAAGCCTGAGTTGCTTGCCTTCAGCCATGCTCACTTTCATCAGACCTTGACCTGGCATATGCTCATTTTAGAGGTGTCACCTCTCTCCAAGAGGTTGAAGCACATTTGCCATTTCTCAGGCTCCCGAAGCCTCTGAAGCCCCACATCCCACCATCAGAGCAGTGGCATTCTGTCATGAGCGTCTCTTCTGTGTCTAGATGTTCCCACCGCATGTAAGCTCTGCTGAGGGCAACCTCTGGGGTTAGCTCTGCCTTGTTTACCTAATGACATTCAGTAAACATTTATTGAATGAATCGAGTATGGTTCTGCCTGTCCATTGCTGGACTTTTAGTTTGGCTTTCATTTATTGCAGGGTACAATTGGGTACTTTTCATTTGGCTGGAGACTAGTGGACAAAATTACTTTCAGAACACTCCCATAGGAAAGCTTCATGAAACCATAAATAAGTTTGAACTCAACTCCTCCATCCCAGCCTTGAACTTATTAGAAAAAATAAAATGAAGTAATACTGTGTTCTGTCCATTTTCCATTTCTTAAACCTTTTAATATCTATTTTTATGTGGTTTATCTTGTTATGCATGTATGTTTGCAACAAAGAACAAAGCCATAGAAAAGTATTATTATTGAGATTTCTTTCCTGGTTTTCATTTGAAAATAAAACCATCCCGGTAAAGGTAGTACTTTTATAGGACCACAGCTTCACAACCCTGGATGTGTTATTCTTTATGGTGTTGATATTGTGGCTACTTGGGTTGCTTGTTATTCCAACCTGAACACATAATTTCAGTAGAATTATTTCTTCACTTACAATGAGCTGTCAGATTCCCGTGTCCTAGAATTGCTGAATACTGGACAATGAGGTAAAAGCAATTCCTTGTATGCTAGGACTGAAGAAATGCTTCTACAGGCCATTACTGCAATTTGTGCTTCAAGTCAAATAATTTATTGTCTGTTGGGAATTGACAGCTATAGATACTTTTGTTTTCCTCTTAAATAAGAGTATTGACTTTGAACCCAACTAATGAGGCAAAGGGTAATCACAATCAGTGTTGGGAAATTCTAAGACAGCAGTCATGTTGTGTTTTAATGGAGGTAGGAGGAGGGTGACTTTTAGTCATCTGTACTTTGATTCTTGGTATCTAGGATGATTGCTTCAGCTGCATCCTTATGAATGATGACAAACTGGTGGAGTTTGGAGAAGGCTACATTCTCAGGTTTACTCTTGAGGAATTTGTTGAGATTCCAGACATTCCTTCCCTTTTATTCTTCTCAGATATGAGCCTGCAGAAGAGAGAACTGGAGGGCAGCTGTCCTAGCAGCTGAGGCAGTAATTATTGTCTCAGCATATCTTTGAAACTTTACATCTTGTTCGCAGTCCTCAAACCATGCAATGGGTATAATAGTTTTAAAGTTGTGTTTTAAAATGTTCAAGATTGATTCAATCTCAGAGGTTAATCTGAACCTGGGAATAATATTTGGTGTCCAAATCAGACGTGTAGCATCTGCTCATTCTCACAAGGCCCATCAGAACAGGTTGAAAGAAACTGGTGTGAGTAGCATCAGACTCTTCTTTAACTCCAGAGGCTTTTTGCATTGCTTTTGGTAAAGTTAGACGGATGACATTAAGTTGTAAGATTGTACACAAAATGTTTTCTCCAAACCCTAGAACTCTTTTATTTGAAAGTGTTCCTGGAGGGCTGGAGTTGTGGCTCAGTGGTAGAGCGCTTACCTGGCATGTGTGAGGTCCTGTGTTCGATCCTCAGCACCATATAAAGATAAGTAAAGGTATTGTGTCCATCTACAACTAAAAATTATTAAAAAAAAAAAAAAAAAAGAAGTGTTCCTGGAGTTGAAATAGACTGTGCTCAGAAATGGAGAAAAAGATGGTCACATCCTTAAATCTTTTATGCTCAAATGAGAACTCCAGTTGGTCAAAAAGGAAGAATGCTCTGAGGAATACTTTTTCTTATAAGAAACCAGATGCCTTTTTTTTGGTAGTGGGTGTTGAACTCGGGGGCACTCAGCCACTGAGCCACATCTCCAGTCCTATTTTGTATTTTATTTAGAGACAGAGTCTCACTGAGTTGCTTAGCGCCTTGCTTTTTCTGCAGCTGGCTTTGAAATCTCAAACCTGCTGTTTTAGCCTCCCAAGCCGCTGGGATTATAGGTGTGCGCCAATGTGCCTGATGCTTTTAAGTGTCGAAGTGCTTTACGTTTTATCATCTGCTAGAATACTGAGAATTTTATTTTTAGAATTTTGTAAAACAGTTTTCTGGGATATATAATTTTCATATAATTGTCACTATTTTGYATGTATTTTTTCCATTTAATACATTAATATGTATCACATGTTCTGTATACTTATGATACATATTAATGTATTAAATGGAAAATGTTGAATCCCATTGTTTGCCTAATAATCCAGTAGTGTTTGTATTCTAGGTTTCCACTCACTTAGAATCTGACTTTCTGTTAGCTCCTCAGAGATCAAGATTGTTATCGTTTTGTTTGATGACCCCAGTATTCTTGGTATCTAGGGTGATTGCAGGAGAATTAGTAATATGTGCTATTATTTTATTCACATTATCATATAGTAGTGCTTTTTTTTTGGTGTGGCACTTTAGACTTCATCAGTAACTGATTAACTATAAATTTTTATTGTCAGGCAGCTTAACAACTTAAATTGATAACTAATTACCCATTCAATTTAGGAAGACAAACTTCTGTTAGGAATTTTCATTGTACATTTAAGGAATTAAAACATTTGTAATTAAAAAAAAAGAAATAATTTTGCATATTTGACCTTGCTTTTTTAAAATAGTCTAAACCTGACTCTAAGTTGGTATGCTGAAGAGCATTTCGGCCATTTAAAATGGATTGGGCTTCTGGGGCTGTAACTTGGTGGCAGAGCACTTGCCTAGCATGTGTGAGACACTGGGTTTAATCCTCAGCACCACATAAATAAATAAAATAAAGGCCTGATGTCCCACTATATATATTATATATTATATATTATATATATATATAAATTTTTTAAAAAGTTAAAAAAAAATAAAACGGGGGCTGAGTTTGTGGCTCAGTGACAGAGCGTTTGCCTTGCATTTGTGAGGCTCTGGGTTCGCTCCTCAGCACCACATAAAAATAAATAAACAAAGTAAAGATACTGTGCCCATGTATAACTAAAAAAAATTAAAAAAAAAAAAAGAATAAGATGGATTGGTCCACATTCAGAGTCTTAGTGTTTCCCCAAGAATCAGTTTTATAGAGAATGATGTAAACTCATATCATGTTCTACAGATGACATCTGAAGAGGAATCAGAATCTTGGTGCTAACCAGTTCTGAAGAGTTGCTTACTTGATTCTCACCTGTTTTCCTTAGAAATCATTTAGGTCAGCAGAAGACAGGTCCAGAGGTTAAAAAGTCTTGTTCATCAGCCTTCTTGAATCAAACATTTTGGATAGAATGGGGGAAGGGATTTGAGATCTGTGTGAAAGTCACATGCTTAGAGATCATCCCTAATATCTATTTTATATATATATATATATATATATTTATATTTATATATATATAAATAAAATCTTTAAGTGTTTATCTTTTAGTTGTAGTTGGACACAGTACTTTATTTTATTTATTTTTATGTGGTGCTGAGGATCGAACCCAGGGCCTCGAACTTGCTAGGTGGGAGCTCTACTGCGAGCCACAACCCCAGCCTCCTAATATTAATATTGAGACCATATTTCATCAGAAAGTTTTCCTGTTATATTTATCTCTATTGCCTGTTTCTTAAACTCTGTAAACGTATTCAAATATATATATTTGCTAGGTCAGTAAAATAAAATACTTCCCCATTCTCCCTTACAGGTATCAAAAGATTGGTTGTTATTCTACTCCTTCAGCCCTCCAGTTCTAAATGTAGATTTCTAAAATTGGAAGTTCTCTGTCCTCCTGGCTGAATTTGCTTTTTAGAGTATAAAATAAAATAACCTTTCTTACCGTCACAAATTCTATGAGGGACAGCACAATAGATAGGAAAAGCCACCCCTGGCAGTGGGATATTGATCTTTAGTGCTAATGGACTTAGAGCAAATCTGGGAGGAAGGGGACACAGGATGTATTTTCCAGTGCCAAAGAAAATGTGGAGATCCATGTGGGTAGAGGGTGTTAAACTCTCCTACCTCTGCTTGTTTCTTTTTTCTTCTCTGTTTTACCTCCATGCAATTTAAAAAAAAAAACACTGATTCACCTACTAACTATGCACAAGTGACAATTAAGGACCAAACATGTTATTTTTGAGAAAGTATTTCCTAGATTAAATATAGAAAAGACTAGCAAAAATAATTCTTAGTACATCAGAAGTAACTATTAATAATGATTTACATGCTAATTATAGCTCATCATTTTTCTGATTATCAAGCCCTGGGAAGACCTGTCATCTTGTAGTTCACTGGGTCTCGTTTGAATTGATGTATGTGCTGGAAAATTCTAAGAAGCTTTATTTAGAGTCAGAAGGAAGTACTGTTGGAGAAGTTTAGCTATTGGGAGGTCAGGGCTGATGTTCCCTATAAGAATTATAGGGGTGAGAGTGCATCCTGACTGTGCCACTTTCTGTGATACGACCTTGGCCAGTTATTTCACTTCTGAGCCACAGTTTCCACATACTTACTCCATAAGAATGAATTATTGTCTCCTTACAAGATTTTTGTGAAGATTGAATGAAATAACGTGTGTGAAGCAATCTAACTGCAGAAAGACAGATTGTTGACAATGGTTACTTTCTTCCTGCTCTTCTTTTGCTTTGCCTGTTTGTGTTGCTGGGAGAAATTACTTGCTTGGACAACATTTTTGCCCTTGTTCTTGTGCATTTAAGAAACTGTCCAGAGCTGCTTCGTTACATCTTGAATATGAAATTACAGATTTTTAGATGTAGCAGAAATTTTTGGGAAATTAAGGCTTAAAAAATTTAAGTACATGTTACACTGACTAGTTAAAAGTAAATATGACCTGTGTAACTACATCGTGTACAATCAGATGAATGAGAAGTTATACTCCATTTATGTCTTATGTGTCAAAATGCATATTCTATTGTCATGTATAACTAATTAGAACAAATATTTTTTAAAAGTAAATGTGAACTAAAAATCAGGCCTCTGTGCTTGATCCCTTCTGCTATACCAAGGCCTTGGTGATGCTTTTTTTTTTTTTTTTTTTCCAACAATGTAACTCTTTTGGGGAGGTTTGGGAGATTGAATTTAGGGCCACTGAGCCACATCCCCAGCCCTGTTTTGTATTTATTTAGAGTCAGAGTCTCACAGAGTTGCTTAGCACCTCACTTTTGCTGAGACTGGCTTTGAACTCACAATCCTCCTTCCTTAGCCTCCTGAGCTACTGGGATTACAGTCATGTACCACCATGCCTGGCCAACAATGTAACTTTTTTTGTTTTTACTTTTTTTTTTTTTAGATGTTAACCTTTATTTTATTCATTTATTTATAGGTGCTGAGATTCGAACCTAGTGCCTCACACATGCTAGGCAGGTGTCTACCAGTGTGCTACAACCCCAGCCTGGTGATGCTTTTTTTCTTTAGGATAAGTGTGCACACGTAAGATATATGAGCTGGGTTTTATATTGGCTCTTAAATTACTTTGGAGAAACACCTTGTAAAATAAAACTTCAAGTAATTAGTTATGGGTAAATTCAACTCATATAATAAACTGTCATTATGAAGGTTAGCTTCATCTTGCAGATTACCAAACCCTTAGGGCAGAATTCCATCTGATTAATGGTTTCAAAATAACTGTACCATTGTCAGGAAGTTATAGTTTTGAATGGTATCCCTTTGGGTTGTAATTTAAAAAGTGGTGTGAGTCTTATATTTTTGGTTAATTCTATATCATGTAAAATTTTAAATGTTGAAGGCTAATTTAATATGGTTCATAGTCTAATATACATCTGGGTATTCTTGAAATTTATCTGTTGCTGATAGGTTTTTTATATTGTTTGTGACTCCCCATTTGTTTTGTAAGAGACACAAGGCAAGCCATTTGAGAGAGATCTTTTTCTTTTAATTTTAAAAGCTTTTAATATAATTAAAATTATATCAAGGGTAAAATAGACTTTGATACAGCAATTCAATTTGGGGGAATTTTAGAAATTTATGTATAAAATAGAACATTTAGACAATAAATATGCAAACAATAATCATAGTATTGTTCTAGAAAAAGACTGGAAGTGACTCAAAGACCTCTCAGTAGGAAACAAGTTGTTAAATTGTGTACTAGAATTGTATAGTACCATTGAAAGAAATGAAGTAATTCTACTCATGCTAATTTGGAATGATTTCCATGATGTGCTGTTAAGTAAGGGGGGAAACTTCCTTTTGTTTTTGTTTCTAAAGTACACACAGGCTGGCGGGGACAGGGGTTGTGGCTCAGTGGTAGAGTGCATAAAGATCTATCAACAACTAAAAATATACATATACAAAAAATTACTTGCATATATATAATGCTTGAATGAGTATGCACTATCCTTGGAAGGAATTGTAAACAGTTGGTGACAGTGGTTGCTTCTGAGGAGAGGTCAGAGAATATTGGTAAGAAGAGTTACTTTCCTATACTTTTGTACCATCTGAAGCAAAATTTTATTTTTTTACTATGTTTATGTATTTTTATTTTCCCCAAATCCTTTGCCTGTCCTTATTAACAAACAGCATGCATGTGTGCAGGCACATGTATACGTAGCCATGCATGCACACTTGAAAGAATAGTCAGATATTATTTGATGAGTCTGCTGTGTAGTGATAGTGGGTATTTAACCCTCTCTGAACATGTGGTATGATGCTTGGGGCTGATAAACACCTGATCCTCATCATCCAAGTGCTAATGGGGAAAATCTCTGTGGTTGGTGGGAAATGAGGCATTGGTTAAGGATGCTTGAGCTCCCAAGCACTCTACATGTGCTGAGGGAGGTGCTGGAGCCAGAAAGAATTTGATCTTGAGCCTGCCTCTCTTGGCTGCTGTTAGAGTTCTAAGAGGGTAAGTAGGGGGCTGGGGATATAGCTCAGTTGGTAGAGTGCTTGCCTCGCCTGCACAAGGCCCTGGGTTCAATTCCCAGCACCACACACACAAGGGTGAGTGGGAAGGAACCTCAAGAGTATTGCCCTCATTAGGAAACTCTGGTTTTTCTTCCATTTCAGTTTCCAGAGGTAAGAGTCAAAATGGAAGTTCACTTGCATGATAGGAACTTGTACAGCTTTTGGAATTTCTAGAAATTCCCTTTAGGCTCACAAGGATTCTTTTTTTTTTTTCTTTATTTATTTTTTAGTTTTCGGTGGACACAACATCTTTGTTTGTTTTGTGGTGCTGAGGATCGAACCCTGGCCGCACGCATGCCAGGCGAGCGCGCTACCACTTGAGCCACATCCCCAGCCCTCACAAGGATTCTTTGCATAAAATTTCTTCTGTAGAATAAGTTCCCTGCACCCTCTAGGGTACCATTTATGCTAATTGTGATTTGCTTGAAGGCTGTAGTGGTCAGTGCCTAGATTGAGGTGCATTGCCTTATCTTGGTTGACATATGGTTTGTATGTAGACAGTTTGGTCAAAGAAATTAGAACCAGAATATAATACTTTCTTTTATGGTTTTATCTGGTAAACCTTGGGCAAGTGCACCTTAGAATGTTGCCCATCCCGGCGCTGAGGGATGTTATATTCCTGTCATTAAACAGTGGCTTCACGTGGCAGTGATTTTCTATAAGGAGTGGGGTGTTTCAGGTACCCTAGGAGCGGGAGTTCAAGGGGGTGGGTAGAAGCACTGCTTCTGATTTTTGTAACAGCCACACTCACACACATTAATTCTCTGGGTGAAAAACTAGTAGACAAGACAATTCTCTAGTTGATTGTATAATTTAGTTGATTATCTCTCAACTGAAGAGAGGCCTTGGTTCTGTACAGTTAGCCTATCTTCATTACCTGTTTGACTCTGTAACACCTGTGGAACACATGAGTCTGACTAGTAAATGGGCAAGACAAATGCCTGGTTTTAGTCTGTTGTGCTTTTGTTACAGGAAAAGGCCTGGGTTTGAAGGTGGAGCAAGGATTGGACACCTTGCTGGGGAAAGCAAGTGATCCATTTAACCAAAGGTACTTCATTAGCTTTGATTAACAGGTCTGTCTTGTCTTTTTTTTTTTTTTTTTTTTTTTTTAATTAGCAGTTGTTTAATATTTTCATGGAATCCTTTCTGTTCCAGCAGAGATGTCAGCTTATTTTTAGGTTGCTTGAAGCCAGAATCATGGTGGATGTAGGAAAGTGGCCCATCTTCACTCTGCTCTCCCCTCAGGAAATTGCATCTATTCGGAAAGCATGCGTCTTTGGCACTTCAGCCAATGAAGCACTCTATGTTACTGACAATGATGAGGTAAGACTGAGAACTAGAGTTCAGTTTTGGGACTAGGCTTCCGAGGGTGTGGTTTGAAGACTGAGATAAGATTATGGGATAAAAAAATCTGAAATTCAGGAAGACTAGGACTTTGATAAAATTTCTCTTTTGTTTTCTTGTTTTAATATGCCTCTGCCCCATAGAATTGACAAAAGTTATGAAACTTAAGTAATGTTAGCAGAGGTTGAATATTTCTTAGCAAACTTATCAGTCTCTTCTTACCTACTGAACTCCACTCTCAGGGTGGAGAAAGGTGCTTTTAATATAACTTGAGGCCAGATGACCCAGACAAAACTATTTGTTTTCTAGGTCTTTGTGTTTGGACTGAACTATAGTAACTGTCTAGGGACTGGCGATAACCAGAGTACACTTGTACCCAAGAAGCTAGAATCTTTATGTGGAAAGAAGATTAAAAGCCTTAGTTATGGGAGTGGCCCCCATGTTCTTCTCAGCACTGAAGGTAAAGAGGGGACAAAAATAGTTTTTCAGTTTGTGGGAAATTAAGCAGTTATTTCTGAGCCAAAGGGGAGGAAGGACTGTATTAAAGAATTGATTTTTAAATTTTTAAAAAAATTTCTGAGACACTGTATATGAAGCAAGTGGAAGTTAAACATTTCAGGCCACCTTTGAAATAGCCACAATGTCTTGCATGTTGGACATGTTGCTTAGACTATTTATAGAAACTAGTGGAAGATTAGCTATAGCAAAGGAGATCCTTGCAACCTGACTTTTCATTGGCTTTGTAGTCACTAGGCAACATTTCCCTGGTACATTTTCATAAACCCAGATGATAATTTGGTTTCATTTCTTTGTGTAGATCTTACATCTTGAGAAATCTCGGTTTATTCTCAGGCATTCATGGGGGTGCCATATTGAAAGAGTGGGGGATGTGGTTGGAAAGATTCTTGTCCTTTTTTCTCTGCTTCCCCAAAATCAGTAGAGTAGACATTTTTCTGTGCTATCGGGAACACAACAAGCTCTGAAAGTTTGTTACATATGATCTAAGTTCTTCTTTTTGTATTTTGGGCCTATCAGCTCTTTTCTTTCTTCCTTCCTTCCTTTTTCTCTCCCTCTTCCTTCTTTCCTTTCATTAGGGATGGAACCCAGGGGTGTTGTAAGTTGCCTTGAAGTTCTGATCCTTCTGCCTCAGCCTTCTCAGTTGCTGTGATCACAGGTGTGCGCCACTGCTCCTGGCCCTGCCCATTAGCTCTCACTTCTGCAGAGATTCTCAGCTTTTTGTTGGCTGATCCTCTAAGGTGGGCTTTGGGAGACAGATTTCATTCTGCCTTTCTGTGTCTAGACTGGGGAATACCAGCTTCCTTGGATGCCACCATGTGCCTTGGCCTCCTGCCTTCTAATTGCCAGCAGCTCTCAAGCTTGAGCCAGATTGGAGCTGATCCTGCAGTAGGAGTGGAACTGGTGTGGAGTGTGTCTCACTTCTGCTCTGTGTACTCACACTTTCTGGCATTACTCTATCTTTTTCAAGCAGTACTGTTTTACCAGCTGGTTCAGCTGTCATCCAGCGTGACCTAACGACTTAAGCCTTTCCTAACATATCAGTTTTAACCTGACCTCGATGTCAGACATCAACACCAGGGCATATTTTTTATTTTTTATTTTTTGAGCAGACCTCGAAAACATACATTTCAAATTCTTATTTTTTCCCCCAAGTGACAACCATAAAACATGATAACTGTCCTGTTGGAATTATTTTCAAAGTCTAGATTATGCAGTTTCAAATATCTCAAGTGTTACATTTATGCTATAAATTATTACTTTTTTGTGGGAATATTTTTATTTTTGCATTTAATTTGATTTTAATTTTTGTAATACATTTTACATAGTATGCATCGAACATTCTGCATGTTGTATGCCATATTCTTTTTTTTTTTTAAGAGAGAGAATTTTAATATTATTTATTTTTAGTTTTCAGTGGACACAACATCTTTGTTTGTATGTGGTGCTGAGGATTGAACCCGGGCCGCACCCATGCCAGGCAAGCACGCTACCGCTTGAGCCCCAGCCCCTGTATGCCATGTTCTTATGTGTTATATATGTAGTTTAAATAGTTTTAAAAATAATTTGACACTTTAAATCATCTAATGGTTTGGATTTTGAGTGAAAATGAAGTGCCCCTACCTCAGCTCTGCTCACCCTTTGAACTTTTTTAGGAAGAGCCACTTTTGACTCTTCCAGGTGTATCTTCTAGAATTACTCTCGTATTTTTAAAATAACATGCTTACACTTCAATTTCTAAATTTTAGATATTATCTCTTTACTTTGTTTCATGGCAGAGAGAATTAGCTCTCTTCCCCTGCCTTCCCTGTCTTTGTCCTTTTGATATCCTGATAGCACCGTTCTATTTAAGTTGGTATTCATGTTTACATTGCTGGACTGTATAAGTGTTATTTATAGTTAAGCTTTCTCCTTTTTTGTACAACTGTTTGTTTTCCTAGGGTTAATAACTCCCTCAAGGTTTTTCATTTACTTTTTTATAATCTGTCATTAACCTATTCTATACCCAAACTCTTCCATTAAATAGTATATTGCTTCTAAGCAAATCAGGTAATCTCTAGAGTCCTCAGTCCCTTACTCCACTGTGGACTGGTCACTCGCTAAGCCTACTGCACGTGTCAACCTGGAGCATTTATTCACCACTATCCTTGAAAGTCCTTCACTTTTTCCTTTCTGGAGTCCCTATTTTTTCATGTTTTATTTTGTCCTTATTTTGGTGAAGCAGTTGTCTCGGAGCCTCCCAAAGAAGGGATGTGAGAAAATGGTAATGTCTGTTAGTGGTTTGGCCTGCTTCTCAGGTTCTGTTTTTTTCTACTGTTTTCCTTCTCCTTGAGTGTTTGTCTTTCTGCTCCCCACCTTTGCTATCATTTCAGTAGGATTTGGGGAAGAGTAAGATAAAAACCTGTGTTCATTTCTCCATACTTCACTGGCTTTTGCAGTATTTTTGAAGAATGTTTTAGGAATATTTTGGTTAAACTGAACATCCAGTTCCACTTGATGACTACTTTGAAGTTCAATATTTGTTTGATATTATACTTTACATACAGATCTTGGGCTTGAGGATTTCTTTTGTCTTCTGAAACAATATTAAATTAGTTTGCTTATAAAATTGTTTCTAGCTCCTTCCCCAGTTCATTTTCCATTCCCTGAAGACTAAATTCAATTTCTTTAAAGGTTAGAAATTCATGGGTGCTCTTTGCCTCCCTCCATGCTCTCCTTCCCCCAATTCTCCTTGGGGGATATCACGTCCTTGGACAATTTTTGCTCACCTCTTAAGCCTTAAGTGATCCTGAAATTTAGTCCTGGGTTTGTTAAGAGATAGTATGTCTAGAAAGGGCCTAAGAGCCCTTTTGTTTCCTTAGGACATGCTAATTCTCCTGTTGGAATTACTTTCAGAATCTAGATCATACAGTTTCAAATATCTCAAGTGTTACATTTAGACTAAGGGACCAGTTCTGAAGCAAAAGAAGTGCAGCAGTGTGTACTAAGGATCAGTACACCCTAATTTGGGACTAAGAGCCATCTCAGGATGGAGTTCACCTTTCCTATGCTTCATCAAGGGAAGAAAGTGTGCGTATACTCCTTTACAATAATGACTGGCACCTGGTTTGGATAGTTTACCTGATTCGTGATTCAGACTCATCTTTGAGGGTTCTGAGCCCCTGGCTATGGTGAACTCTGGCCTGGCTGCTGCACATTTCTTTTCACTCTCATTATTAGGCAGGCATACAATATGACTTGCAAATGTGACCTGGGTGCCAGCCATATTCCTCTCTGCCCTCATAACAACAGTCCTCTCTTCCTGCCAGGACTGTGACTTCTCTTCCTTTTTTTTTTTTAGTATTGGGGATTGAATCCAGGGGTACTGTACCACTGAGCCATATCCTCAGCCTTTTTAATTTTTGAGACAGTTTCTGATCTTTCTATATCAGCCTCCTGAATTGCTGGGATTACAGGCATGCACCACCACCACCACCAACTTCTCTCTGTTCTTGCTTTTTGGCAATTCCCAGCAGCCACAGCTCACAGTTCAGTGGGACTCCCTGTGGTCCTTACTGGAACCAGGGTTTCTAAACCCATGGAACTTAGAATTGCAAGCTCAAATCCCCCAAGTTGGTCATGAGGGGTGATGGTTAGTAGGGACACTCATATATCCATTTTTGGTTCCTGGACTCATGTATTCTGCTTGTTAGGAACACAGCACCAGAAAGCAGTCCTTAATTTATAGCAGATACTTCACCTTGGTGGGCTGCATCCCTTCCCTGCTAGGTAGCATTTCCTGGCTGATGCCTCACCTATGCCTCTGGTCAGAGCATCCATCCATCATGCACTCTGGTTGGCAGATTTTGGGTGTTGCAGTATGATCAGGTACACACCACTGCACTTCTTTTGCTGCAGAACTGGTCCCTTAGTCTAAGATGTTTTGGGGAATCCCATATCAGTGGATTAAATACTCCATGAACCCCCATTAGTGGTTCTGGCTGAGGCTCTGTGGGCCAGAAACCAATACCTGGGTTATATGTTTCTGTTGATAGCCCATTCCAGGGTCAGTTGTAAATGTCCTGCCATCAGCTGGCTGGCTGGTGTCCTTGAGGGAGGTGCTGAGTTGGGGGGTCAGCACAGGTCTCTGTTAATGGCGTAGTGGAGATTTGGCAATGGTAGTAGCTAGATCTGCCTTAGTGAGTGGGAGCTAGGCTCTTGTATAAAGATGTTATCTATTTTTTCATATGGTTAAGAGTCACTGTATTTCTTTCACTGAACTGTCAGTTCATATTTCCATAGGTTTTGGTCTTTTTCTTTTGTATTTTTAGGAGTTCTTTTGTATATGGGATTTTATATACTCAGTGGTATATATTGCGAATATTTCTTCCCAGTATTTAATTTTTTCTTTGCTCATGGTTTTTTGTCATTTTCCACATAAAAATTGTGTGTTTTTTAAATGTAACTAGATTCAAAATTAGTGCTTTTTCTGTTGCTTTTGGATTCTTGAGGTATGAAAATTTTCTTTACTCCTGGGTTAGGGAGGAATTAACTAACTTTTCCCCTCTGCTTCCTATATGGTTTTTATATTTCAAATTCATTTCAATCAGAAGTTACCATGATGTATAGTATGAGGAATGAATGTAATTTTTCAAAATGATCATGCAGCTATCTCAACCCAGCTTGTTTCTCCAATTGATGTTGCTTTTATTTTCATATGTAGTTGGTTCATTTCTGGACTCTCAATTCTATCGCATTGATCGGTCTGTTCATTTCCTAATATTAGTTTATAAATATTTTATGGTTCTTAATAACTGGCAGAGTTACCATTTTCTTTTTTTTTTAATATGGTTTGTCTAGTTCCAGAAGGTAACTTGAGGGATTTTATTGCTATTGTTTTTATTTTACAACTTATATAGGAAAACTGTCATCTTTATGATACTGTTTCCTGAGAATAAGGAGTGTATTTCTCTTTCAGGACTTAAAGCCCTCCTAGGCTATTTTTTTTTTTTTTTTTTTTTACCTGCTATAATCTCACCATAGTGTTGTGGGTCAGTTTTTAATTCTTTCTTAAACCTTCAGTCGTGAGTTGCATACTTAGGATGAAATGCCCCATTTTTGGTTCTTTTGTTATTTCTGTGGGAAGGAGCGCCTCCTGAGAAGCATGTCAGAGGTTCTCTAGGTCGGCCTTATACCTGCCAGAGTAGTCTAAGTTTGTGTGGGCTGCTATTCAAGACAAGACAACCAGAGGCCTGTTTGGATGTCACTACCTTCCCCTGCTTGCTCGGGACTGTCAGCCAGCCAGCAGTCTAACCAGGACTTTTGATTTCAGTTGTTGTCTTTGAATGTCGTCAGGTCTAGTTGTCCTGCATAAGTCAGGATGTTTTATTACCATGGGAAAACACTAGAGAAGAACACTAAATTTGGGAAGACCTGCTCTTGATACTCTCAAGCAGACTGTGGGAAGAAATGCATGAAATGATAATACAAAACAAAAAAGTTACCTCTGTCAGAATCACAAAAGCATAAAGTCCATTTAAAAAAAATTCAGGCAGGGGCTGGGGATGTGGCTAAAGCGGTAGCGCACTCGCCTAGCATGCGTGTGGCCGGGGTTCGATTCTCAGCACCACATACAAACAAAGATGTTGTGTCCGCCGAAAACTGAAAAATAAATATTAAAAAAATTCTCTCTCTCTCTCTCTCTCTTAAAAAAAAAAAAAAATTCAGGCAGGGGAGCTTACTGGTTGTTGACCCTATCAGGGAGCTTGGTGGGAGTCAGGTGTTGGAAGCTCTATACCCCTCCCCCACTCTGCCCTGTGTAGCTTTTCTATTTGGCTGTTCCTGAGTTGTGTCCTTTATAATACACTAATTGTTCTCTCCAAAGATAGCCACAGTGAGAGTGAAGATGCCTTTTGGTGATGGCCAGCCCCTGGGCATTGAGCCATCCTGCTTTTCAGTCTTCCTGAGCTCACATAGGTCATGAAACAAAGACTGGCACCTCAGTGTCCCCTGTCCAGATTCCTGACACACAGAATAAATGAGYATAATAAAACAGTTGCTTTATAAAGCCTCCCCTCCCAAACAAAATTCAGTCAGATTTCATGACACCAAAATACTCTTGAGAGAAGCTTTGTGATTTTTGTTTCCCTAGCAAACAGCATTCCTTTTCCCTCTGTTCATTGGGAGTGATTGATACAGCCCTCCTCCAGGGGTTCCCTGAGGCTTGATTTTTGGTAAAGTGATGTCAGTGTTGGTGATAAACTTTTCTGTGATTCTACCTTTTGCTTGGTACCAGTCATACAAACTACTGCCATGAATCAGTGTTTAGAAAGTCTATAGGTTTCGTATACATTAAGATTGGCTTCTGACCATAAAACTGATCTTCTATGTTGGTACCAAGTGCTTTCACTTAAGATTTTTGCTTCTTTCTGACCTGTTTTCTCATCCCTCTTTTTCCTCTTCCACCAGTGGCAACTTTATAGAGAAGAGAGGGCAATGTAGGAGAAAGAAGGTTTAGTGAATGAGGTGTACAAACTCTGGGAAAGAAAGTATCAAGGCTACCACTTCCTCTTAGCACTGATTCTGTGTGTGCCCTGTGTGTAGATGGAGTGGTTTATGCCTGGGGCCACAATGGATACAGCCAGCTGGGGAATGGAACCACCAACCAGGGCATCGCTCCCATCCACGTCTGTACCAATCTCTTGATCAAGCAGGTGGTTGAAGTTGCTTGTGGATCACATCACTCAATGGCTCTGGCAGCTGATGGAGAGGTAAGTGTGCTGTTTTTATTCTTTTTAAGAATTGTGGTAAAATACACATAACATAAAATTTACCATCTTAGTTTCTTTTTTTGGTGGTGCTGGAGATTGAGCCCAGGGCTTTGCCCATGTTAGGCAAGTGCTCTACCACTGAGCTATATCCCCAGCACCCATCTTAACCATTTTTAAGTACAGTTCAGGGACATTAAATCTATTCACATTATTACTGCAGTTGTCACCGCCATCTACACCCAGACTCTTTATCTTATAAAACACACTGTATCTGATAAACATTCACTCTCATCCTTGTTCTCCCAGCTCTTGGCTACTGCATTCTACTTTTTGTTTTTATAACTTGGACAACTCGTGGTGCCTCATAGAAGTGAAATCATACAGTATTGTCATTTTATTGACTTGCTTATTTCATTGAGCATGGTGACTTCAAGTTGACAGAATTTTTAAAGGCTGAATAATATTCCGTTGAATGTATATATTATGTTTTGTTTTTTATGTTCATCTGTTGTTAGATATGTTGTTGGATATATCTGCTTTTCTATTGTGAAATTTTTCTATTTAAAAAAAGACCATATTTGTACTTGGCATAGCTTGTAGCTAAAATGATTGTGGGAACACTCTTCTCCAGCATAACCTGTGTCATGTAGTCAGAGGACTTCCCTTTTGGTAGAAGAAATTAATCTTGTGTGTGTGTGGTGCTTTGCACATACACATGGCTATTCCAGCGTTCTACCACTGAGCTACAGCCCCATCCCTAGAATTCAGTCTTAAGGGTGAGTGTGATACTGTTTGCCAAGACCACAAATCAGGGGGCTGGGATTGTGGCTCAGAGGAAAAGAGTGCTCACCTCGAATGTGTGAGGCATTGGGTTCGATCCTCAGCCCCACATAAAAATAAAATAAAGATATTGTGTTCTACCTATAACTAAAAAAAAAAAAAATACTTAAAAAGACCACAAATCAGATATGTATAATGGTGTTGTGGACTTTTTTTTTTTTTTTAAATGACCTTATTCCTTAAGATATGTTTTGTTTTTTGGTGTATTTGTAATGATTCTGGAGAAAATAACTTCCCCAGCCTGTAGTAGGTGTTATACCTCTTATTCATCCCTGGATCCATGCTTGTCTTAAAGTTACTGTCTTGCTCACTGTACCACACTCTAAGCACTCGTTTTTTTTTCCTTTTCCCTTCTCTTGTAGGTATTCGCTTGGGGCTATAACAACTGTGGCCAGGTGGGATCAGGATCTACAACAAACCAACCAACTCCTCGAAAGGTTACCAACTGTTTACATATCAAGAGGGTGGTTGGCATTGCCTGTGGTCAGACCTCTTCCATGGCTGTGCTGGACAATGGTGAGGTGAGCCTTCACTCCCTTCCTGGTCCATCCCCTTTCAGGAATTGTCGTTGGGAGCAATGAGCATTGGAGGGAAGAGGGCTTTGTGTTGTCAGCTCCATTGACCTCTAACTGATCATGAGGACTGGCCAGAGGATGTTTGCTCCTCAGAGCGATTTCTTTAAATCCCAAAATTTACCTGCAAGTAAAGATTCTGGTATGGTTAAATTTTGTTTATTGCCTAATGCTTATAAGTATTTGTGCTTAAAGAATTTGGTATCAACTTTCTTTCCTAGTGAAAGTCAGCTGTGTTTTCTTTAGTCAGCTGACAGTCTTTGTAGAGCTACTTACTGCTTCTTGAATGTTTGATCATAAAAGGAAGCAACTTGCTAGGGCGGAATTTTTTGTCCTGATTGTTGTTGGCTACTTTAAAAAACGTACCCTTCAGCTACCCTCACCTTTGAGCTGATAGTTATGTCTATGAAATTATTTTTGATTGCAGCTTATACTTTAACTTGCCACTTATTGATTTCTCAGTGCATGAAAATTATGCAAAAATACTTCTGTAGACACAGATTTTATAGCATCATGCAGTGGGGCCATAGAGTGCTTTATAATTTACTGAGTTCTTATCTAGTTTATTTAATTTGAGGTGGGCAGATACCAGGGATTGAACTCGGGGGTACTCAAATACTGAGCCACATTCCCAGCCCTATTTTGTATTTTATTTAGAGACAGGGTCTCACTCAGTGCCTAGCACCTCACTTTTGCTCAGGCTGGCTCTGAACTTGCAATCTTCTCGCCTCAGCCTCCCGAGCTGCTGGGATTACAGGCATCTCTGATATGTCCTTTGCCACTTTCACCTGGCGTTTTCCTTCTAGTCTTTTGTCACTGACTGAGGTGTGTCCAGCCAGGCCTACCAGCTTGTCTTCTGTCTCTGTCTCTGACACACTTCCATGCCTTCTGCCCGGATTGCTTTTGGCCCTGTTCATCCTTCAGCTCTGCTCAGGTCTCTACTTTCTGAAGTATTCCCCAAACTTTCTAGGGCTAAGCCCTTGCAAGCTCCTCATTATCCTATGGTGCCTTGATTATCTTACTGTCTACAGAAAATTTGCCTGTGTCTACCTCCCATGTTAAACCATTACCAAAGACTTAGATTCCTAGTACCTTTCACAGTGTCCTGACATACATAAGTGCCTCATAATTGTTAATGATCCTCAGCTTCTTCATCTATAAGACAGGAACCAAATGACTGCTCCAAGCCTTCTCAAACCTAGTAAGTCATGGAGTGAGAACTGATGCCAAATTCTGCCATTCTTCACCCCCAAAATATCTTCTGTTTGGTGATCAGTTACAGGATCATCTAAAGTAGAACATGGGTGTTAGAGTACTGATTTATTTAGATGGACTGGATTTAGATGGATCCAAAGCCCCATTCTCTCTTTTTTCTCTCTGCTCTTAGGTGTATGGCTGGGGTTACAATGGCAATGGTCAGCTGGGCTTGGGAAACAATGGTAATCAGCTGAGCCCCGTGAGAGTGGCAGCTTTGCACAGTGTGTGTGTGAACCAGGTACGTTTGGGAGCCTCTTGCCAGCTGGTGTCCATCCAAGTTTCCTGTTCTGACTTGGAAAAATATCGGAGGTTTACTCCTTTTCTTTTTTTCCAGGTGGGGGGGAGGTTTGCCCCTTCCCTTGCCTGGAAATTTCCAGTTCTCTCACCTTCCCTACTTAATATTACATCTTCCCTAAATTCCCACAAGGAGGAGGCACATGGTGCTGGCATATCAAGTGACAAACTGGTGGTAAAATCCAGTACTCTAAGGTTTAGGCTTTCCTAATGCTTTTTAATATTCTAGCAAATGTCAGTCCACACCTGACGGTGAATTGGCGTTCTACAGAAGCTGGCTGTAATCTCTGAGATGCTTTCCCTGCCCTTCCTGTTGTCCTCCTAATGGTAACGATTTATGTTTACTTGCAGATTGTCTGCGGCTATGCACATACTCTAGCACTAACAGATGAGGGCTTGCTCTATGCCTGGGGAGCTAACACGTATGGGCAGCTGGGAACTGGCAATAAAAATAATCTGTTAAGCCCAGCACACATCATGGTGGAAAAAGAAAGGTAACTTGGCTGAGCTGTGTCTTGGGACTGTGTGTGTGTGTGTGTGTGTGTGTGTGTGTGTGTGTGTGTGTGTGTGTTTTAGTTATGGTCTTGGTACTGTGAGAGGCAAAGCTGTGGTGTTTGGCTTTGTGACTCTTCCATTTTATTAACATTCTCATTTGGATAAAATGGTTTTGAGTTCCAGCCAGAATGAACATGGAGTTGGTATGATTCTCATGCAGCTTTCTGAAATAACCACCTGTGATTAATATGAATGCATCTTGGCATAATTCTGACAGATTTGGTGTTACCCCTTGAGTAGGGAAGTAAAATGGGATCTGTGATTATGTTGAAATTCAAATTGTACAAACTTTCCCTGTTTGCCAACTAAATGCACTTATAAATAAATAAAATCTCTTAAAAAGACATTATCTATTTAAATATTAATTTGAGTTAATGTGTCTAACTGGAATAGATGCTTAGTGAACCAGGTTGTGAGGTCTCATCCACTCATTCCGGAGTGTTGACTTGTGGTTCTGGGACCCTGCCTAGGAAGTGTGCTGTGAAATGCAGGGCGAAGCCTTAGTCCCTTCGGATGGGAATGTTCAGAGTCCATGACCCTTTGCCCAGTGTTTATGAGCCTGATGAGTGTTCTGAGCTCTGGTAGAGGTGGGAGAGAAAGCCATAAGGAAATGGTTTATTGAAGATGTTTGTTTTTACTACACTTAAATTCCCCAGAATAGTCAGGACGTTTTTCAGTGTCTACTTTCCTTCCTTTTTCTTCGGTTTCTAATCTGCTTTTCTAAGTTTTCCTTAACCGTACATATTATTTATCCTAACTTGGGATTCTAATTTATCTGAAGCCATCAGGAAAGGAGAGACACAGGGCTCTTTTGGTTTGTTGATGTGATATGGCTGCTAGCATTTCTGGGTCTTAGGCTGTTTTTTGAGGTGTTCTAAGCATAAACTTTTAAATTTTGTGTGTCGGGTGTGCTAAGGGCTTCTGTGGTAAGGAAGTGACATGTGTTATTCTTAAACTTTTCAGGGTAGTGGAGATTGCAGCCTGTCACTCCACCCACACGTCTGCCGCTAAGACCCAGGGAGGGCACGTGTACATGTGGGGCCAGTGCCGGGGCCAGTCAGTGATCCTGCCTCACCTCACCCACTTCTCCTGCACTGACGATGTGTTTGCGTGCTTTGCCACTCCTGCTGTTTCTTGGCGTCTTCTGTCTGTAGGTAAGAAGGCTCAGGGCTCCTTCCACCAAGGAAGAATGGTACTGTCCACTGACCACATAGCAGTTCCTTCATGTGTGCTAGTTGTGGGCTCTTTTAGGTTCTAGAATGTTTTATTTTGCATTTGCTTTAATGTTTTTCCCCAGTGATAACCACATTTAAGGATGTCAGTAAATATTCCCATAGATTCTTTTTTCCCTCCCTAAGTTCTTCCTTTTAATTGAGATCAAATTTACATAACATAAACTGGATATGGTGGCACATACCTGTAATCCCAGCAGCTCTGGTTGAGGTGAGAGGATGGGGAGTTCAAGGCCATCCTGGGAAATATAACAAGATTGTCTGAAAGAAAGGAAAACAAAACAAAACAACAACAAAAAAATCTTACATAACATAGAGTTAACCATTTTTTTAAAGTATACAATCCAGTTGAATTTAGTATATTCATAGTGTATATTTATCATTTCCATCAAGTTCTGAAATGTTTTCATCATTCCAAAAGAAAATCTTGCACTCAATAAGCACCACTCTCACCTCACCCCCATTGTCATGAGGGCAAGAGCACATTTAGGACAAATTAAGCTGCAGCTCAACTTAATGTGAAATAAACTGAACATTTCCTTTAAATTCATTTTGTCAATGTCTTTAGTGCTCTCCCCCCCCCCCGTGTGTGTGTGTGTGTGTGTGTGTGTGTGTGTGTGTGTGTATCTCGACACATGATTAGAAAAAATTTAGTTTGCTGAATGGGACTGTTTGGCTCTTATCCATAGGTAGCATGTGTAGCCTAAGTGCAGCTGTATAACATGTCCTGTGATTTCTATACACTGCTCACTGGACCTGTTTATAAAAGGCTTCCTCTGGTTCTTGCATCTTAAGATGGCCTAGACATCCTTTTCAGAACAGTGTTGTGACATTTTCAGTGTTAGGTTTGGAAAAAATGTGGTTGCTGATTATTTCAGTCCTAGATGACTTCTTTCCCTTCCAGCCACTAAGTCAGAAGTGTTTTTTTCCTTTTGGGTTTTGATCTCAGCTGAATGTTAGGAAGAAGGTCAGATGGTGAATTCAGATCTCTGGGGAATAATTCTTCTCTGAAAGGTGCTATACTTGTCACTGGAAACAAAGAAGGGGTAGGGTCATTTCCACCCTGTGACAGATGCAGAGGCGGTAAGTTTCTGTTTAGGATGGTGACATAGCCGTCTCCACCTCTCCACTCTGCCCATCACAGTCATTTCCTGTCTTTGGTCCTATAGTGATCCAGGCGTAGGATCAGGGAAAGACTGGCTTTTGAGAAAGTTTCCACTGTTCGTCCTCAGCCAGGAGGGCTCTGCATTGTGGGGTTGAGGCAGAGCTGCAGGTCAATGTTAGAGGGCTAGGGCAAACCATATTTCCGTCCTCATTTATTAAGTTAAGCCTGGTTTTTAGCTGAGCTCTTTGGTTAAGCCACTGTTCTCAGCTTGTGGGCAGTTGAAACCTTTCTCCAATGTCCATAGCAGCTTTTTTCAATGCTCGGTGAGGACCTCTGGAGTTTATTTCTGTTGTCTGCCTTCTTTCTTTTTGCTTCCTTTGTACATGTGAAGAACGTGTTTCATGAGTTCACTCAGGAGCCTTACTTTCCTTCAGGATAGTGCAGTTCTGCTTATATGGCCTCATCACAACAGTTCTTTTTTTTTTTGAATGCTGATAACTTGAAAAATTATTTTAATTAATTTATTTATTTTATTGGTTGTTCAAAACATTACAAAGCTCTTGACATATCATATTTCATACATTTGATTCAAGTGGGTTATGAACTCCCATTTTTACCCCGTATACAGATTGCAGAATCATATCCGTTACACATCCACATTTTTACATAATGCCATACTAGTGACTGTTGTATTCTGCTGCCTTTCCTATCCTCTACTATCCCCCCTCCCCTCCCCTCCCATCTTCTCTCCCTACCCCCTCTGCTGTAATTCAATTCTCTCCCTTGTTTTTTTCCCTTCCCCCTCAAATCCTCTTATATGTAATTTTGTATAACAATGAGGGTCTCCTTTCATTTTCATGCAATTTCCCTTCTCTCTCCCTTTCCCTCCCACCTCTCCTCCCTGTTTTATGTTAATCTTTTCCTCATGCTCTTCCTCCCTGCTCTGTTCTTAGCATTTCTTGTTGAGTGATGTCGCTTGTAAAACTGAACCCGTGTTACTAAGTGCATCTGCTTAGTTTCTTAGTTTCTAGGTTGTGATTTTTAGGGTTAAGAGGAATGTTTAGATTATAGATGATTAGGAAAAGCCATGTCTCTGCTTAAGAACCTAACTGCTTAGCATGACCACTTGGTAAATTTGTTTCAGGCCTCCTTGATTTGAATATTGCCACTTCAAAAAAGAGCAGAGATGTTCTTAGTCTTTCACTCAAAGAAAATTGACATATTCTTAGTCCTAGAAAAGAACCTCCTCAATTGTGAGGGATTTACTATAGCCTTTTGAACCCTGTAACTGGATCTTTTTTACACTCATTTCTCATGACTAAGCATGTAAGACTGGTATTTGGCTTATCCAAATACTTATTGTTATGGTAGTTTGTAGATGTAGGACACTTATTTTAATATTGTGAAATAGATTTGTCAAATAACTCTCTTAAACAAAAATTGAATTTAGCCACCATGCTGCTGCTGCTGCTGATCTTTTGGAAGTCTTTCAGATCTTAAATCTGTCTCCTGAGCTTTCTATATTAATAGTGTGTTCGTTGCCTTCAGAGCATGAAGACTTTTTAACAGTTGCAGAGTCACTGAAGAAAGAATTTGATAGTCCAGAAACTGCTGATCTCAAGTTTCGAATTGATGGAAAATATATTCATGTCCATAAAGCTGTTTTGAAAATCAGGTATTTTTCAATGAACTTAGGAAACTTTGTTTTCTTTTTGCATTTTCATTTATTATTCCACAAAATGGATACTACAAGGAAGTAGTCTTGGCAATAGAGAGAAATGTCACAGCTGAATATTTTTGCAGATGCTTATCAAATTCATTTATTATCAGAAAGTTTCATATATGCTCCTACAACTTATAGGAAAAGTGTATTGGGGGAGTGTTAAGTATTTCTTTTTTTTTTTTTTTTTTTAATTAAGGATCTTGGGCTGGGGTTGTATTTCAGTGGGATAGAGTGCTTATATAGCATGCACAAGGCCCTAGGCTTGATCCCTAGTGCCACAAACAACAACAAAGTCTTGAGTATTTGTTTACATTGGAAAATTTGTTTACATATTACATATTTGCTATTAAAAGTCCATTTTATCCCAGTTAGAAAACTCCCATAGTTAGGACAAAAGTTAAAGAAAAAGTTCTTTAGCTGTAGTAAAGGGCAAGAGTTCCTTGTATAAATATGAGGGAACTATGCATTTATTAACATCTGGGCTATTGCTTCTGACGCTACCATTACAGAGAAAAGGTATGTAAAATCAGAACACTAACAGCTATTTACACATCTTTTTGGAAATTTAGTTAAAAACCTATTTGCAAAGTAATGCACTTTAGGGGAATTGAGAAGCTATATACCATTCATTACTAAGGCCAACATAGCTGAACCATAGTATTGGCTGAAAAGATGAACTGGACTTTTGTCTCTGCCAGTGACCCCCGTGTCCTTTCATTGCAGTTTTCTGACCTGTACATTACACCCACTTAGACAACTCTTTCTTTTTAACTTTTCAGATGGAGTAATTATGTAACTGAGCCATTTTTTTTAAAAGTATTTTGAATGTGTTTTGAAAGTATTGTTTGCCCTTTGTACCATATCACCTTAAATAATGATTTACAAAAAATGAAAGCATGTTATACTGTAAGAAAATCCAGTTTCAAGAAATAAGTTACTGGGGCTGGGGATGTGGCTCAAGCGGTAGCGCGCTCGCCTGGCATGTGTGCGGCCTGGGTTTGATCCTCAGCACCACATACAAAGATGTTATGTCCGCCGAAAACTAAAAAATAAATATTAAAAAATTCTCTCTCTCTCTCTCTCTCAAAAAAAAAAAAAAAGAATCAGTTACTCATGCAGGTGGATCTGTAAATACAAATCAAAAAGACCTGCTTGGGTTTTCTTGAAATATGTGACTGTGCTAGTGAATGTGTTTTATAGATACATTTATGGCAGGCCTGGGAGGGAAGGAAAGAGAGTGAGCAGGCCACTCAGAGAAACAAATAGAGAGTGATGGTTGCTTGGAGAGAAGTCGGAAAGGAAAAAAAAAACAAAACTATCCTGTCAGATAATGGATCAGTAATCAGCTTAATACAAATCAGTTAACATTTAAACTCCTTTTAAGAGTCAATTAATTACATAAAATTAAAAATTAATCATTTCAATGATGTTAATATGTAGCCAAAAGTTTTGAACTCCCATTTCTGAATTATTTATTTATTTATTTTCATTATTTAAAATGCACTTCTGTATACTCTGTTTTTTAAAAATAGCCAATGAGCCAAAAAACTTGATCAGAAAGGGGTTGTTAGGTTGAAACAGTAGTGCTCTTCTACCAGTTTGTCTGACTTCATCACCTTAGGTAATTTTTGCTAATGTGTTTTAGGTGTGAGCACTTTCGATCCATGTTCCACTCATACTGGAATGAGGACATGAAGGAGGTGATAGAAATAGACCAGTTTTCTTACCCCGTGTATCGTGCCTTTCTCCAGTACCTCTACACAGACACTGTGGATCTGCCGCCCGAAGACGCCATAGGTACCTCAGCCCATGTGGTTAGGAACATGTCTCTTCATGCCTTAGCCTAGTGAAATATAAAAAGTTCCAGGTGTATGGGCTTTTATGTTGTTATTAAAAGAAGTTTGAAGTAAATGTTTTTAAAAACAGTTCTGGATAGTTATCATAGTTAATAATTATGGACAGTTTATAAACGGACTTATATAAAGTATAAGTTACTAATTAACTTTGCATTTTGGAAAAAAATTAAGGGAGATTCCGTTTCTCCTCTTCCTTTGAACTATAGAAGAAAATGTAAAATGAGTATAGGAGAGGTATGTTTTAGAGGTGGGAGAGTTTGGGAGTAAGACAATTTACATACTCAAATTCAGAATATTTGCTAAGAGGGCTGGGGCTGTGGCTCAGTGGTAGAGCATGGGTGAGGCACTGGGTTCGATCCTTAGCACCACATAAAAAAACAACTAAAAAATAAAGATTAAATTCTTAAAAAGAAAAAGAATATTTGCTAAGAAACTTGTGACTTACCTACATAACTGTTCACTAAAATGTTTAAATGCATATGTTTATAAATTAGGGAAATTTATTATAAACTAGATTAAACCTCTTATACTTTTTACTTCTAGGTCTTTTGGATTTGGCAACATCTTACTGTGAAAACAGACTGAAAAAACTTTGCCAGCACATTATCAAGCGAGGAATCACTGTGGAGAATGCCTTTACACTATTCTCTGCTGCAGTCAGATATGATGCAGAGGTAACAAAACAGTGAACAGCAAACCAGAATCACCTGTAGCTCCCTGTGCTCATTTACCCCCCTTCTCTCACGTGGCCCAAGGAACAAATGAGTAACTTCGCCTGTTAGGGATTCCGTTAACCAACTGATCCAAATGAAATCTGGTCTTTCTCCTTTATTTTCTGTTCATTGTTTCAAAATTGGTTGTTCCTCTACTTCCATTCTTAACTAAGATCAGAACCTAACTGACTGAGGTCCCAGCAGCTATGCAGCAGGTTGGAACATAAAGTGCTGCAGCCAACTGGACTGACAGGCAGCGAGCTTTAGCTTCTAGTCTTTCTCAGTGTCCACGTGTCTGTCTGTCAAGACCCACAGCTGTCTCCCCAACTCTACCCTTTCAGAAGCCCAGGATGCCATATAATTTTTATCCATGTGTGCTCCAGAATTCTGTCATTGTCTGATTATTACTCACAAGTATTCATGTGTTAAGAACTTGCTGTGGACTCCTTTCTGTTTGTATTTGCACTGGATCGAGTTCCTAATCTGGGATTCTCTGATCTCTACAGTCTGAATTAGTGGGCTTTGGGGAGTCTTAAATTTTGTGTATATAAATGTGCATTTTCTTGAGATTGAGAAGCAGAGCATCAGATTGTAAGCTCTTCATGAGCAGGAGCTGTACCTTACTGTATTGCCTGGCATGTGTTAGCCATTGGATGGTAAATGTTTGTTGAACCCCAGGAAACAGTATCTCCTAAAGGATGCAGTAAGAAGAAGGTTGGTTTTACAAATTTATAGAAAATAAAAGGTAGAGGGGATATTGGGTATGGTGACTCATGCCTGTTGGCTCAGTGACTCGGGAGACCGAAGCAAAAGTATCTCAAGTTTGAGGCCATTATCAGTAACTTAGTAAAGTCCTGTTTCAAAAATAAAAAGGTCTGGGGATGTAGATCAGTGGTAAAGCACCTCTGGGCTCCTCCCTAGTATCCCCCCAACACCCTCCCCAAAACAGGAGGTAGAGGGATCTGAGATGTCTAGCTAAGGTTGGTGTGTTAAAATGACACAATTAGCCTATTTTTATAGGTATTTTATCATTTTACAAGGCGGAATACCTGTAATGGAATTTATCGAAGATCCATGCTGTGGCCTTTGAGGTAATGGAGGACAAACTTCATAATCTATCACTTAGGGATTGAAGTTGACCATTACGTCTTACATTTTCAAAATGTATCCTATTTTTGTTTGGGGTTATGTTTTGATTGTAAATATTTGATAAGGGCAAATGTAGCTGACTTTGCAGCCTGACAGTAGTAGATGGAAGACTAATCAGGATAAACTGTTTCTAGTAGAAAATGGAGGTAGCAGTTTTCTTCCCTACCTTCCTGTGACACCTTGAACCTCTGTATTAGAAATTCTGTTTCTTTAGATTCCTTTTCCATCCCATGATATAATTTTAAATTGGATCAATGCATTTTCCTCTCCATTTGGCAATTAATTCCAGAATCTCCCCTGTGTGTGCCCACATTCCTGTTTGTTCAAAAGTTCCATACCCTGTAGTAGGACCTTCTGTCTCACGCTGATCAGATCAACCTGAATGGAGACAAAAATCTTGGAAATTTCCTCCCTTCAGTTAAAATCTACCCCAGAAGGTTTATAGGAAAAGCCTAATGCCACTTCTACTCATAGCAGCCGACTGTTTCCTTTACTAATTTTCATTTTTCTTATGTTAACTATAAACACATTTTGAAAACTGTTCCTTTAGAGAGACTACAAATAATACGTGATTCACTGGAGCCTGTTGCAGTATGGGCATACTGCCAGCACTCAAAGTACATGTTAAATGATTGAATTATATTTGAAACAGCTCACTGTGAAGAAGTGCTTTAAAAAATATCTGAAATCCCATAAGTGTTACATATTCAATGTAAAAAAGAAAAATTAGAGAATTGAGAAAAGATAAGAGATAAATGATTACTTCTTTCTATGATATATTTTTAAGCTTTTGATATGAGTATCATATTAATTATAATTAATTATAATTGGTTAATGTGCCTTTACTTTTTATTTCCTTAATACTATAGAATATAATAAGTCAACTATAGAGTACAAGAAAATCACACTTTATATAGGTGTGTGTATACGTGTGTGTGCGTATATATATACATATTCATATATGTTTATATATAAAATGTTGATTGAAAGCTGCTAATGAGTCAGATTGGAAATTAACTTCAAGAACTAATTTTGACAACGCTAGGAAGATGGAGGCTACCTGCTTCTCATATTTCTTGTTTTCTATAAAAAGTGATTGTGGCTCTTCCATGTCCCCTTTGACAGGATAATTTTGAAGGAAATGTACACAAAAATGTGTGGACTCAGTAGTTATAAGGATTTTTAAAAAATCAAGCTAGAGCCCTCGCATTATGAATGCATTATCAAACTTTCTCCGAGTTTTATGAAGGACTTGAGGAATGATTGTTTAAGTATCCCCAAATACAGACCCAAATAAATATTGACATCAAGGGAGAAAATGGGAATAAAATATTAAGATAGTTCAGTACCATATCATAAAACTCTTGAAATGCTTAGTATTTATACTGATTTCTTTTTAGGAAAACCTACATGTAGTTGAACGTGATGAGAAATAGTTGGCAAGTATTATTTATTTTACCAGAGCAGAGAACTCTCCAAAAAACCTTACTTGCTGAGCAACTTCTGTCCACAATTTTGTTTGGGTGGGAAGCAATAAGTTATGGGTACAGGACTCTGTGACGGTGGTTTTGGATCTGAGCCTTGGAAAGCTTAATACCAAAGCTAGACGGTTAGCATTTTATCTTAGGGGGCTCAATTAAGTTTTTCCAGATCTATAGGTCATGAAGTGTTTTTTTTTTGTCACAGGAGAAAAGCACCTTTTTCTCACATGATAGAACATTTATATACTTTCCCCAAAATAAAACCTTTTATACTTGAAATGATATAAAGTGAACTATAGAATTATGGCTTGTGGGTTTTGTTCTGCAATCAGCAACAGCTTTGGACAGAGTTAGGAGTGGTGGGTGATCCTGCTCCCTGCCCCCAATCTGGAGTATATCTGAAGGTGGCTATGACACGAGATATCCTGTCTTCACTCAGTCCAAGTTGGTCTTCTACACAACTATTAGTATTTGATTATTTTAGCTTTGGAATTTTAATGCTAGGTAAGTACTCTAAAAGTCTGCATTAGAATTTTTTAAATTGCGAATATTAAGATCATCAGTTCTCTGTTACTGAAGAAAATATGTGGAGAGAAAATACTTTTTTTCAGAGTGCATATAATGGAAATAATTTTAAACATTTAAAGATATGGAATGAAGCCGGGTGAGGTGGTGCACACCTGTAATCTCAGCATCTTGGGAGGTTGAGGCAGGAGGATCCCGAGTTCAAAGCCAGCTTCAGCATAAAGTGAGGTGCTGAGCAACTCAGACCCTGTTTCTAAATAAAATATACAGTAGGCTGGGGATGTGCCTCAGTGGTTGAGTGCTCCTGGGTTTAATCCTCGGTACCAAAAAAAAAATATGGAATGAATATATAATTAGAGTTTTTGATTTATTGTAATCGCCAATTACAGTAGATCTGATACTTTTTTTTTTTAGTTGTAGATGGACACAATACCTTTATTTTGTTTGTTTTTATGTGGTGCTGAGGATTGAACCCAGTGCCTCACACATGCTAAGCAAGTGCCTTACCACTGAGATACGGCCTCAGCCCTGATACTTTTTTTGATTTGCTTTAAAACTACTTTATAATAATTCACCACAGAATGTCACAAGATTTAGTTTCTGATACCAGGAATATTATATGACACTTCTCCATTTTACATTCTTTCCACTTCCCTATTCCATTTCCTTTTATGATGAATTTTTATCATCTATTGGCTAAATAATCCATAATCTATTTTTATTCTCTCTTGAACTTTTAAAAACTCTTTTGGTCAAATGATTCTTTGTTGGGATTGCTTTATATAACAGCCCACCAGTCCTGTTATAGTTGTGTTATTACTTGGCAAAGAGTTATACTTTCTTGTTTAGTTGCAGAATACGATGAACAGATCATGCAGGTTTTTATGATATTGAAGTGTGGCCTTGCCAAGCATGATGGCACATGCTTATAATCCCAGTAGCTTGGGAGGTTGAGGGGTTTGCAAGTTCAAACTCAGCCTCAGCAACTTAGCAAGGCCCCTCACTAAGCAACTTCACAGGACCCTGTCTCAAAGGGCTGGGGATATAGCTCAGTGGTTAAGTGCCCTGGGTTCACTCCCTGGTAACACCCCTCCACTCCCCAATAAAAAAGTTGTGGTCTCATCAGGATGTTTATCTAAGTGACCTCCCAAAGGTTAACTGACTCAGGCCTTGGTTGGTAAGTTAGTGTGGTAACTATGCCACTCTCTGAGGCAAATGAGCTTGCAAGCTCAAATCTCTTATCTCCTAATGCATTCATATGTGTGCCTTAGCCAAAGTTCAGTTATTTTATTAAATTAGATTTATGTTGTTTTCAGTATTCTGTAATTTGACTTTTAATATTTGAAACTGCTAAACATTTATTAATATCAAGATATATCACTAGTTCAAACTAATTGGTGGGGAAGGGAAGGCATTTTTTTTGGTATTGAACTTAGGGGCACTCGACCACTGAGCCACATCCCTAGCCCTTTTTTGTATTTAGAGACAGGCCTCTTCTTGTTTTTATTTTTGTTGTATGTATCCAGGATTTAGAAGAATTCTTGCTTAGCGCCTTGTCATTGCTGAGGCTGGCTTTGAACTCTTGGTCCTCCTGCCTCAGCCTGCTGAGTCGCTGGAATTACAGGTGCGTGCCACTGTGCCCGGCAGGGAAGGCAATTTGATAGAAGCATTTTCATAAACGTATGAAGTGAATTATAATTAGCACCATTTATATACCTGTAATGTAGTATATTAAAAAAAAAAGTCCTATGTTCAAGGCAGTTTTTGCACTATTAAAAAGTTACCCCACTTTTCATATATTCTGAAAAGATCTTGAATTCCAAGTAGTAGACTTACAAGTAATAAGGTATGATGCCAGAATTTAGTGTATTTTCTTTTCCTGTGAATTTGAAGTTATGCTATTAAAGTATAATATTTAAAGATTTTTATCTGATATATGAAGAACTTTCTGTGCTCATGACTGGCTACTTCTTCCCAAGCTATGTGTAAGTTAGTTCACTACTTTTGACTACTAAATAAGATAGATTTAAAATGTGACTTTTATGTACTCGTGGAAAATAATTTAGCCTGTTTTTTAATCACTGGGTTGTAATGCTGAGAGCAGTGCTCATCCTTGAATAATCATCTGAGAAGGAATATTTTTGTTGTTTTGCATTTTAGTTTTTTAAATTTTTTTTTAGTTGTAGATGGACACCTTAACTTTATTTATTTTTATGTGTTGCTGAGGATTGAACCCAGTGCCTCAAACATGCAAGGTTAGCACTCTACCACTGAGCTACAACCCCAGCCCGCATTTTAGTTTATTATAATACAAATTCAGTTGTAGTTCACTGAGAGTCTCTAAGAGACACAGATCCAAAGCCAGGCGTCATGGCGCATGTCTGTAATTCCAGCAGCTTGGGAGACTGAGGCAGGGGGATCACGAGTTCAAGGCTAACCTGGACAACTTTTTTGTCTCAAAAAATTAAAAAGGTCTAAGGATGTGGCTCAGTGTAGAGCAACCCACTGAGTTCAATTGCCTGTACAAAAAAAAAAAAAAAAAATAGGCTCCAGAGATTGTACTGTCAAGTATGCTTTTTTCTGGGGGGTGGGGTAGTACTAGGGATTGAACTCAGGGAGCACTCAACCACTGAGCCACATCCCCAGCCCTGGCATCTCACTGATTTGCTTAGTGCCTCGCTTTTCCTGAAGTCCCCAGCCCTTTTGTATTTTGTTTAGAGACTGGTTTTCACTGAGTTGCCTAGGGCCTTGCTAAATTGCTAAGGCAGGCTTTGAACTTGTGGTCCTCCTGGCTCACATCCCATAACCGCTGGGATTACAGGCGTGTACAACCATGCCCAGTTCAAATATACTTTGAATTATCTGGAAAATAAAACTTAGGCAGCCAGCTGGCTAATAACATATTTGCTGTGGTTTATGTTTTAATTCTGAGCTTAGGGCGTTTTTTGGTCAGGGACAGAGGACCCTTAACATAGGAAATAGTTGTTAGCAGAGGTCTACACTGAGAGCAAAAAAGAGATCCTTGTTTATGTGGGAACTAAAATTCCCTCCTAATGGTAGCTGGAAATATAAAGTCCAGATCCTGCAGTTCAAATGCAAAGTTCCTGGTTTGGTTGAATTTGAGTTATCGACTTTCAGTATACAACTAACTAGGGGCCAAGTTATAAAAATTAAGCTGTTCTAGGGGCTGGGGTTGTAGAGCACTCACCTAGCATGGGTGAGGCACTGAGTTCGATCTTTAGCACCACATAAAGATAAATAAAGGTATTGTGTGTCTAAAACTAAAACATTTTTTTAAAAAAGCTGTTTCTGCTAAGAGGTTTTAGTGTGATTTGCTTTACTATGTATATCTAGTTTCTTATATCCATTCCAGGTGCCTAATTTAGTAAATTTTTGTTCCAACATTTGAAGGAATAAACAATATTAAGAGTTTTGTGGGGTGTGAAAGGATATGTAAGACAGAAATCAAGGTTTTAATCGTTCTGGTTTCCCACTTGTATATATTACTTTTTTTCTGAATGTTGGTAGGCGGGTGACTTCCCAGTTGTCTGCCTGAAAAATCCAATTTATTTAAATATATTTCTCTGGTGTTGACTTCCTGGTAAGTGTGTGGTGTGGAAATTACATTTCTTTGTGGCTTTAAAAATGAAGTGATTTTTATTAGAGTGCAAAAGTCAATTGGAAGTTTTGGAGATTTTTAATATATTACTTTAGGTTAACCATAAATCTTTATCTATTTTCTCTTTCTTAAAATTTAGTCTCCTTAAACTAACCTCACATCTTAATTCTTTTCTCTGATTTCTTGAACATAACAAAACGTGAACTAAGGTGGTTTTTGGCTTTGTGCTACACTGTCTTGAGTGTAACTGGACTATGGTAACCAGGGAAGACTGCTGCTCTCCCCCACCCCAGTGTGTGGGTGGGTGAGTGGGTGACAGATCCACACTGGAGTCTGGGGAATCATCAAGGGATTTGGCCTCTCCATCAGTGTTTTGGGGGAGGGTGAGCAAGCTGGGATGAGGGGTTTGTAGAGAAGAAATTAAAGTTAATAAACAAAGGCCTCTTCTTGTTTTTATTTTTGTTGTATGTGTCCAGGATTTAGAAGAATTCTGCTTTAAGTTTTGCATCAATCATTTGACAGAAGTTACACAGACGGCAGCATTTTGGCAAATGGATGGTCCTCTGCTAAAGGAGTTCATTGCTAAAGCCAGTAAATGTGGAGCCTTTAAGAACTGAAGCCCAAGGCTGCTGGGGTTTGTGTGAGTGCTTTGGGGGCACTGTTGGTGATGTGTCCAGCTTGTGCTCTACGGGTGATGTGATTCTGCAGGTAAAACCCACCAGGTTTTTATCACATCTTGAGACAGTTCTCTGTAGGAATATATGAAGGATATTTGGCTTTTCCTGAGCCCATTTTAAACAACTTGTTTCCAGATATGTATATTTTAAATGTGACCTTTCTTATATTGGGGCTAGAACATTGTGAAAGGATGAAAATTTAGCTTAAAGGAACTTTGAAAAAGGAAGTTGTTGAGAACTCTCTTGGGTCATATAGTACAACCCCTTAATATCAGGAGCTGTGATTGTGAAAAGAACACGGAGGCTCATCGGGAATTAACAGTGCTGACTAGCAGGGCAGGGGGCCGGGTAGGCGAAGTGCTGCTGTTAGTTGCCGGTCAGCACCTTACTGTAAAGGACGGTTAGAATTGTGTGAAAGTATGGTTGGTGTGTATTCACTATTGATGGCTTTTTAAACTTCAAGATATATCAAAAGAATATTCCATTTAACTTATTTAATGTTGTTAAATCTACTGAAGTAATTGAGTAAATTTCTAGGTTAACCAGGAGCAGTAATATAGAATTATCCATGAAAAATTAATAATGAAAGAATCTTTGTTTGGATAAGGGTGAATGTTTTATTAATGAGTCTCTACTACTTATCTCATGGTGTGTCACTATAGTAAGGATGAATTTGAAAAACGGGATTTAAATCACCCCTTCACCTTTTCCCCTATAAATGCTCACTCATAAGAAAAAAAAAAGACACATATTAATATACTCTTGCCTTCCTGCTAGAGCTGCTAAATCATCAGATCTGCTATGATGACTTGAAGAAGTGGTTTTAAAATCACCTTTCTTATAAGGAGAAATGGAATTTGCTTCATTTATTTTATCTAGGCCAAATTCCATCACACACTGGCTTCTTTGAAACTTCACCGTCTTTCAATTTGGGATTTTCCTCTTTTAATTGTGTTAGCTAATACTATTTAGCAGAATTGAATTTAAAGGGATCCCAAGATCATGTTTTTTCAACAAAGATCCTATACACAAGATAGAATTATTATCTTTTGGTCTGGTTATGAAATGTGACTCTGGGATATAACAGTGTTCACTTTTATCACATGTTCATTGAGCTTGCTTTAAGAACAAAACTTTGTTTAGCTCTCTGGTCCATGGACTCTTGTCCATTCGTGTGAACTCTCTTAGTTTCCTGCTTAGAGAGGACCCTGTGAACTTAACACCTGAATTTGTTTTCAGAGCTACATTCGTAAGAGAGAAAATATGTTGCAGCTACTATTTTAGCACTGTTCTTAAATATGTGTATTAGGGTGAATGGAGAGTGAAGCTCCAAAGACAATTGTTGATAGGCAAAATAAGTACAAACCTTAGAAGTCCCATCCCTTTTTTCTGGATCATATCACAAGTGACTGAAGCCCAGTAAATTAGTTAAAATTAGTTCTGCACGATGATAGAATTTTTCTTGCTATATTGATGAATGCACATTAATTTGGCTATAATGGGTAGTATTTCTAACAATTACTATTCTGTAGGATTATGATTTGAACAAAATAAGAACTTCAGTATGTTTACTATTACTTACTTGAAAAAAATTTCTTCAAAAAGCACAAGATGAAGTGGTAGATCCAGATCCATAGATAGTTCATTCATTCAGCAAATATTTACCAAATTCCTAATACAGGTGAAGAACCACTTCTCAGATTACTAATTTGTATGAGTGTGTATGGTAGTGAAGAGAACATGTCCTTCAAAAAGTACTTGAGTATTTTTTTTAAATATACTCTTATTTTTCTACTACTTGGTTTATTGTTAATCATAGCGGGAGATGGAAACTGTTCTTTAAATTGATTTTTATTTCATTTGATGTAATAACGGAAGCCAAAATGTTCACATTTCTTAAAATATCCCTACTGTACTCTTGGACTTCTTACTGGAACAATGTTTGATACTCTAGTATACAAGTGGTATTTATGTAATGTTTAAAATGATATTAATAAAGTACTCTGATAAGGCAGGCATCTCTTAGAGTTGTTTTTCCCCACTTAGAAGTCTGCAGTATGCAGCCTCGAGTAAGAAATTTTGATATGTGGGACATTATGGATTAACTTGGCTAACTGAAACAAGCCAGTCACAAAAAGACAAATCCTGTGTGATCGTATTCATAAGGTTCATACCTGGAATAGTCAGGTTCAGAGGCAGAAAATGGAAGGGTAGTTGTCAGGAGCTGGGGAAGGGAGAATGAGTTGTTTGAGTACAGTTTTAGTTTTACAAGATGAGTTTTTTTTGGATGAATGTTGTTTGACGGTTGTACAATATGAATTTATTTAATGTTACTGTATACTATTAAAAATGGTTGAGGTGGTAAATTTTCTATTACAAATATTTTATCACAGTTTTAAAAAATCAGTAGTAAAATTCTTAGCTGGTAGAAGGCTAGAATAAGAACTGTGAACATGTTCATTGCTTGATTCTCGTATCCACACAGAAATGCTAGGAACTTTATTCCTGTTGAAAGATAGTACAATTGAACTGTCATGTCTGAATCCTCTTGGGACGCTCATAAATGAAAGAAAGAATACCTCTTGCCAGGGGGGCATATAAGTTTTTAGGGGAAGGGAGATAAGGTTAGGAATTAATGACACAATAAGATATGAATATTTTTTCATAAGAAAAAACCAAATAGGGTTAATATGACAAGGAGTTGTTCTGAACAAAGATGGTCTGTGCAGAAGAGGGGAAAATGGTGCTTTTAGCTCATTTCTAAAACAGGTATAAGTGGCGTGAGCAAATGCTTAAGAAGTTGGGGCTAATGAACCTTCTAGAACTTACCATAAGCAAGTTTGTTTGGTTAAAATGGAGATAATGAACCAGTGACTATTAGTCAAAAATTATCACCTAAATGCCAGGCACTGTACCCTGTGCTTCATACCTTTTCTTATTTAGTGGTCACGTTTTGTCTCATAAAGTGAAATTAGGCTCAGATCTATTCAGTGATTTGATTACGGTGTTTTAGTAATGACGGGGTGGAAGCACCCTCAGGTCTGTTTTAGCAGTTGCTGACTTTATGACCCCCAATATAGGATGCTCCATTGTGCCAAATAACCTACTGTGAATGACAGATTAAATTTGAAAGTAGAGACAGTGCTTTTTAATAAAGATCATGACTTCAAAATCATTAGTCACATAAGCTTTAAGATGTCATAGTGGGACAGGAAGCTAACATTAGTCTCATCTAGACCAGGGGAAGTCTTTATTCAGCAAGGCTTGGGTGGAATAATTTTGGCTTCTGCACTTTTAAAAGGTCCTCAGCTGATTCCAGTGTGCAGCTAGATTTAAAACTACTGATTTATTTAGTCTTTTGTCCTTTAGGTAATGATTTGGACTAGACCTGCCATTAAAATGGGAATGGAGTGTCTTTTTCTATCTATTTCATAATCTTTCTTCAACAGATGTTTTTGATTACTTATGCTTGGGGGACTCCATTCAAACCCATTTTGACATGCAGCATGGTAGTGATTCAGAGAACTTCAGTTCGGTGTGATGGCACACACCTGTAATCCCAGCCACCTGGGAGGCTGAAGTGGGAGGACTGCAGATTCAAGGTCAGCCTGGGTAATTTTGCAAGACTATCTCAGAAAAAAAAAGGGGTGTGTGTGTGGAGGGGACTGGGGCTGTGACTCTGAGCTAGAGTGCTTGTCCAGCATGCATTAGCCCAGTATTTGCCCCTCACACCATCCCCCCCAAAAAAGGTCAGGGGATTTAGAACCATAAATGGGAGAATGACAGCAGTCAGTGGTGGTATGGGCACAAAAATCTGAATTGTGTATTGTTAGACTAAAAAAAACTTTTAACTATTATTTTTCTTCATTCTTATATATTCCCACTTCTGTTCTTATTAATAGCCTCGCTTTAGATTTTGGTGTTTCAAAAATGATAAATGGTCAGGGGGGAATGGGGGAAGAGGGAAGGATGGGAATGGGAAAGACAGTAAAATGAATTGGACGTAACTTTCCTATGTTCACATATGAATACACGACGAGTATGACTCCATCATGCACAACCACAAGAATGGCAGTTACACTCCATGTATGTGTGATATGTCAAAATATATGCTACTGTCATGAATAACTAAAAAGAACAAATTTAAAAGGAGATGATAAAATGGTCATATAATAACTGGCTGAAAAGAGATTTCTAAAAAGCAGACTGACATGAAGACAGGTAAATCTGGTATAAGTGGTACATACATATCTATTACTATCTGAGAGCCATTATGGGCTGAAACTAGTCTCAAAAATTATGGATTTTGATGCATTTATTGTACCAATGTTTCTTGAGCAGACTAAGTGCTGGGAATATGACAGTGAGCAAAACAGCAGGATAATGGTGAGAAACCACAGAAATCATTTCTGCTATCAGAGATCCTATACTTTCATGGTGTGAAGTGAGATGTAGCTAAACTGGGAAGTAGTATGAAGGAAAAGTAATCTCAGAATAAGTGGAATACTGTTACGAGTCCCATCCAGTGGGCAAAGCCAATCAGCAAGAACTTAAGAGCTGGTGGGGATATAGTCTGGGCCCCAGAGAGGGATGGGCTGAAGGTGTGTGGCTCTTGGGCTGGGTTTCTGGTTTAGGGGCTACTTGCAGTTTCACCTGACCACTGGCTTAAGAAATGATGGTCTTTAGGAAGACAGAGAGGATTCGGAAGTGGAACTTGACCTGAGGTCTCTGTTTTCTTGAAAAGAGCACAAGGTTTGTTTTAAATCCTGAAGTAGCTCAATGTCTTCCTTCAGCTGCTGCCGCATTTCTTCAGATTCATGAATTTTATTCTCTATTGCTTTGAAAAGAAGAATAAAGTGACTTTAGATTATTCAGTGGTTTCATGAGAAATAATGTGCTGTTTCTAGCCTCTTTCACTTGCAAGTACGTAGTCCACAATGCTTGTGCCTTGAGTGAAAAACTATAGAGTATTGTGAGTAGAAACTGGTTTCTTTCTGATGGCTTCCTCTTCTCATTCAGGTTGGGATTCCAGCATTTATCACCCATAAAGCTGGTAAGTCTTTTTATGAGTTTGTGGCAGAAAAAATCCCTATTGTTTATCTGTGAAAACTTGAACACTTATATAACTCACTTGCTATGCTATGTGCATTTGTTGAAAGTTGATAATTGGAGAGAGAATGTGGCTAGGATAAGGGCAAATCTTTCATAAAGATGCATCCAATTAATGTTATATAAAAGCTTTTTGTTTTAGAAGTAGGTTTTTATTGTGGAGTAAGAAGATACTGTTTCATAAGGCTTCATAAATAAGACAATATAATTTTAAAAGCCTTAAAATTTGTTTTAAAATACATCATCTTCAGAACAACCACACACCTGCAATTAACTATATACATTTTTAAGGCTAAATTAAGCTAGAGAATATCAAGTGTGGTGTCAAAGTTGAGCCTTTTCAGCTGGTTCTCATGCAGTTCCAAGTGGTGTCTCCTGGTGCCCTGCATCCCTGCACGGCACTATAACAGATGGACTCCCAACCATCCCACCCAGTGTGACAACTGGCAGGTTCTAAACATGTAACTGTGTCATATGAAAGAGTAAGATAAGTCTCCCATAAAAAGATTTCTAGAAGATTTTAAAGGCTACCTTAAATGAAAAAGAGAGATACTCTTATTAGCAGACTGAAAGATATTATTTGGGGTAAATTAAAAAAAAATTTTTTCTTGTTGCTTATAAATGTAGTAAGACTACAAATAGAAATGTATAATGTAAAACTCAAGTGTGAAAGTTGTGTATGTTTAGATAGGGATATGAACTATATGTTTTCTCAAGGAAAACCTAGTGTCTTAGTACCATTTCCTGACAAAAACATCTATAGGGCACTGTCTTGTGCAGGGTCAGGGGCAGCCATTCACATCAGATTACCTGAGAATCTGATCCCCCACTCCTCCCTGGGAGGTGCCTTGCACCACCTGCCTCCTGTGTGCAGCAGCCTTGACAAAGGTCAGATCACAATCATAAGTAGAAAGCCTTGAAGGCTTGAGCTTTCAGTCTGTGAACAAGACTCAACAAGTGATTGGTCTCCCTCCTTTCAACTGAAATACCCCAAGTTTCTCTTCTACAAAAACATCTTGACTATTTTCTTTCTTTCTTTAATATATATATTTTAGTTGTAGGTGGACACAATGTTTTACTTTTATGTGGTGCTGAGGATGGAACATGCCTCACACATGCTAGGTGGGTTCTCTACCACTGAACCACAACCCCTCTAATTTTTTCTTATGAACTTTAGAATTATCCACAATGCCCCTCATAAGATATTAGATTTGAAGAGATTACATTTGTTGGGAGAACTAAACCTGACATTTTTTTATTTTATTTTTTTGTACTGGGGATTGAACCCATGGGCGCTTATCACATCCCCAATCCCCGTGTTTTTATATTTTATTTAGAGACAGGGTCTTGCTAAGTTGCTTAGGGTCTCACTAAATTGCTGAGGCTGGCATGATCCTCCTGCCTTAACCTCCTGAGCTGCTGGGATTATAGGTGTGTGCCATTGTGCCACACACCTATAAGGCCTGTTGTTTCCTTTCTAATGAGTTTCTTCTCATTAAACCCTAAAGTATTTGTATATAGGAAATTTGGAAAATTCAGCATTAAAAGAACAGACAAAAGAAATTACTACAATCCAATACCTATAAGAAACTGCTCTTTCTACTGAGTGCTGTTTTCCTGTGTATCTATTTATGTATATATATTTGTTTTTTTCTTCTGTGCCTGTCATACTGTTTTTGTAATGGGCTGTGCTATTTTCATTTAATAAAACAACATTTTTAAATGAATTTTATTACCTGTATAGCATCATACTATTTCAATCTATAAAAGTTTTTGTAACTCACATACCTGCTTGAAAATTTACAAATGTGTCTTCAAACAATCTACAGTCAAAAAGTGAAGTCCCAATTTCTTCATACTCTGGAGAGAGAAAAACATTTTCAGTATTAATTTTAAATAATTCATGTGTGCAGTTACACTTCAGAAAATAACCCAAAACAGGAACTTTTGGAAATGTAGAATCAAAACCTGGGGTGGGCAGCTATCTGTGCTTTAACAATTCCTCCAAATTGATTTTAAAGCAAAAAAAGTTTTGAGAAGTGCTTGGTCTAGAGAAAATATTAGTTTTAGTTTTTTAATCTTGTCCTATAGAACATATTCTTTCAAATAAGTATATATTTTACATTGCTGCCTATAATAGATAAAGCTTTCCTTTATGAAATAACTTTTAGTCTGAGCTTACAAATTTTATTCTATAGGTGTTAAGAAAGCTAAGGAACTATGTATTTATACCTTACAAATGGAACTTCAGTTTTCCCAAGAGTTCTTCAAGAAACTTAAGAAAGTTTGTATTTAACTAAAACACACATTGATCAAAACATTTAAATTTCTTCCATACATTAAATTTTGAGTAAACATTATTTATAGAGGGCACTTGGTTTATTTAGGAAACAACTTGAGTTACATCAGTACTGTAACCTAACTGTTCTCAGCACTTAAATTCAGGTGCACAGGGGGCCACCATGTGGCTACCTTGGCTCTAAATGCGCTTACACACCTGCGTGCACTCATGGGAACTACATCACAACTGTTAGGGCATTTGAATTAAACTACTGAATTTATCTACATTCTGTTGATTTATAATAGACAGTAGACCTTATACACAATAATTTTTATTAATGCAAGGGGAAAATGTTTTTTACCTTATTTCGTCTGTTTTACATCTAGGTCTGTGAAAAGTCTCTGTACTGGGAAATTTAGTACCTGATTCTGAGGTAGTTTCATCCATGAGTCTTTCTTGAATCAAATGAAGTTTATCTAATATTTCTTCAAATAAGTCATTAAGAAGTCCTGCTTCCTTACATTTCTTAAGAAAAGGTGTTTTCACAATTGCATCTAATAAGGAAAACATTATTATAAGTAATGGTCTTATAGAGCAGCTAATCATACCACTTTATGGTTACTTCTTCAAACCTTGCCTAGTGGCTGATGAATATAATTAGTAAATAACACACAACACCTTTATCAGTGAATGAAGTGTTATAAGAGAAAACTTTGCTTATAATAACTATATAAATTAAGAAGAATTTCTAAAATTTAGCTTCAAATCCTTGAGATGACAACCTGCCCTTTTTTTTTTGTCAATCACTATGTCATTTTCCTTACTAGCCAATGATTTTTTTAAGTTGTCAATGGATCTTTATTTTACTTATTTATACACAGTGCTGAGAATCGAACCCAGTGCCTCACACATGCTAGGCAAGCGCTCCACCTCTGAGCTACAACCCCAGTCTTTCATCTACAAAACTCCTTATTTTATAAGAAATAGTGTGTGGGGTGGCACATTACTGGGTTCTGAGCTCAGGCAAGACTAGCTTCTTTATTAGGAAGTATATCCTCATATTGAGAAGCAACGCCCAATCCAACCCAACTTCTTTACATGGTGGGGTGCTAATGGACTAAACGGCTGAAATACCGAAGAGTCAACGTTTTTACAAGTACTGGAGGCTGTGTTATAGCTGTTGCTGAGCACAAACCTGGGGAGCTGCTGTTCTTTTCTTTCATTGATTTTATGAATCTATTGAATGTTGTCGTCTCAGGTTGCTAAAGGGAGAGAAAAATCAAGATTGTACTGTTGGCATTTAATACATAAAAGCCAATCCACTGTGTATAATTAAATGCATTTTAATGGGAAAATGCATTTAATTATACATGCCTTATATTCTTATGTAGATTTTTAAAAAAAGTTATTTTAGTTGTAGATGGACACAATACCTTTTTTATTTTTTATATGGTGCTGAGGATTGAATCCAGTACATACCAGTTATAAAACAAGGTATTTGAGAAGTGTGTGTATGTATGTGTGTTTGGTTTTTTTTTTTGGTATTGGGGCTAGAACCAGGGCCCCTTAACCACTGAGTCTCGTCCCCAGCCTTTTTTGATTTTTTTGAGATGGGTCTTGCTAAGTTTCTGAGGCTGGGGGAGAAATATTTGTTTTTTGAGATAGTTATGTTGCCCAAGCTGACCTTGAGCTCCTGGGTGCAAGTAATTTTCCCGTCTCAACCTCCTGAGTAGCTGGGACTACAGGCAAGCCACCTCACCAGCTTGAGAAATACCTCTTGAATAATAGCAAATAGTAGAGGCTGCTGGCTCATATTAATTTGGCTTATATGAGCTGATGTTAATACTAGTTAAAATCCTGTAAGTATTTCATATACTTTATAGTCTAGAAAATTATAAGAATTACAAACAAGGTTATATTGGATCATGTAGCTGGGAAATATTGACTATACCAGTGCTCAGCTATACCCTCAGCTCATGTAAGGACCTAAGCACTCTATAGTCAGATGTTCTAACTTGGTGTTAGGGGATGCTTTACAGAAGCTGTGGGAATAATGTCTCCTTCAGAACTTCCAGCTTCTCCTTACTAATTTCATCATTAAGAATTATCTAAAAGCTTCCTAAATAAGGGATTCTTCCCAAAAGGGCATCCTCAGGCACAATCTCAGGTTTATCTAGTCAGACAACTCAAAGGAAGCTGCTGTCTATTCCAGTGAGTTGGAAAGTACATTTCACCTGAAATTCAGAATGGTTTAAATAAGGACACTAAGAAATTTAAAGCTGTAAGAAAATTTAAGTCAAATTACCGGTACATGAATGCCTGTTGGGAGTCTTTTCTTCCTTCCTCGTTTTCTTTTTACTCCATCAGCTAAAAATATAAATCACTTAAGTTGGAATACATAAAGGAAAAGATTGACATATAAAATTTGGAAAAGCCAGAAGTTGTTACAAAGTCAAAAGATCCAGCAAACAGACTAAGCATTTTCAACATACAGAATAAAGGGCTTTTTTTTTTTTTTTTTTTTAAATATTTATTTCTTAGTTCTCGGCGGACACAACATCTTTGTTGGTATGTGGTGCTGGGGATCGAACCCGGGCCGCATGCATGCCAGACGAGCGCGCTACCGCCTGAGCCACATTCCCAGCCCAAAGGGCTTTTTTTTAATATTTATTTTTTAGTTATAGGTGGACACAATGTCTTTATTTTATTTTTATGTGGTGCTGAGGATCGAACCCAGTGCCTCACACAAGCCAGGCGAGCACTCTACCTCTGAGCCACAACCCCAACCCCTAAAGAGCTAATTTTTAAAATATAAAATGATCTTAGTGAATATGAAAAGGAAATAACTGAGTAGTAAAACTGGTATATGGAGAACTCTTCAGGAAGCAGAATCACTGAATAGAAAAGTGAATAAAGTAGGTCATAGAAAACAACTGGTGAGGGGCTGGGATAGTGGCTCTGCGGTAGAGAGCGCTCCCCTAGCATGCGTGGGGCCCTGGATTCGATCCTCAGCACCACATAAAAGTGAATGGAATAAAGGTATTGAGTAAAAAAAAAAAAAAAAAAAATATATGGTGAAAAGATATACAAAGTAAAAAGTTTTCACATATCAGACTGATAAAGATGTTTAATATACAATATTTGCAGTGATTTGGGTAACTGTACCACAGATGTAATCTCTATGGAAGATAATTAGCCACAGGTTATCCAGAGTTTGTTTATATTCTTTGAATCAGTAATTTTACTTTACAGTGTAGTTTGTGTGGAGGCAAAGATGTATGGGGAACAAGGTTAACCATGGTATTAAATGTAGTAGAAAATATTAAATACTATTAAATGTAGTAGGAAATAACCTACATGTCCATCAAGCAGAGAATAATTCTATTGTACGGCTGTCTCATGGAATACTGTGTATAAGCACAAGTGTATAAGCTTATGCAGAAGGATCTTGAAAGTATAGCAAGTGAAAAAAGCAATGCATATTAGTGGTATGTTTACACAAACATTCTTTGGAAGAATTCAAAAGAACAAGTGTTTCCTCTGAGGAAAGGACTCATTTACATCCTCTTTTTTGTGGTGCCAGGTATGGAACCCAAGGCCTTGTACATGTCAAGCATACACTGAACCACTGACCTACACCAATAGCCCAAGATTATTTCCTTTTTTTTTTTTTAGTTGATGTGCCTTTATTTTATTAATTTATTTAGTGCTGAGGACCGAACCCAGAGCCTCACACAGGTGAGACAAGCGTTCTACCACTGAGCCACAACCCCAGCCCCACATTATGTTTTTTAAAACTAACTGTTCTCTATCAGTAAACACTGATTAAGAGCAATCTCTTTATGGCATTTCCTCAGTTAAAAGGGTAATGACTGAAAAATAAGGGTAGAGATACTGTTCAGAGAGTGCCTTTTGCCCCCATAAAATGTAGTGGCATGACACAGAACTAAGTCTTTTCCAGAGACGTCCTGACTCCAGGTCACGGCGAACCTTCTGTATTTAGTACTAGTAAAACACTGGTGTTCTGAAAGTACACTGAAGGCACTCATGAATGAATGTACATCCCATAACTCCAGATAGGATCTATTCTACCTTAATTAAAATGAAATGCTAACCATGAATTTTTGGGAAGTTTTTATTCAGGAAGTATATGACACCTTACTAATTTTACCTACTGAAAATTCTAATATTCTTACAGGAAAGTAGTAGTCACAAAAGCCATAACTTTTTACGGTGTCTAGTTTGGTCCTATCAGTATGGTGAGAACTGCCAGAATAGGTCTAATTCACCATTAAAAAAAAAAACTAGTCAAGCTAGGCATGGTGGCACACTTTAACTCCAGTGAGTTGGAAGGCTGAGACAGGAGGATCAAAGTTCAAGGCTAGCTTCAACAACTTAGGCCCTAAGCAACTCAGTAAGACCCTGTCTTAAAGGCTGGAGATGTAGTTCAGTGGTAGAGTAAGCCTGGATTCAATGTCATATCACATTGTGCACAGAGAAACTGACAAATTTTATAGGTATGTACAATTTTGACTCAAAAATTTGTATTTTAATTCAGTGAAGCAAGTAAATGACTATTCCATGTCTTATATAAATGTTTGATTTTCTTTAAACCCACAATACTGAGATTGTAGAGACTTACCACTCTGAGCATTGGTTGGTGATCTGGGAGCATGATGTTGGCATAACACCCTGAAAATATGCAATTCCAAAGAATCATTAAATCTTTTAATAAACAGTTTTCAAATACAATGTCAATTTCCTTGTGATTTAAAAAGGTACTAAATTTTCATAATTGCTACTCTTTAAATTTTAACTTTTTAAAATATTTATTTTCCTGTTATACATGGACACAGGATCTTATTTTTATGTGGTACTGAGGATTGAACCCAGTGCCTGAAGCATGCTAGGCAAGTGCTCTACCTCTGAGCCCCTTCAGTGTTAACTTTTAAAGAGAAATGCTAAACCAGTGTAAAATTAACCCACATCAAGTGCGGATGAGTCTGTTAGATATCTTCTCTGCCCTCTGAATCTTAAAAAGATTATGTTCTCTGAAGGAGTAGTTGAAGTCTTTGAACAGTACTGGTTCATACTCAGTGGTTAGGTGCATTTGACTATACAAAGATACCTAAAGATCCAAAATCTTCTAAGACATGAAAATTTCCACGAGACTACACAAAGCTTGATTTTCAACAATACACAAAAGTGCACACATTAATTTATGAAAAATTAATGGCAGATTTCCAGATCTTATATCTAACCTACTAGAGATGAAGTGAGAACTGTGCAGATCCTGTTTTCTTCCTGCATTTCTTCTGTCTCAGTTGCAGCTACTTCTCCCTTCTTTTCCTATTGAGGCTGATGGTCAGGATGCTGTGCTTCCTCCCATCTTCCACGAGGTCCCACCACCTCTATGCCACCTTCCCAGCAATACCCAGCTAGCCCCTTACTTCCCTGCTTTAGGTTCTGGTAATCTCTGAGAACTTTCATTTCCCAAGTACTCAAGTTTCTTCCAAGCACATTTTTCATTGACTTAATTCATTAGCTCTAATATAAACTCAAGTGAGTTTTCCCCAACTTCTTAAGAGAGTCATGACTTCAATTGCTTTTGTTTTGATCTTATGTTCAAAGTCTTTGTAAAAAAGTTATATAAAACTGGCCCTTTGTAAAGTTAAAAAAAAAAGTGAAATCTGAGCACAACCTATGAGTTTCTTAGCAAATTGAACATTAAAAAAAAAAAGTACAAAAGTTGAGCTGGGCTGTAGCGCATGCCTGTTACCCAGTGGCTCAGGAGGATTGTGAGTTCAAAGCCAGCCTGAGCAATTTAGTGAGGCACCTAGCAACTCGGTGAGACTCTGTCTCTAAATAAAATATATATATAAATGTCTGGGGTTGTGGCTCAATGGTTCAGCGCTTGCCTAGCATGTGTGAGGCACTGGGTTCGATCCTCAACACCACATAAAAATAAATAAATATTGTGTCCATCTACAACAACAACAACAAAAAAAGTACAGAGGCTGTGGCTTAGTGGTAGAGCGCTTGCCTCTACCACTGGGGCACTGGGTTTAATCCCTAGCACCACATAAATTAATAAGATATTGTATCCATCTACAACTAAAAAAATAAAAAGTACAGTCCTAATGTCTCAAGCAACAAATGTAACTTGCTCAGACTCATTTAAAATTATTTTGGAAACTTCTTTCAATAGCAGGCTTACCCACATTGTTTTAGAAGATATGGCCCCTATATCTGAAGATGAACTGGTGTGGTAAAGAGCAAGGGACTCAGGATCCCTGACACCCAGCTCTGCCACTTATCAACTGTGTGACCCAAGGAAAGTTCCTAAGTGGCCCCGAGCTTTATCTGTAAATAGGGATAATAGTGGCTACCTCCCTGGACTGACTGACATAACATTAGTATAGCACTTTGAGTTTGCGTGGCAAAAAGTGGTTATTAAATAAGTTAATAAAAGTGCCTGGGACACTTAGGTAAGGGGATCCTACTCAGATCTGAGTAGCATTTAAAAAAAAATCACTTTATGAACAAATCTTACAAAAACTTTTAAAAAATGCTCTCATAACACCATCCTATTACTCAGAACAGGTAGCTATTTACTGGTATAACAGTGGAAATTACATTTATTCCACATACAAGACTGGAGACATCAACTGATGAGCCTGTGGCTATATAAGTAAAAAACTACTTCCTGTGTCAGAAAAGAACAGCTTTGAACTGGTCCCTATTTCCTGCTTCCCTTTAGGCCACTCATGCCACTATCACAAGTGATGCTTTTTACCAGGAAGGACAGGATGCAGGGAAACTTATAAAAGCAAAACTAAACCTTGTATTGTTTTTCTGTGATACTGAGAAAAGGTGTTATAAAGTTTAGTTCCCAACTGGGTATCCCCCTGTCTTGTCATTTGAAAATCAGTTATATAAATTTAGCTTTTAAAGTCTCTGTCTTAATTTTCCTATTTCTATCCCAATCCCCTAAACATAGGTTTAAAACTGTTGTGTTAAATACTTATAAATCCCTCGAGCTCCATCAGCCTGTGGAAATGCGTTGTCCTTTCTGGCACAGAAAAAGTGGTAGTTCTTGGCACAAGTTTTTAAGTCGCATCCCACGGTGGCTCCTCTTTCACGACACAACGTGCATTTCTACAGAAGAATAGGTTTTACTAAATAAGATCCAGTTTTTCATAATCTTTGTTAAAATTTAAAAATATCATTAGATGTTACTTAAGCCAGCAGTCTTGAAAATTTCAGCAAAACCTCAACTAGTGAATGCTTGGCCTGGATTGTTCCAGAATGATCCCATTAAAAGCAGAAAATGCTTTTTCTTTCAAAAATCAATGCCTTTTTAAAAGAGATTTCAAAAAATCAGAGTTGGCAAACTTATCCAGCTCAAGGAGGCTACTGGTCCTGAAGGGTATAGGAACCCGAGACAAGAGCAGCTCCTGGCCGCTTGCCTGGAATCCCAGGTAGTCATGAGGCTGAGGCAAGAGGATCCAAGTTCAATAAGAGCCAGTCACTTCTCTTAGATTCCTTTCTGGGGTAACATTAACTGTCTATAGGGTTGCTATTGAGGATAATGTGAGATAAAATAAAGGAAACTTCTTTGGAATCTATGTAGTAGAGCTTCCCCCCAAAAAACAAACCAAAAACCCCAATTGAGCCATATTTTTCTTAGTTTAGCTTATCTGATCCCTTGCTTTTATTTCTCAATCTGGTATTTTATTGAAGGTGGTGTAGAGATGGTTAGGCAGACACTGTGTGGCCCCAGAAACCTGAGTGGTTTAGGGAATCCAGCTATGACCAAGGCTGATTAGGATCATCTTCTGGCTGAATGACTGGTGGCCCAGTAAGACCATCTTGCAAAACAGATGGCTCACACGATTCCCCAACATCAGCACAAGCAAACGTGTAAATAAAGACAGTTCAAATGTAGGTGAGAAATAAGATTAAGATAAAAGGTGGGATTCCAAGTCAGACCATAAAAGAATGAAAATTTAATTGGGGGGACCAAAAACTCTCCCAAATAAATTTTAAATGGATTAACACTCTAATTATGAAAGCAAATTAGGAAATAAAGGGGAAAGAAAAAAAGGATGGTGTGTGGTAAAGGAAGGCTATCTAAGGAAGGTAGAAAACCCAGAAGCCACAAAGAAAAAGACAGATCTGACTATATAAAAAATTTAAACTTTCATATTTATGGCGACATATGCTATTTGAAAATTTTAAGACAAGGAAAAAGATGGAAAGAAAAATGTTTGCAGCCAGATGCGGTGGTTCATGCCTGTAATCCCAGTGGCTCGGGAGCCTCAGGCAGGAGAATTCAAAGTTCAAAGCTGACCCCAGCAATTTAGCATGGCCCTAAGTAACTAGCAAGTCCCTACTCAAAAAATAAAAAGGGCTGGGGATGTGGAGCAGTGGTAGAGAACCCTGGTTTCAATCCTTAGTACCAAAAAAAAAAAACCCCAAAAAAACAAAAACCCAACAACAAAAAATGTTCAAAGAATATTAGATACAGGGTTAAGATAATCCTCCACAGGAAAATGGTAACAGGCAAATCCCAAAAGAAATACAAATGGCAATAAACATTCATTTGCTTAAAGTCTTTGCAGATGTACAGTATTTATTGTAGCTCTGATGTGGCAGACATTGTTGAAGGATAAGGGGTAAGACAGTGGACTAAGTAGAAGGTACCTGTCCCCATGAAGTGTATATTCTAGTGAGGAGGGGGTACAATGATTAAATAAAGCAAATTTAAAAACATCTCATGGTGGAATAGGGATGTAGCTCAGTGGTAGAGTGCTAGAGTGCCTGCCTAACATGTGAAAGGGTTAGATCCCTGGCACTGCAAAAACCCCCAAACAAAAATATAAAAACACTTCACAGAAGGGTTTATGCATTGTATCTAACTAAAATAAGACAAATGACAGTGTCATTGGGTCCCTGCTTCAGATTGGGTGGTCAGTAAAGTATCATCTAAGGTGGTAATAGAGAAGGTTGGAATAATAAGAGCTCCTGGCCTGCAAGAAAGCAGGGAGAAAGATAGTCTAAGCAGAGGCCCTTCATCCTTGTGGCAAGAATGAGCCTCCTAATGGGCAAGCTCACCAGAAAGGCAAGAGGAAGGCCTCTTGTTACAGCAGGTGAGTGGGCCGGGGGAGAGTCTCATAAGGGCAGGGTCATGGAGGGCTTACAAGCCAGAGTACAGCAAAGTAATTTTATCTTTGTTTAAGGTAATTTTATCTTTTTAATTTTATCAAAGTAATTTTATCTTTGTTTAAACTGACCAGTATTTTTAAGAGATCAATCTGCTGTATGGAGAATGAGCCGGGTAGGATGGCAGGAAGAAATCAGGGTATCAGCAATCTTCAGCCGCCTTTGAGAGAGCTAGACCAGTGATTTCAGTGGATTAATGATGCCAAGACAGAAGTGGGTAGACAGTGCAGTATGTCTAGGAGGATTGCTAATGCTAATGGGCTTGATGTTGTGCAGGGATGTGATGAGGGAGAGATCATTCTTAGACTTCTGCTTTGGGTAATGGATGAATCGCGGTGCTACTTACTGGGGTGAAGAAGGAATAGATTTGGATGGGGTGGATTGTGTTATCAGCCAACTTAAATATAAGATGCTTTTGTTATCTATGGAAATGTGTTAGGTTACTAGACTGGAATTCTAGTGAGGGGACAGGGCTGGAGATACACAGCCAGGGCATAGGGGAAGAAGTAGCCTGAAAAGTAGAAGACACCTAGTGTGTGTGTGTGTGTGTGTGTGTGTGTGTGTGTGTCCAGAAAGGCAAAAGAGCCAGGTGCAATGGTGCATGCCTGTAATCCCAGCATTCGGGAGGCTGAAGCAGAAGGATCACAAGTTCTAGGCCAGCCTCAGCAACTTAGCAAGGCCCTAGGCAACTTAGTGAGATCCTGTCTCAAAATAAAAAAATAAAAAGGGCTGGGCATGTGGCTCAGTGGTTAAGTGCCCCTGGGTTCAATTCCTGCCCCCCACACCCCACCAAAAAAAAAAAAAAAGGGTACTTCAAGACACAGGGTGTGGACAACTGGGTGAATACAGCTGAGAGGTTAAATAAAGGTAATCGTCAACTTAGGGTTGGGAGGTTGGAGCAAGGAGAGGTTTTAAAGAGAGATGACAGGATGTGAAACAGGAAATGTAGAGGGTGGAGGGTGAAGCAAACATACAAGCAAAGTGATGAGGAACCTTCTGATGTTTGCAGCCATGAATCTAAGTCACTATATTTGTGGGTTTTCTCCATCTCTTCAACTGCTCAAGTGCTGGTGCTACTAGGTTTATGCAGACAACAGACAGGTTCACCCAAGGATGGGACTTTGCCAGGTGAACAAGGAAGTGGTGCAGGGGGGTGGTGCGAGAGGGTGGTTGGGGTCTGCAAGACACTGCAGAAGTGGGCCATGGTGATGAGGTGTGGCCACAGATTGCAAAAGGAAGAACTGTCAGGGGAGAGTAATGAGATGGGTGGCAGAGGCCCAAAGAGAAATAATGTTCAATCTCTCCAGTGACCAGGGAGCTGTGAAATGAAGTTTTCTATACTTGGCAAAAATAAACAAGAATAGTGACACTCATTTTTGTCAAACTTTCTTTGACCATTTTGTCAGTTCATATCCAGCAAGAGAAAGGTCATCCCCACACATGGAATAAGAGGCATTCTTTCATCCACTATACAAAGAAGTATAAATCAGTATAACCTTTCCCAGGGGACAGTTTGTCAGCACAGTTCTTTTTTTTTAATATATATTTTTTTAGTTATACATGGACACAATATCTTTAATTTGTGTATTCATTTTTATGTGGTGCTGAAGATTGAATCCTGTGCCTCACATGTGTGAGGCAAGTGCTGTGCCACTGAGCCCCAGTCCACAGTTCAACATTTTTACAGGAAATTCTGACTCAGCAGTGTCATTTCTAGGAGTCTGCACTACAGAAATGCTCAAGCAAGCACACAAGGATATATATGCAAAGATGTTTGTTGCAGCATTACTTACTATGGTGAAAACTCAGTATAGAGTCATTATTTAACAAGGGAACAATTTTATGACTTATGGCACACTTTACAGAAATCCAGGGGTTCAGTAAAGAGAATAAATACCATGGAATCACACGCTTATAGTTTTGCAAACTGCCTTCCATACTTCGGTACATCCTGTTCCCTCTCTTGGAATTCCCTGCCCATCTTTCTTTTTACCTCTCCACTATACACTAGGACGGGGGTCCAGAAGGCCAGCTGCAGGGAGGATTCTACCCAGTCAAGGCACTTACTCTGTACTAATGCTGCCCAACCTTGACCTCAGGTGACTGCACTCCTCTCTCCTTTATCCTCCACTTGCATCCCAAAGTCTGCAAAACCCCCCAGGTATACCCACCTCCTCCTGCATATTAAGCCTTTAGTCAGCTGCCCTCATTCTTCAGCCTGGGTTCTTCCTTCATATGTAGACAATCTCTAGAATCTAATGGTGGGTTTCCTTAAATCTACCCCATTGACTCCACTGAAATCCACTAACAAAGAGCACAAAAATAATCTTTCAGTTATTTTTTAATTAGAGGAATATCTACTCACTCAATTTATCACACCCAAAGTCCTTGAATGACTCCAGTGGCCTCTCTATCACTTTATCAACATGATTTATATACCAGTATCCAATCTCCTATAAACACCCAGGGCAGGATCCATACACTCTGTTTTTATGCCTTGTTTTAGGATCTGCTAGTGTTATGTAAGCTGAGAAAGCATAATTTGTCAAATTCCATCTAGACTGTTCTCTCTTCACTCTGGACTTTCCATTTCTTCTGTTTACAAAATGGGCATCATTAGGTCTGTAGCTGGGAGTTTTCAAAGAACAATGTATGTAATGCTTACTGCAGGACGCTGCTGATGTTGACATTTTACAAAGAATAAATGCTGGTTCTTTGTCATTAATCTTACCATGATTGTGGAAGGATGTGAGGCACTCATACTTATTATCTTGCTTGCTAAGCTGTGAGTGCCTTTCACAGGAAGTCTGTGGGTGTAATGGACCCAGGAGGAGAACCCCTCAGCATTCTGTCCTTCCCAGATAGCCCCCTGATGACTTTGGCACCAAGGGTAGATCCTGATAAGTTATGGCTGCCCCTGGCAACTGATGGAGAAAGACAGTTTAAGATCAAATTAGAATTCCAGAGGCTTCTTATTCCATGTGTGAGGATGAGCTTTCTCTTTTGCTGGATATGAACAAAAAAGTATGATGCTCCAGGTACTACATGCAGCCATCCTACAGCCAGAAAGGGACAAGTTGATGCTGGGGACCAGGAAGGCAGGGGGAAGAAAATGGGCCCCTGATGACATCATTGATGTACTAAGGTTGGTATTTTCTCTGGTTAAGCATCCTCCTTGTTACAGCCAGTCTGAACCAGGGTTTCTTCTACTTACAGCCAAAAGCATTCTAATTCACATCTACTTTACTAATGCAGCCTGGTAGTTTATTTTAAAATACTAATCTTCTGGGCTGGGGTTGTGGCTCAGTGATAGAGTGCTCACCTAATATGTATGAGGTACTAGATTCAATCCTCAGCACCACATAAAAATAAATAAATAAAATAAAGTCATTGGGGCTGGGGCTGGGGTGTAGCTCAGTGGAGGAACACTTGCCTGGCACATGTGAGGCACTGGGTTCGATCCTTAGAACCACATAAAAATAAATAAAATAGAGGCATTCTGTCCATCTACAACTACAAAAAAACAAAATTTAAAAAATAAAGTCATTGTGTCCATCTGTAACAAAAGAAAAAATATTAAAAAAAAATTGAACTTCTTCAGCTCTCTAAAATGCTTATCTGTCTCTAGTTATCAATTAAATCACTTTGTTTTGCATGCAACCCCAAGAGTATGGTCATCCTGTGTGAATAATAAAATCATTTCTACTTACCAACTTTCTTCCTCTCTGGATTTCTTTCTTTACTGATTCCACATCAAAATTTCTATCACAATTATGTGGATCATGATCCTCACATTCCACAAGGGCTGAAGAATACAGCTGCAGATAGGAAAACAAAACAAAACAACAACAAAAAAAAACGAGTATTCATAAAGTAGTATTGAAAGCTATAGGCCAGAAAATGGTACTAAGAAACACTCACCAGGAGTGAAAGATGGATTAGAGGGTAGAATAGTGACCACTTTTCGGGGTTAGAAGCAGACCACAAGTCACCCTGCTGCTCTGGGTGTGATCCTGCATCCCAGGCAAGTTTTATATTACGTAACTCTGACTCCCATTGGCTAATTGGACCTGGGTGGGCCCTGATGCCAAGTTGGACCAGATTCTCTATCCTTGGAGTGTGGAATAGGCTCTGAGCAATAGTGAAAGCAACACGATTCAGTATGCAGAGAAATAAAAGCAGAAACAAGGACATGAGAAAGGATATTCCTGATAGCTTCCCAGCTCTTACTTCTTCGACCTGCCTGCATCTTGGCCTTCAGGAGCCTTGAAATGCCCTGTAATCTCGTTACAAATGTTTTCATATTTAGGCTGGCTCAAATTTCTGTGGGTCACTTGAATTAAAAGAGTCCAACCTACTTTCTCAATTGAAGATCAATATGTCACATATATTCAAATAACAAAGGGCATAAAAAACATACGAGAAAAATTTTTGTGACACTGGCACAGGCAAAGATTTCTTACAAAAAGCAGAAGCCATAAAGAAAATTTAATAAATTGGACTTAATCAAAAACTTCTTGCTCTTTGAAAAATATTGCTGAGAAAATAAAAAGACAAGCCAGAGACTGAGATGTATTTACAATACACCTTTGTTTTGTTGTTGGTACTGGGAATGTAACTCAGGGGCACTTTACAACTAAGCACCTCCAGCCCTTATTTTTTATTTTCAGACAGGGTCTCACGAAGTTGCTGAGAGCACTGCTAAATTGTTGAGGCTGGCCTTGAAACTGTGATCCTCCTGCCTCAGCTTCCCAAATTGCTGGGATTATAGGCATAATCCACCATCACATCATACCTGGCAAAAATACATCTAGCTGACAACGTACACGCATAAAGAAAAAACTTAAAACTCAATAATAAGACAAATTAACAATGGGCAAGGATGGGGCTGTCACTCTGTGGTAGAACACTTGTTTAACATGTACAAGGCCCTAGTTGCTGGGCTCCATCCCCAGCACCACCAAAAAAGGGGCAAGATTTGAACAGATACTTCATAGAAGATTCAGTGAATAGTGAATTAAGCACATGAAAAGATGCCCAATATCATTAGCTCTCAGGCAAATTAAAACCACAAGATATCACTCTATGCCCAACAGACTGGCCCCAATTTTAAAAAACTGATAATATCAAGTGTTGCCAGTGGCACATGCCAGTAAATCCCAGTGGCTTCGGAGGCTGACACAGGAGGATCACAAGTTCAAAGCCAGTTTCAGCAACTTAGTGAGATCCTGTCTCAAAATAAAAAATAAAAAAGGATATTTCAAAATACATTCTACTGTCATGTATAATTTAAAAGAATAAAAACATCTAAAAAATAAATAAAAATTAAAAAGGGCTGGGGATGTGGCTCAGTGGTAAAGTGCCTGAGTTAAATCCTCAGTACAAAAAAAAAAAAAAAGACAAGGCCAACTATGGATGAAGATGTGGAACAAATGAAACTCACAGACATTGTTGGTAGATGTGTAAAATGATAACTTTTTTTGTTACCAAACTCAGGGCCTTTTGTACTGTAAGCAAGTATTCTACCACTGAGCTATCTATTCCTAGCCCTCAATTTTCCTTTTCTATTCTTTTTGAGACAGGGTCTTCCTATGTTTTTTTTTAATATATTTTTTTTAGTTATAGGTGGACACAATATCTTTATTTTTTATTTTTATATGGTGTTGGGGATCAAACCCAGCGCCTCATGTATTCTAGGCAAGCACTCTACCGTTGAGCCCCAGCCCCAGCCTGGGTCTCCCTATGTTGCCCAGGCTCTTCTCAAACTTCTGGTCTGAAGCAATGCTCTTGCCTCAATCTCCCAAGTAGCTGGGACAAGCATACACCACTTTGACTGGCTATAAAACAATAACTTTTAAAGTCAAAAGCACACTTATTTTATGACACAGCAATTCAACTGCTAGATATTTAGTCAAAAGAAATAAAAGCATTATTTCCACATGAAGACGTATTATCATAATAGTCTCAAACTGGAAATAATACATATGTCTATCAACAGGTGAACAGATAACAAATTGGGACATATTGATATACTATGAAAATATAAAAGGAAAAAATACAGTTATCCCTCAATATCCTCTGGGGAATAATTCCAGGACCTACCCTCATTTAGATACCAAAATCTTCCAGTGCAAAGTCTCTTATATAAAATGGTACAATATTTGCATATGACTTATGTATATCCTCCCATATACTTGAAATCATCTCTAGATTGAATACAGCATCTAAAATAATGCTTTGTAATTAGATGAAATACTATACTGTTTTTGTTTTTGAGACAGGACTATGGGCATGTGCCATCACGACAAACTTCAAAAATTACCGAACAATTTTGAAACTCATAAAAGGCCTAAATTAAAGAGACAGACCCTATTTTTTTAAAATACTTTTTTTTTTTTTAGTTGTTGATGGATCTTTAATTTATTTATTTAGATGTGGTGCTGAGAATTCAACCTAGTGCCTCACACATGCTAGGCAAGTACTCTACCACTGAGTTACAACCCCAGCCTGAGAGAGATCCTATTAATGGATAGAAAGATTCATATTATGAAGGATCTAATTTTACCCAAATTCATCTATAAATTAAATACAACTCTAATCAAAATTCCAATGGGAATCTTTGTGAAATCTGAAAAAAAAAATCTCAAAGTTCAAAGCACCAAAATAAGAGCCAAGGCTTATTTTATTTTTCTTTGAGGTACTAGGGATTGAACCCATAGCCTTCAATGAACTAGATCCTTAGTCCTTTTAATTTTGAGACAAGATATCACTAAATTGCCCAGGTTGGCCTCAAACTTATTATCTTCCTGTCTCAGTCTCTCCAATAGCTGGGATTGTAGGCATGCACCACTGTGCCCAGTTAAGAGCCAAGACTCATGATAAAGCCGTAATAATTAAAACTCTGTTGCATCAGCTCAGCAATTGCACCAGAAACAGATCCTTGCAAATGAGATTTGATACTGTCAGCATCCTGGGTAAGCGTAAAAGTTCTAGAATTAGACTCTTGACAATTTTGGCTGTCATTTACAGTTGTGGGACCTTGGGAAAGTGACTTAATCTCTCAGTGCCTCAGATGTTTCATCTTTAGCTTAGGGAGAGTAATAGTTGCAGAGGATTAACATTTCAATGTAGGTAAAGCTCCAAAAACATTACCCACACACATACTAAACAACAGTTATCATTACTTTGAGATGTTGTTTTTACTTAAAATAAAAAATAGAAGATATACATTATTCATGAATGATGGTATGACAGCTGGTGTGAATAATGAATGGTGGTATGACAGCTGGTGTAACTTGGTGGTGGAGTGCTTACTTATCATAATGGATTCAATCCCCAGAACCACAAAACAGACAGACTGGAGAGAAAAATTGTCAATTATATGGAAAAATAAAATTAATTTCTACTTTATGTAATAATAATATTCCAGTAAAATTAAGAAACTAATAAGAAAAGCAAGATTTTAAAACTTATGGGAAAAAAATGGATCTTAGCAGAAAACAATTTCTTTGGTTAAAAAAAATCTCACCAATTCTATAAAGGAAAATAATTATGACTTTAACTGAATTATGAACTTCTGACAGAAAATGCCATAAATAAAATTAAATACCAAATAATAAAGCTTTACTATTTTTAATGAATACATATAAGCAAAAACAACATTTCAAAGATAAAACATAAAGCCTACCAACACCCAATGCACAGATATAGAAAATACAATGGACCATAAGCAGGAGAATTGATAATGCAATCCCCAGGAAGGAGGGAGTGCAAGAGAGACACTATTTCGGGCCGGGGTTGTGGCTCAGTGGTAAAGTGCTTGCCTAGCATGCATGAGGCACTGGGCTTGATCCCCGATGTCACATTAAAAAAATAAAAAACAAAAAACAAAAAAAACAAATAAGATGAAAGTATTGTGTCCATCTATAACTAAAATTTTTTTTTTAAAAAAAGATATCATTTCATGTGAATTGAGGGGGGAAAAATGATAACCTCATAATATGAAATACTGGTAATGATGAAGAGAAAAATACTTTGAAACAATAGTGGAAGTCAAATTTGCTACAATGTCTTTGGAGAGTAATTTGGCAAATTTAGTGAAGTGAAAACACCACTTCTCTGTTCCCCAGCAACTCCACTCTTAGCTATATTCCCTAGACAGAGAATTCTCACATGTATGAGGAGACCTAGATAATTGTTAGTCATAGAAAGAAAACTGGCAAAACCTAAATGCCCATTCACAGGTGAACAGAGGTCACACAATGAAACGCTGTTTAAAATGAAAGACTTACAACTATGTTTAGCATCATGGATAAATCTAAAACAAAATTATATCTGGGTGGAAGGTCTACAGATGTCTGTTATAGTTGAAATCTTTCATTAAGGTTTTTTTTTTGTGTGTGTGTGTGTGTGTGTGTGTGTGTGTGCTTTACTGGGGATTGAACCCAGAAGTGTGTTAGCACCAAGCTACACCTCCAGCCCCTTTTTAAAATTTTCATTTTGCGACAGGGTCTCCTCCCACTACACTGCCCAGGCTAGCCTCAAACTTGAGATTCTCCTGCCTCAGCTTCCCAAATTGATGGCCTTATAGGCATGCATCACTGTGCCAGGCTTCATTAAACTATCTTTGAAGAAGCTTCTTCATCATAGTTCTCTTCGTGTGTTTGACAAGTTATAAATAAATAGAATTAAATGTAATAATAAGATCTGAAACCCTTTAATGTTAGAAAACTATGTGCCACAATCTTCACATAAAAGCTCAATGGCCAACTCCTCCTTAGTCCTTGTATTCAAAGCACCATTTATCTATTCAGCACCATTTATCTATTCTGGTATGTCCAATCCTAAAACGACTCATGTAGTTTCATGTAAGTTTTCAAGTAACTTACCAAACAACATTCATGAGCAGCTATATTCTCTGATTGTGCAAAGTACAGGACACTATACTCGAGATCTTTGGGGCAGAGTGCACATGTCCTTTTTTCCATCTTTTCTGCAACCTGAAAGATACCTATAAGTAACATCCCTGGTGAGAAATGGAAAAGTAGAATTTCGTCATCTGGACACATCCTCCTCTAGTCTTAAAGTAGAAGGCCAGGTCCTTATTTTTATAGTCTCAACTCCCCCAGAGACAAAGAATTGGGGACCCAAAGGGAAAAGTAACTTATTTTTTTAAAAAAATATTTTTTAGTTGTAGTTGGACACAATACCTTTATTTTATTTATTTTTATGTGGTGCTGAGGATCGAACCCAGTGTCTCACACGTGCTAGGCAAGCGCTCTACTGCTAAGCCCCAGCCCTAGCCCCAGCCCCAGCCCCAACTTATTTTATATATATTTAAATGGGTTAAAGAAAAAAAATAAATGTCTAAAAATGAGGAAAATCTTCATTCAAGAAGCACAGCCATGAAATTAAGCAGAAGCAAAGTTCTCAAAACATTGCCTTGCCCATAGCAAGCTCTCAATGACTGTCATTACAAATCAACAACAAGGATGTATTCAGGAAACAGTGTTCTGGTTAACTATCCATAACAAAACACAAATCGTACCTCTAACGTTATACTACATTCAAAAACAAATTCTGGGAGAATTAAAAAAGCAAATGAGTTATGTAACTTTGTGTGCTTTAATTCAACATTATGATTAGTCAGGAAAGAGACATAAAGGTAGGAATCAGTTTTTTTAGGAGAGGAAAAGAAAAACAACTAAGGGGAAAAAGCTGGGAAGAGAAGGGAAGAGGCAGAGAGAGGAAGCAAACAGCCAGTTGTTGGGAAGATTCCAACTAGAGACAGTTAAGAGGCAAGTTTCTCTAATTTGTTAATTTGCTATTATTTTGGCCACAGCATGATACTTTGTCTTGTTCCTTGCAGATTCTCATCCTCTTATTCCTTTGTTTTTTCTAAGTAGAAAACTGCTTTTAAGATGAGTGCAGTGGGGCATGCATGTAATCCCAGCAACTCAGGAGGATGAGGCAGGAGGAACACAAAGTTCAAGGTCAGCCCGGGCAATTTAATGAGATTCTGTCTCAAAATGAAAAGAAAAAAGGCTGGTAATATAACTCAGTGGTACAGCATCTCCGGTTCAATCCCTAACACTAGCCCCTCCCTGCCAAAAGAACCCAAAACTGAAACCAAAACCAAAAACCTTACAAAGCACAGGCTTCAAAAAGACAGTGTCAGGCAGTTACATTATTAGTGCTAAAATTCCCTAGACTATCACGTTTCCCACAATAATATGTGACACTCTGTTATAGTTTGGATCTAGAATGTCTCCCAAAGGCTTGTGTGGTGAAGGCTTGGTCCCCAATTCCGCAAGGTTCAGGGGTGAGACTTTTGGGAAGTAGTTGGGACATAATGGCTCTGATTTAATCAATGGATTAAATTCATTGATGGGTTCATAACTGAATGGATTATTGGAAGGTGAGGACATGTTATATAGGGGTAATTGAGCAGGAAAAAGCCACTGTGAGAGCCCGTGAGCCTTACCTTGAGTTTAATCATTGGTGCTGCAGACACACTCCAGGTCAGTTCATAGCAGTGTGGTGACCACCTCTGTATTTTCACACCTCGCTATAGGAGATGGGGCCTGGTTGGAGGAAGTAGGCCACTGGGGGTATGCCCTAGAAGGGTATATCTTGTCCCAGGTCCATTTCTTGTGCATTTGCTCTCTCCTCTTCCTGTCTGCCTGCCATGAACTGAGAAGCTTTCCTTAGTTGGACCCTTCCGGCATGATGTTACTGCCTTGCCTCAAGCCTAAAACAAAGGAGCCAGCTCACCATGGATTGAAACTCTCTGAAACCATGAGCCAAAATAAACCCTTCCTCCTGTTTTTCTTGGGTATTTTGTCACAGCCGGAAACTAACAGAAGCTGGGGCTGTAGCTCAGTGGTAGAGTGCTTGCCTAACACATATGAGGCACTGGGTTCGATCCTCAGCACTACATAAAAATAAATAAATAAAATAAAGGTATGGTGTCCATCTACAAGGGACATCTAAAATATATATATATATATATGTATATGTATATATATATATATATATGCATATATTAAAAAAAACAGTGTCTGACAGACCATGCACCTACTCCTTATTGTATAAGAGTTGGACACTTTAAAGGTCCTCTTTTCTGTGCACAGCTGAAGGTCACCTGCAGACAGGTGTGCTGCATGGGCTGATACCCAAGCAGGGCCTTCAGCACTCACTCTGGGGGCTCTGTGCCCCATCTGATCTGCACTCCTAAGTATTTGGGCTCCTAGGACCCCGGCATGTGAGAATACAGAGGTGGTCACCACACTGCTATGAACTGACCTGGAGTGTGTCTGCAGCACCAATGAATAAACTCAAGGTAAGACTAATGGGCTCTCATAGTGGCATTTTTTTGCTCAACTACCCCTATATCACATTTCCTAAAAGATTTTAGCTCTTCTAGTTCATTTATTCTTCTAGACTGGAGGAAGGATGTAATTGGGGGAGTTTGTCACTTTGGGGGCTCTTACATAGGCAGGCAATCCTTCACTATCTTAACTCTCTATATACATTATTTGGAACTTCTGGACCAAGTACATTTAGACAACTTGGTCCCTTAGCCATCTGAACTCAGGAACTATGTAGATTCAGATAGATTGGACACCTGTAGGTGTATCATGGGTGTTTGGGTTTTTAGGGACCAGCCCATTGGTCTCTATTAGTAGCTGAGGCTAAGAACAGTGAAGATCAGCAGAGCCCCCCCCAGAGTCATCCTAGCAGATTTAGCAAGCCTGTGGACTCAACAGATTGACCTGACAGATTGGTAAGAAAGGGTCTATAGAATGAAGCTGCAGAAAAATTATAAGAAACTCAAATCACAGCAATGCTCCAGACTCTCCAGCAACCTGCAGGCCCACCATACCTGGGAACAGCTTGCTAAGGCTTCAACTTCTATAGGCCTATCCTCCCCAATCAATGCTGCTCTACCTAGAGCTGGTCTTAAGCCCATCAGACAAGGGCAATCCACCACCAGGAAGAATCTGGGTGTAGCCAGGTAGGTGGCCAAGGAACACATTCTGCCACTTAAGAATAAAGGAAACAGATGGAATGAGATCCACTAACCTTTAACATTCATTTAAAAACCCCTTCTAGTAGGAAATATTGTTATATGATTATATTGTTGCCCTAGTTTGGGGYCCTTTCTGAAAAATGCTACAGCATCTGTGTTCTGGGGGTTTGAGGCTGTCTATGCTTCCTGCTGAAGTCATTGTGGTTGAATTCTTAACTTGTAACTAACTGCAAATCCTGATTTATCACCAGGCCATCTTAGTGACTTTCAGGATGATCAGCAGAAGGGCAGCCCAGAACAGCTTCTTACTAAACAGCATTTTTTTTTTTTTTTTTTTTTGCTTAAATTATACTGTGTTTGTACTATCTGCAGTCAGCAAGTCTTGAATAACACTTAAATTCCCATGACTTGTGTGCACACTCATGTGTGTGCTGTTCTGGTGCAAGTGTGGAAGATGTACCTTGCCTGCTGTTTTCTGAGTCCATTCTGATAAGCTCATGTCCTTGCCTCTGCTTTCTCTGTCACGACTGTGCTCCAGTCCTCCTGTTACTGCCAGAGTGATTTATCTAAAATGTATAATCTGAGATTGAGGGTGTAGCACTTGCCTAGCATGTATGAGGCTCTGTGTTTGATCCCCAGCTCTATAAAAAATAAAGTGTCTATCTGCACACATTTTCTCATTACCAACAAAACAGAAGCCAAATTCCTTAGTGTTATAAACAAGCCCTTTCATTCTTTTGACAAATATTTGATGAGGACTTACTATGCCCTATACTACAAAGCAAATAGTTCTAGGCACTAAGAATATAGAAAAGATTTAGTGTATCAACTTTTTCGGAACTTAAATTCCAGTGGCAAAGAAAGACATTAAATAAAATTTCCCCCTCCAGACAGTCCATAGAGAAAGAGTAGGAAGAGGTAATCAGTAGTCAAAGACTGCATTTTAGACAAGATGGGCAGGCAAGGTTCACGGACTAGGCAGATATTTAAGTGTGGTGGGGAAATGAAAATGGGACAATATGTGGATGAATTTTCCTTACTGAGGGAACAGCAAATATAAGGATACTGAAGCAGATTTGGTAGCTTACTGGACACACAAGGCAGCAGGAGGTGGCAGTCATCAAGATGGGTAAAGTCAAATCAGAAAAGAACACAGGGTGAGCTGTAATGGGAGACAACTAGAACAGGAAAAGTGCCTTGCTCTACAGGCCTGCTTGTATGAAAGGCTAGAAGAGAAAACGGGAGCCCAGTAGTCCAGACAGGAGACAATGACAGCCTGGGCGTGGATGGAGTAATGGAGGTGTTTAAGAAGTAGTCAGGCATGAAACAGATTTTGAAGATAGAAGTAATTGGCCTAACTGATGTGTTGGATGGGGTATGGGGAAAAAGGAAAGGTGCTAAGGATACCACTAAAGTTTCTGACCTGAGCAACTGGATGAATGGGATGGGGAAAGCTGGAGGCTGAACAAGTTTGCAGTGTAGGGAAGACAAATTCTCTTAAGGATGTAGTCAGTTTGAGATCACTGCAGACATGGAAATTGGTTTAAAATCCTGGAGTTTGGGGAAGATGTCAGGAAAGAACATCATCTCTCTGTCTTCTCATTTTGCAGTCCATATACATACGTATTAGTTGAATGAAACAGTCAACTGGTTGGCTTATGGTTGCCATTTGTTTTATGGTTTGATGCTCTTATTTGTGTCCTCCTCTTGCCTGCATTTGCCTTTTTCACTTATGGCTGATTCTTATCCTTTAGAAAGTTAAGACCATGCATCCCCTTCTCTATAAAGTTTTCCTTGGACATCAGGAGAAGTTAGGGGCCCCTCATTTGTGCCTCTGTGGTGCTGACTACTTCTAACTAAAGTTGCCTCTTAACAATCCTCTGGAGTAGGGACTGCCTAGCTCGTCTTTATATCCTTATGACTAGCCCTGAGCCTGGCAAATCGCAGGAGCGCTACAGGTGTTGAAGGGAAGAGGCCCACTCAGAACACTCATTCAAGCTGAGGGCCCAGGAGGACTGGAGCAAAGGAAATGGTGTCAAGTCACATCCTCTACGAGGTCTTTCCCAGCCGCTTCCTGAGACTCAGCTGCCAGTAGCGTCCCTTCCCTGCGGCCTGTTTACTCCAGCTTCCCCGCAGCAGGGCAGCTCTCCTGCAGCAGGGTTTTACCAGTGGGTGGAATCTCACTTGGGAGTTTCAGTTTCCCTGAGTTTCGGTCGCTTGCAGTCAGTGAATCAGAGCCAGGAGCACCTGGTCCACTGCTCCCCAGTGAAATGTCAGCAGGCCAGAAGGAGAATCAAAGCCACTGCAAGGGGCCGCACGCCGCCCTCCCCCTGTCCCTGGACCCGCTGTGCAAGCGAGCGCGAATGCAGGGCAAGTTCGTCCCGCGGGTCCCTGAGCAGGCCGAGAAGGGACTCGGGTCCCCGCGCGGCTGCAAGGCAGCCCCGGCCCAGCCGCCCGCACGGTACTCACCGGTGGGGAAGGGCAGCACGTCCTGCACGGGGTGCACCTCGGGGCCGCCGGCGCGGCGCACGGACTCGGCCCGGGGCGGAGATGCGTGGGCCATGGCCGCAGACTGCGGGTCGGGCAGCGGGCGGCGGTGGCCCGTGGCGCGCTCCCGGAAGTCCCGGCGGCGCCGTCGCTTCCTTAACTCCCCTGAGCCGCCGCAGGGAAAGCTCGAGCCGAAGACCCAGGTTGGCTGTGGGGAGGGGGGTTTCTTGCAGTTTTCCAGGTCTAATGGTTATTTTGGTAGGTTAAACTACAACAATAACAACAAAACCCAAACAAATAACAACAAAACCCCAGAAACGACTACATATGCCAGTGCCCCTACCCCCCTCCCACGGCCCCAGCTGAGCTGTTCTGAGGTTCTTCTTAAACCAACGCAGAATTAACCGACCCTAAATCCAGTTGCCAGGAGCAAGCCTTTATTTAGCACCCACTGGATACAGAGCACCACACAAGACGAGGTTTTCAGTGCATATAATAAATATACGTGTACACAACATAAATACATATATTAAATTATAACTTAAAATTAATAAAAGCATAAAAATTAATTTGCTGCAGAATTAAAGGAAAACTTCTGCAGGTCTTGAACTTGGTGAAGGTTTCTAAGCTGCAAATGCAAAATTGGGGTAACAAAAAATGTAATTTGGACAGTCTTGACAAGTATGAATGTATTTAGAAGAATGTCATGGGGGTTGGGGGCAGAGGTGTTGCAAATGGGAAATGAGCAGACCCTAGGCACACGATTTTTTTTTTTTTTGGCTTTTCCCACAGGAGGATAGAAAAGTATGCCTTGCCAGGCAGAAAAGAAAACCCTTGAGCCCACAGGATTTCTCAGCAAAACAGCTGAGGCATGGTAAAGCAATCCAGGAACCTTTTCCCTCTCTTTCAGACTGCAATGTTCTCTTAACTCTGAAGAAAGCCCTATAATGTTAAGGGACAAAACAAACATACAAGGAAAATAAACAAAGCTGAGAGGACAGAGAATATGTAAGAAAAAAATAAGACATATGAATGCATGTATATGTATGTATATGCACACACACAAAAATATAAAATACTGCAACATGGGCCAATACAGCATGTTATAAAGAATATTAAAAGAAATAAAGAGAATTCCTACAAATTAAAAATGAGACCATAAAAATCAAAAGTACTCTTCAGTACCTTCTAGGTACCTTCTAGGTACTGAAGAGTAAGTTAAGTAAAGTTCCTAGAAGGTAAAGCAGGAAGACAGAGCTGGAAATTAAGAGAACAGTAGAAAGAAAACCAGAGAACCAATACTGGAGATCTAATTCCAAAAAGAGATGAGAAAGCCTTCAAGAAATGGTTTCTGTACTGAAAAACAAGGTTTTAAGATGAAAAGATCTCATCAAACACCAGTAGAAGGATGAAAATGGACTCTGACCAGAGACAAACACTGGGACAAAATTAATCCTATAACTTCAAGCGAGGTAAAAATTCTATACCCTGCCGAAAATAGCAATCAAGAAAGTAAAATAAAGACATTTCAAATGTGCAGAGTCTCAAAACATTTACTTCTTCAAAAGTTACTGGTGTCAGGTGTAGTGGCATGTGTCTATAATCCCAGCTACCTAGGAGGTTGAGGCAGGAGGACTGCAAGTTTGGCGCCAGCCTGGGCAACTTAGTGAAACCTTTTTCAAAAATAAGAAATAAAAAGGGCTGGCTATATAGTTCAGTGGTAAAGTGTACCTGGGTTCAATCCCGAGTCCAAAAAACAAAAATAACAAGCTATTGGAGGCTATGCTTCACCAACATAAAAGAGTAGACTAAGGAAAGGGAAACTAGAAACAGATCTGACATGAGAGACAAAGCAAATCTCTAGGGTACTGAAGTGAGATGCTAGCTGTAAAATAATTGAGAATGAAGCAGATCACAATTTCTGGAGAAACTTCTCAAAGAGGATAAAACTGATAGAATATTTCAGGTTTATGAATGTTAGATGGACTCCTAAAGCAGATCTTAAGGAAATACTGGCTGATCTATAATATTTCCTACACAAAAATATTTGACTAAACTTCTCACTTTATTTTAGCATACTGCCTAAAATTCCTGCATCTTTATTGTAAATACACAGATTTCTCAACTTGACTCATCTGTCTATAGACAACTGGGTTTTAATTTTTTGGCTACTTTTCCTAGTTCTTGGTTTCCCAAGTTCAATTTTCATCTGGTTCAATATTTTTAAGAAACTGGGTCCCAAAATAGATTTGTTGAAAGGTAATCAAACTAAACCCCAAATCAAGTAACACAACAAAAAGACATAAACCCCTCAAAAAAGAAATCCCTTCCTATCTCCCATAATGAGGACTGAACCCAGGGGAGCTTTACCATTGAGCTACATCTCAATCCTTTCACTTCTGACAGAGTCTTACCCAGTTGTTTAATCTAGCCTTGAACTTGTGTTCCTCCTGCCTCGGTCTCCATTTAATTACTCCTTTTCAAATTAATAGTACCACCTGGTTCTTAGGAGAAGTTCCTAGGAGCTAAATGTACAGATGTAAGGGATAAAATTAATTTTGATTCTTGGAGCTTCACAGTCCCCTTTTCCACTAGATGATCAGGGTTAGCCTACAGCAAAGTAGTTAACTTCCCCTTTTTTCTACAAAAACAACCAGCCATGCCCAGGATATATCAAGAGTCTGTTTTAGACTCTGAAGCTCAAAATTGTTATTTTGTTATATTTTTTATGTGAAATTTTGCCCAGGATAATTCCTTCTAGTTTCAAGGTTTCTTTTACTTATAGTTTTATTCTCTTTAGAACAAAATATTCAATTTTCTCTAAGTTTCTATTCCCTCTTATCTTGTCTGCATTGAAGGAGTGAAGGGAAACTGGAAAAGAGGATTAACCTCAAAGAGTTGAATCAAAGAATTTGTCAAGGGCCGGGGATATAGCTCAGCTGGTATAGTGCTTGCCTCTCATGCACATGGCCCTGGGTCCAATCCCTAGTACCACACCCAAAAAACCCAAAAAACAAAAACACCAAAGAGTTTGTCTGAAACTTAACTTACTGAAGAGTCTCTCCTCCCCAAATGATTGATGGGACAGTTTCATGGAGCCAGATATAGTTTCTCTTAACAAGTATTAAAATACTTGGGAGAATTGGGGGTGTGTGTGTGTCAGTGGTGCAGCACTGGCCTAGCAGGCATGAGGCCTAGCACTAGGGGTAAAAAACAAAAACTGCACACCTTGGGAGTACTATGTATAAAATTAGTTCTCACATATCCCTCAGGTTCTGTTGCCCACCTTATAGCCTATAATGATGTGCCAGGAATTAAACATCAATTTTGTAAGTAAATGTGAAATTTGGTCCTTGCAGGTATAAACTAAATAATAGTGATTAAAAAAGTAACTTAGAAACTACTGAATTCTATTTTTTTCTTAATATACAATTTGTAAATAAGTTATAAATTATACAGTGATATTTCATATAAAATATACATTTCCATTGTACTCAAGTAAAGTTGAACAGCAGTAAAAACAAGGATAGCCTGTGCATATGAAAATGTTCTTATTTTGAGTCTGGAATTTAATCAAATAAAATAGAAATACAATATGAATCCTCAAAAAAGAAAAAATGAGAATTACCTTGGTGTACAGCAACCTACATTAATTCCACTGATGACTGAGGATTCTTTTGTATGGCTCCAATTTGAGCCTTATCTAATTTCATGAACAGGCATTAGTTACATATTTATAATATTTTTTTCCTACACTTATTAACCCCACATTGACAGAGTATTTCTTTGTCAGGCATAGTCCCAGCTTCATAACCATAATCCCACGTTAGTTCTGTTCTTGCTTTCACATACCTAGAAAGTAGAAATGAAAAATAATCATAACTACCTTAAATAACTATCAAATGAATCAAAATTGAATGTCAATTTACACATTAACATCAATAACCATCTGAATAATATGATCTATTTTCTCTCCCTAGCACCCATCAGTTAGGAATGATTTTTTTTAATATTTATTTTTTAGTTGTAGTTAGATATGTATTTATTTACTTATCTATCTATCTATCTATCTATCTACTTATTTATTTATTTTTCTGAGGATCGAACCCAGGGCCTCACATGTGCTAGGCAAGCACTCTACCGCTGAGTCACAATCCCAGCCCCAGTAATGATCTTTTATTAAGAACAATTATTGGGGGTGCGGTTGTGGCTCAGCAGTAGAACACTCACCTAGCATGTGCGGAGGCACTGGGTTCGATCCTCAGTACCACATAAAAATAAATAAATAAAATCAAGGTATTGTGTCCAACTACAAATAAGACAAAATATTTTAAAAAAAAAAAAAAGAATGATTATTTCAAATCTACTAAAATTCTAAGAAAGAAGGAATCTGTTAGTATCCATGAGGGAGGAAGTGTGTTTTGCAAATGTGAACCTATATAAAGTAACAGATTGGGGACAATTATAAGATGAAGAAGATATAGCACTTTTTGTCATTCATCTCCCTCAACTGAACTGGGTGAGATCTTAAAACCTATCAGTAATTAATTCTAAGTGAGAATAGAATAGAAATTTCAAGTGTTCAAAATTTTATTGACTAGGAAGAGTTTAGGATAATTGAATATTCCAGGATACCAGATATTTGGGGCTATATTACACATCTTTATATATTTTCTATTGTTATTTTTAAAATCATAATTTCAGAATTAAATCATATCAGCAAAATCAATTTCAAACCTGTTGGTGAAGAATGCCACCAATGGAAAATTTCTGTCACGTGTTTCTACAAAAACATTCTGTACCAAGAGATTTGGGCAACAACTATGCTGTTAAAAACAAACAAAAACACAGAGATTAGATATAGCACAAAGTTTGCTACCTTGTGTTTTGCACTATTAGAATACCATTCTGTTTCCAACGCATCTCACTGATTTTTTCTTTTTTCTATATTACAATATAAAATACTAAAAGTTCATGACAGTACTATTAATAGAAACCCATGCAGAAAAGCCCTGTTTTGACATTCTGATATCCTGGTGATAGAAATGCAAAATGGTACTCAAAAAAGTGAGTAATTTGTCAATATTTATCATCACTATAAATGCACTTATCTTTTGATTCAACAAATTCATATTTAAAAATGTATCCTACAGGTTACTCTGCATATGTATGTATGCATGTGTAAGATTATTCATGCAGCATTGGTTTTAACAGTAAAAGTTTGGAAATAATGCTAATGTTTGCCTATACTTTGGTACATTGATATAATGCAATTCTATGTAGCTATGAACAAAACCATGCAAACCAAAGAAATGAGGTTCTCTCTGTGTACTGATATGGAAAGATCTCCAATATATAGTGTTAATTCAAAAAACAAAATATATAACAGTGAATATGCTATCCTGTCTGTAAAAAGGAGGGGACAAACAATACACATATATTTACTCATATTTGCAGAAAAATACCAGAAGAAAGCACAAAAAAGTCATAAAATGACTATTTTAGAAAGTGGAGTGGAGGCAGGTAATTAAGGTAGGGCTTTTTGAATTATTTTTTAAAACAAAAAAGTTTTCACAAAAAGTTTAAAATGAAGACTATATATAGGAATAGTGCGTATGAAAATAATTTACTTTTTCATAAAATAATTACTTAATTTATTTTTACATCCTAGTAAAAACACCACCTTAGGAGTCGTGTAAGCAGTTGATTCTCTGCTGAACAAAACCATTTATCTTCATTCTAAGGTTTCTAACATGATGATACTCTTTTTATATTACCACCATTCTCATACTGTTCAGGTGCCCATTAGCTGTCATCTCAGCACACTTATGAATCACAAAATTCTCAAGAGATCAAATCCCTACAATGTTCTGTGGAATGTCTGGCATTATTTAATTTCAATGATTACTTCCTGCCCACACATTTTTTTTTTTTTTTTAATTTGAGCAGATAAGTCAGAAACCTCTGGTATGTTTTTTTTTTTTTAAATTTAATATTTATTTATTTTTTTTTAGTTTTCGGCGGACACAACATCTTTGTTTGTATGTGGTGCTGAGCATCGAACCCGGGCCACACGCATGCCAGGCGAGCGTGCTACCGCTTGAGCCACATCCCCAGCCCCTGGTATGTTTTTTTACACACTATTTCTTAGTGTTTTTTTTTTTCTTTTTTTTTTTTAAAGCAAATGTTTGGTATGTGTTAGGTAGTCGGAAGCACTTTATATTAATTCATTTAATCCTCATAATATACTAAATAGTTATTATTATCCCCTATTACAAAGATAGGAAATGAGGCAGCAAGAACTTAAGTAACATGCCATGAACACCCAAGTTGGACTTCTAACGCAGGTTGTCTAGCTTTAGGACTGTCAATCATATTACCCTTATGATTTTTTAAAGCATGGGAAAAAAAGTTGTTTAGAAATATGCATCTCAGTCCCTATACTCACATTAAGGAAACGGCCCACATTTCCTTCTTTTGTGGCATCCAGTAAAAAAACATTGCTTTTACTGGACTTCATTAGAGAATCAGATGAAGTATTCTTGGTATCACTTGTCAACTCTTCATCATGATAAACCTGCTGGTTTTTACACACTGGAGATTTTTCCTCTTGGGGCTTTTTTATTTGAACCTCAAACTCTTTAACATTTTCATTATCCAATGTGGTTGCTTGGTCACATCTGCCCCCTGGCAGAGTTTCTTCTCTACATGTAGTCATATCTATTACATCTGATTCAATCAGCTGATTGTCCTCAGAATCTTCAACTTGGTTGAATCTTGAGTTCTCTAATAGATATTGTCAAGAAAGAATTGTCAGAAAATTTACTTGGTTGAGCAATGGGGATGAGATTAACAATATTAATTAGATGTTACCTGTTATCATTATCATTAATCTTTACAATGTATTAAGGTAGGTAGTTTCAATTTACAAATGAAACTTTTTTTGAGTCTTAGTTGGGTAAAGAGATTTGCCTGACTCATAATAATGAGAATTTGGGTAACAAACTCAAATATGTTTGGCTCCTGCCTACTTTCTACTACACAGCAATGACTATGAATCTACATGTTGCTTCCACATTACCATGTTTAATCTCTAACAAACTTTCTTTTCTTTATCTCTGGAATTTGCATTTAAATGTGACAGAATGGAGGTTTAAGAAGCACTCTAGGCTTTTATGTGCCAATGAAAGGCCTGAGAAGTCCCCTTCAGAATCAGAATCACCCTCTACAAATCCCAATAGCAACAAGTATGTACCACCAGGGATTGGTACATATTAAGTTTGGGGTTTTGCTAGATGACCACTCAATAATTACACTTTTACAAATAATGATACTTCAAAAGTAGAGAACTAATTAACATCCAATAATGGAATTTTTTAAGAGTATTCAAAAGTATGAATGCATGTAGGATGGAGTAAGTAAAATCACTTATTAAACAAACAAATAAACAAAAAAAGTCACTATATCATCTAAGTCAATCGTATAACAAAATTACATTTTGGCCAAAATGTCATAGAAGCCAAGATTAAATTGTGGTTACCAGAACCTGGTGTGGGGTGAAGGGCACAGAGAGAAGATGGTTAACAAGTTTGTGGGTGCAGCTGGATAGGAGGAATAACTTCTCATGTTCTACATAGTGCAGGATAATTTTGGTGAACAATAATTAAGTGTATATTTCAAAATAGCTAGTAGAAAGGATTTTAATGTTTCCAATACAAAAAAATGATGTCTGAGGTGACAGATATACCAATCACCCTGATCTGATTATTACACATTGTGTACAAGTATTGAATGTCAAACTGTAACCCATAAATATGTATTTTTAACATGTTAATTAAAAATAAAAACTTGTTGAAAATAAATTATATTTTTTTAAAAATTAAGACTCTTCAGGGTGGAGTTGTGGCTCAGTGGTACAGTGCTTGCCTAGCATCTATGAGGCACTGGATTCAATTCTCAGCACCATACATAAATAAATGAATAAAATAAAGGTCGGTCAACTAAACTGTATATATAAAAAATCTAAAAAAAGAAAAATTAAGGCTCTTGATTCAATCATTATTGTTGTGGTTGCCATCCTACAATATCTTTTAATCAAAGGTTACTTATAAGCCATAATAATTATATAACTATATTTGGACTGCCTGCTTATATGCACTATAGACATCAATGATAATGACAAAAGAATCAGAAGCAATAGTATTCATTATGGCTCACATGCATTAAATGTTGGAATGTAATACATAAAAATGCTCTTTCTTGATAGAACTTTTTTTTTTTTTTTAAAGCTTCAGGAGCTTTTTTTTGTTAACCTTTATTTTTATTTATTATTTTTTGAGAGAGAGAGAAATTTTTTAATATTTATTTTTTAGTTTTCAGTGGACACAACATCTTTATTTTTATGTGGTGCCGAGGATCAAACCCAGCATCTCGCACGTGCTAGCGAGCGCTCTACTTCTGAACCACAGCCTCAGCCCCTTGATAGGACTTTTCTACCAAGGAGCTGCCATGCCTCTTCCAATTTCTATCCTTTAATAGGTGGGGATTTAGGCTTGCAGATGTAAGGAGGCTCAAAGAAGAGGCAGCAATGGCTGTTCAGTTCTTCAAAAAGGACTCTCTCTCAGTAATGTCTCCTTACTGTGGGATCCATTGAAACATAAAAGTACCAAAACCCAGTTTTTGGTACTTAATATTATATAACTGTAATATTCACCATGGCAGAGACTGGTAATTCTGAAAGACAAGCACTCATCAGTGTTTTAGCCCTTTGCTAGACATGTTTGTCATCCTCTGTAGTGGTATTGACTAGACTACTGCAAAAGAGTGATGTGTCTTTATTTTTAAGACTTCAAAAGAAAGAGTGTCTCCTTTAAACAAACAATGCTTACAAAGCCACAAACACCACCTGTGGACCATGAAGAGTCAGAATTGTCCACCTTACTCCTACTGCCATGCATCAAGTCAATGTTGGCAACAAGATCAGAGGTCAGCAAATGTTTTCTGTAAAGGGGCAAACAGCAAATACTTCAGGCTTTGCCAGAGTCTACTGTGAATCTGTGGGTGTAATGTGAAAGTAGAAACAATATGTAAATGAATGATTGTAGAACTTTATTTACTGACAGTGAAATTTTAATTTTCAAGTGTCATAAAATATTTACCTTCTGATTTTTTCCAACTATTTTAATGTAAAAATCATTCTTTCACAGCCTACACACATATATAGGTAGTAGGCCTGTATAAACCACAGGTGGCCAATATTTTATCTAAACAAATAGTAACTTTGATCACAAATGCAGCATGTTTGCTATGAAATCTAAGAAAATGAGCCACAGATTATTGAACAAAAGAGAGACAAATAGGCAGATGAGAGATAATGATAAAGTGAAACATAGCCTACTTTGTGCTCCCCTGGTTTTAGAGTTCACATGTGCTTGGGCTGCTTTAAATCCATCATTATCTTCTGAGGTGGCAGACTCTAAAGAAACAAATCCCTTAAAGGAAAATAAGAGATATCTTTACTTCCTAGGTTAGGAAAAAGTATTCAGCAGTTAGGTCTCATCAAATGTCAATTTTCATAGGCTACACGTATTATTAATTTTGAAAAGCTTCACAATTAAGATTATAAGAATCTTTAGACTAATGGAGCCAATGTGTGTTACCTCTTCTCAATATGTTCTATTTCTAGGCACTTTTTAAAGGTATAGCTATGAAGACTGTCAGGACATTCTCTGGATTTTAATAAATCCAATACATCTTTCTGTACTTACCAATTCAAATCATCCTTCATAACTGAGATAAGTGCTGTGTAAGATTATAATTTGGCTTCAACTGTAAATTGTGCAAGGATTAAAAATATACTGGCTAGTTTCCACTTCAAAGAAAAGGTTAAAGAATTTTGTTTTTATGCATTGTAGACAATGGAGTCCCCTTAAATGTGATGCTTTCAACAGAGGGGTGTATGTTTAGCTCAGCACACAACTAATTGCTCAATAAGTGCTGACCATTATTTTTTTCTCTTCAAGTTCATATAGTATTTGAAATGTCAATATTTATTGAACACTTAGTTGAGTGCCAAGCATTGTGCTAGGAAAGTTTTCTGTTATTTTTCTCATTTAATCTTCAGAACTCTTGAGATAGATTCTATTATCTTCATTTTACAGATAAAAGGAAAGCACCCATGGAGATGTCTGCTAGCTAGTAAGCAGCAGAGCTGGAGGTTAAACTAGCAACAGAGCTGGAGATTACAACTACTGGCTTAATCTTTCCATAAACCATATGATACTGAGAAGGTTATTACTGTAATGTTACTAGGCAGGGGGCAAGTATTTGTACATGTAGATCCGAGTTTTTATTTTTCACCAACAAGCCCTATTGTAAGCTACCATTATGTCTGTCTCTGTTCTTTTTCCTATATCTTTTTCTTCTTCCAAGTTTCAGTCGGACTAGTCTTCTCAGCTCAATTTGAAAAGTATATCCTCAGGCTACCATGTAAAACAATGCTTTCTGGATGATTCTTTTATAAAATTGCAGCTCTTTTTTCTCTTGTATCTCAAAACAACTTTCTCTTTAATCTAAATTATTCCATCACTTTTCTTTTTTATATCACTATTAACTTAAAATTCTCCTCATATATCTAAGTTGGAAATATGCAACTGCTATGAACAATACTAAGTAAATAAAATATGTCTTAAAACTTCAACAGCATACCATTGCAAAATAATACAAGAAATTCTACATAATATTAACTAACATAAACATTTTAAACTAAGTAAAGACAGAAATGTAAGATAACAGTTAATGGTCTCAGAAGGGCCCCATCTATATTTTCCAGTTTTTACCACCTTTTTCCCATTATGTGGAAAAATGGCTGTCTTGGATTTAGGACTTCTAATAACTGAATGATACTGAGTTCTTGAGATGTTGTTATAGTTCATCTCTCTGAAAGGGAAAAAAAAAAAGGTTATTTTGCATATCACTAAAAATTCTCTTTAGTGGACCTTAAAATGTACATAATATCAAAATTACATAAATATGCATTATTAATAATTAAATTAAGAACATCTCTAACTACCCTTCACTGGAGGAGAAAATTTATTTAAAAGTCAATAATTTTTTTGGGGGGAGGACTGGGGATTGAACTTAGGGGCACTCAACCACTGAGCCACATCCCCAGCCCTATTTTGTATTTTATTTAGAGACAGGGTCTCACTGAGTTGCTTAGTGCCTCACTTTTGTTTATTTCTTTGTGGTGCAAGCAAGGCAAGCATTCTACCAACTGAGCTATATCCCCAGTCCTAGTGCTTCACTTTTACTGAGGCTGGCTTTGAACTCACAATCCTCCTGAGCTGCTGGGATTACAGGCTTGCACCACTGAGCCTGGCAAGTCAATAATTTTTGAGGTATGTTTAAAAAAAGAGAATCTATAAAAGTTTTGCAAATCAATGGCAATATGAAACAAAAGAAAACAAACAAACATCAAAAGCAAATGTCATGACATCCTGCTGAAAATCATCCAAGGCAAAACTCTAGAAATGGGCACTGAGGAAAGTGTATTGGCTAGGTTTTTAAAATTAAAGTGGCCTGAATTTCTCAAAGTATTAAATTTATAACTGTGAAGCAAAATTATAAATAGGAGTGGGGGGCAAAAGAATAAAAAAGAAAGAGGAAGGAGAAAGAATCACTTTTGATTCCTAGCAGGGTAACTGTGATTGGTGTTCTTACTTACATAATGGGCTCGTTTGAATTACTACTAAACTTAGGTGGATATTCCTCAGTTTCAGCACTTTTAGGTCGCTTTTCCAATTCTAACGTGATAACTTCAACCTCACAATCTGAACACGCAACTTCTATTTTTCTCTTTTTTGAAAATATATTTTTCATAACATCCTCTTCTTTTCCATTTTCATCAACAGCATTAGGTTTCTGAGGATTGACTCTCTTTAGCAATCTTCCTAAAAGAAAAAAAGAGTTTGAACAAGATGGAAGATAATCTAATTTCTAACAATAAAATGACATGTCTATTTCTGCTCCATGACCAAAGGATCCTGTGGAAACTCATTAACTCATCCTAGAAAAATGTTGTGAGACAGCAAAAAAAGAAAAAAAGAAAAAAAAAAAGCAATAAGGTATTTCTTATCTTCCATTCATAAGAAATACAGGGTGTCTAAAAGAAGCATTTGCCCATTTTGGTATAACATGAAAGAGAAGAGATTTAGCTATAGTACTATAAAACAAAAAAACCAATCTAAGTATTCTAGAGAGGTGAAATCTAGTCTTAAAATTGCAACTTTTCTGTCTAGTTAAAAAGGCTTTAGCATTTGAAACCTATACTCTTTTAGAAAATGACCTATTTAAAATAATGCTGTATGTACCTATTGTTCTCATATTAAAGTCCTGCATAATATTAAAATATTAGTCTAAAATTTATGCATTTTCTTTCAAGGAACTTAAAATAATAGTGACCAAATCAGATTAGCAACTGGCTATTCTCACTCATCCTTGTTAGACAGATCAGAGATCCTTAGGTGTAATTTCTAATGATGCTGATAGAGCTAATGATGCTTCTTGATATCATTTGGCATATTATAGGCAGCTTCCATTCAAGAGTTATTTTGAGAAACATGAGAGACAAATGTCTAGGCAGGTTGTGTGGTATGTGTGTACATAAGTGGTGCATGGCAGAGATCCAAGTGTGATTACCCTGAATGCCAATAACTACAAGTTTCTTTTTGCCCTTCCTGAAATGAACCTGGAATTTCAAATGAGCAGGTTGCACTGGTTCCTGAATAGGAAAAGGTATATTCAGAAATGTAGATCCCACTATAGAATAATTAGAAAACAAGCCTTTGCTTTACCTGAATAGATGCAAACAAACGTCCCTCTGTCGATGTCATCTAAGCAGCGTACACCCCATCCCTTCTTCTCAGTTTTGAACACCTGTAGCCTCACTTGAGGACCGTGTTGGACAACTCGGTTTTGACACATTTGTCTATTACACTTGCACATTAAGCTGCATTCATAAATGCTGTCAACAAAATATGTAAAAGAGAAAATCAGTAAGATCCCCAAGAAGCAAAAAGCAATTTATACTGCTACTTTCCTGGCACTGAAGGAAGCAGATTATGAAAATTCTTTTTTTTAAATTATTTTTAACAGTAGATGGAAACAATACCTTTATTTATTTTTTAAATTGTGTTGAGGATCAAACCCAGGGCCTTACATGTGCTAGGCAAGCATTCTATCTCTGAGTTACAATCCCAGCCCTGAAAATTCTTAGTGCTAGACTACCCATCATACCTTTTGCTTTTATCAGCTGTGGGTTCATTTTGTTTTTTCATTTTAAAAATGGGGATTATAAGGGTTGGGGTTGTGGCTCAGTGGTAGAGTGCTTGCCTAGCATGTGTGAGACAATGGGTTTGAATCCTCAGCACCACATAAAAATAAATAAAATGAAGATTAAAAAAAAAGGGAAGAATCCTTAAAAAAAATGGGGATTATACAATAGTAGTTACACATTGAGCTGTTTCATGAATATAAATAAGTCAGATGCCTGGCAAATTAATTTTAGTTTTTTAAAAATGTCTAGGAGTTAAATTCTTCTTTTCTGTTCTAAAGATATTATTTGGTAATATCAACCTTGAAAATTCCTAATTCTCAGAGAGCTCTGCCCAGTATATTTGTTAATGGGGAAATGGCCACCCAAAGTAGGCTGATCCTAAGAGGGTTAAGAGCCAGACTTGATGCAGATTAGTGTTTGAGTATACTCTGCATGATAACTATGTGGTCTCTGACTTTCATTTTCAAAAACACTGTATAGGCGTTTTCTGAATTATTAAACCATAATAATTTAGATTTTGGGTATTAAAAACAGATTAAAACAGTATCTGTAAGACTGTTGACCACAATAAAAAAGTACCCACCTTCACAGATATAAACACCCTGCAACAAATCCTCAAGGTATCTTACCCAGTAGGTATTTGTCTCTGTAGCCTTTTATACTTATATCCAGTGGTAATTTTATTACTTAACAAAGGACAACTTTTGGCATTCCTTGCTGTCAGCTGGAGACATGCACATTTTGTTCTAAAAGGAAGGCAATGGATGAAAAAATAAGAATCAAAAACATCAAGTTAAGAGACTATCGTGATAAAAGTATAAATGATGAAATAAAGAATATAAAGAATATCATTGTATTTAGAATAGTTATTTGATTAATGGACTACATGAGACTTCTTTAACTTTTCAAAATGAAATCATCTCTTATTCAGCAGAAACCCGTTAGTGAATATTCTGTTACTCTGTTTTTCTACAATAGATAATCTTAGATGTGTCAAATTCACAGAATCACAGTTTTGCAGATGTCCTAAATTCTTTCTCACTCCAGTGACATAAAAGCATATTGGAGACTTATGTCAAACATCTGGCTACTAGAATCCTATTTTCAAATTGATGTTAGGCACCTGTAACCATAAAATTGAATCCACGTATTTCCTCCCCACATACCTATTAAGATTAACTTTTCCTCTATAAATCTCTTCTGTTTTTTTTTAATATTTATTTTTCAGTTTTCGGCGGACACAACATCTTTATTTTTATGTGGTGCTGAGGATTGAACCCAGCGTCCCGTGCATGCCAGGCAAGCGCGTTACCGCTTGAGCCACATCCCCAGCCCTCTTCTGTATTTTTTATATATAACAAAATTACATTATCAAAATGGTGACTGCTATTTGCAATAGGAGAAAATAGTAAATTCATTAAGTTGGATTCTGTTTATGGATGTAAAAATCCAGCTTTTTTTCAATGTGATTTTGTTTATAAAATATATGAAGTTCAGAAAAACACAAATAACATTCATATTTTTATCACTCAGAATTAGTTGTCAGTGTTTTGTTTACACCTTCTTTTTTTTCCTATGCAATTTAAAACACAGATACCAATATATGAAAAAAATACATTGCTGATAAAACTAAAGCTTCAAGAGATTTGATGTGGCATCCTAGATAATTTTATATACACATGTATAAACCAACAACATACTGTATTGCTTTCCATGTTTAAAAATTTACTACAGGTATTACATTATAACTTGCTTTCTGTTCAACATAGTGTTTCTGAGATTCATCTGTAATATATAAAAATGTGGTTAATTCCTTTTAAGTTTTCTATTTAGCTATTGCTCACCTGGTTTATTATTAAGTAGCTTACAGATTTTCAGTAAACAATGTTGCAATGAGCATCCCTATTTTTATGCACATGTGTAAGCATCTTAAAGGTAATGGCTTTCAAATATTTTTGACTGTGAACCACAGTGAAAAATACATTTGCTTCATGATCTTGTATAGGCATATATACATATTTATATGTAAGTATATAAATTGAAACAGTGGCATGAAACGTTACCCTTATTATATGTGATTTAATTGGATATTTTCTATTGTATTTAATTTGAAATATGCTAATTATAACATACAAATAGTTAAATAATTTTACATTCCACTAACCCTCTTGTTTGGACAACAATGCTGTAGACCTACCTAAAAATACTGGTGCTATAAACTGTAGATATACATGTCTTCAACTGCTGTGTAACTGGGAAAAAAAAATCACCCCTTGAAATAACTAGCTAGGTACAGAATACTAATTTTGCGTTCATTTTCCTTCAGCACTTTAAACTGAACCCCCAGTCTTCCATTATTTCTGATAAAAATAAGTTGTCAGTATGTTTGTTTTTCTTTTGTAGGAAATCAACTTTTTCTATCTGATAGCTTTTGAGATCTACTCTACCCAGATATTTTAAAAGTTGAATCATGATATATTTAGATATATATTTATCTTTTTTTCCCTTCTTCATGCAGAGTTGGCCTTTTCAATCTGATTCTCATCCTTCTGCAATTATAGAGAACTCTCAGAGATTATCTTTTTGAAAGTTTCATCTTTTTAATTTTTCTTCTTGGATGTATAAAGGAATTTCTCATTTTATTTTATTTTTTTTGCAGTACTGAGGATTGAACCAGGGACTAATATGTGCTAGGCAAGTGCTCAACCAATGAGCTATACCTCCAGCCTCCTGCATTTCTTTTCTTTTCTTTTTTTGGGGGGTAGGGGTACTGGGGATTGAACTCAGGGGCACTCAACCACTGAGCCACATCCTGCATTTTTTTTGAGACAAGCCTCAAACTTGTGATCCTCCTGCCTCAGCCTCTTAAGTCACTGGGATTGATTACAGGTGTGTGCCACCATGACTGGACCTAAAATAAACAAACAAACAAACAAACAAATAAATAAATAAATATAAACTGAATAAACTCAGGACAGTGAAGGGTCTTCTCTACAAGAGGCTTAAAGGAACTGAGATAAACTGAGGTTAACAGCACATTTGTATCTCTCATTTCATATTGCAACTGAGAGGATGATGAAAACTATTATCTACATTATAGTAGGCCTTTCCTTTTCCATGGTTTCAGTTTCTGCAGTTTCCATTACCTATGGTCAACCACTGTCTGAAAGTATAAATTGGAAAATCCCAGAAATAAATAATTTATAAGTTTTAAATTACGTGCTGTTCTAAGCAGTGGGATGAAATCTCATACTGTCCCACTGGATCCCACCTGGAATGTGAATCATCCCTTTGTCATGCTGCGTACTCTACCTGCCTATTAGTCACTCTTGGAAATCCTATAGACTGTCATGGCATCACACTGTTTATGTTCAAGTAATCCATATTTTACTTAATTATGGCCCTAAAACACGTGAGTAGGAATGGAAAAGAGGCACTAGAGCAAAAACCTTGGAAAGACAGATTAACTTTGTTACTATGTGGTAATCCTGCAGAGCATATGGGGGAAAAAACAATTTATGCAGGGTTCAGTACTATCAAAGGATTCAAGCATCCACTGGTGGTCTCTGACCATACCCATCCTGAAATAGGAGGGAGAAAATATATTTAAATTATTTCTTTTTCTCTTTGTTTTGCCTAGTACAAGTAGCTAAATTCGCATTAAGTTAAATGTACATATAACACAACTCCACTTCTTATTTGTGTACCCTCAAATGTATGTACATTGCATACCCTTAAAATATTTCTTGAAAATTCAATGTATTAGAACATGATTTCAATTTTTATGGACTATCAATACTGTGAGCAAAGAATACTAGTTACAAGCACCATTAATTTGCTAAAAAGCCAGAAAATGATTTTTATTTATTTATTTATTTTTTTAAAGAGAGAGTGTGAGAGAGAGAGAGAGAGAATTTTTTTTAATATTTATTTTTTAGTTTTTGGCGGACACAACATCTTTGTTTGTATGTGGTGCTGAGGATCGAACCTGGGCCACACGCATGCCAGGCGAGCGCGCTACCGCTTGAGCCACATCCCCAGCCCCAGAAAATGATTTTTTAAAATGACTTATAAAAGTAAAATATAACATAGTAGTTAAGAACATGAGTTTTGCTGGGTACAGTGGCACCCACCTATAATCCCAGTGGCTCAGGAGGCTGAGGCATGAGGTTGCAAGTTCAAAGCCAGACTCAGCAATGGTGAGGTGCTAAGCAACTCAGTGAGCTTAGTCTGTCTCTAAATAAAATATAAAATAGAGCTGGGCATGTGGCTTAGTGGTGGAGTGTCCCCGAGTTCAATCCCTGGTACCCACTGCCCTGCCAAAAAAAGAGCATGAGTTCTAGCTCAGAGTGATGAGAAGACCTGTAATTACAGCTCCTTGGGAAACTGAGGTAGAAGGATTGCTTAAGCCCAGTTTAAGACTAGCCAGGGCAAACAATGACATTCTATCTCAAAAAAAAACCCAAATAAACATGGGTTCCAATTCTAATTGTTTAATTTGTTTGCCCTATGATGTCTCTGAAATGACTTCTCTGAGATTCAACTTCCTCATTTGTAACATGGAGATAATATTACCAACCTCATGGGTTTTGGTGATGAGGACATAAGAAAAGGACTTTGTGACAGTGTCTGGTTCTGATAAACAGCAATGTAACTGCTATCATTATGATTATGATACTAGATTAAAGAAAATACTCATTCTCAGAAGGAATAATTTTCAAATTACTATACCTGGCAGTTTTTCCTTTCTTATAGCTACTGAGGAAGTACAACTTTCTATTTTAGACTCTTGGTAAACAGGATTTAGATAGACAAACTGATACACAGTAGAACTTCATGAAAAATGTCCCTATATTCAAATTTTGAAATGTCACATTTTTCTACTCACATGTCTATGCAGCCTTCAGAACAGTCACATGAATCAGTGAACATGTCGGAAAAGTTGTTTAGATAATATGTTCGTGGCCATATAGTCTTTCTGTACTTAAATTGTGGAAGTTTTCTACTATCAATTTCATTACAGAAAGAAATAGGTACTGATTCCACTCCATTGCTAATATCCACATCAGAAACATTTTCTTCTTGCTTTGGGTAATTCCGAGTCAACTGAACATAGGTATTGAAAGAAAAGTTGTCTGTAAATAAAAAGTTACACTCTGTTTCAAGTAGGTAACGAAAGACTTCTTCCACATTTCGTAGACTTCTTCCACAAGGAGTTTTATAACTCACGTGGAGTGATGAAGAATGAGAATTTGTCTTTGCATGTCGTCTTTGGAAGTGACACTTGATTGGTAGCTGTAGAGGGTTTTCTCCCTTGAAAGGCGGTGGTGTTTTCATCAGACAGGCACCAGAACAACCATGACTTTGATAAGATAAATTCAAAGATGACTTTTCCCCCCTAAAGTCTATAACTTTATTTTCCAGAGGGAGAATTTCCTTGTTTTCTGTAGATCTGTTAAAATAAATTATTTATTGGTATCTCAAATTTACAGTTCAATTCCACGTTTAAAAAAACACTGCACACTGGACTGGAGCTATAGCTCAGTGGTAAGCGTTTGCCTCAATCGTGTGAGGCCCTGGGTTTGATGCTTAGTACCACATACATACATACATACATACATAATACATACACACACACATAAATAAAAATAAAGATGCTGTGTAAATCTACAACTAATTTTTTTTCCTTTAAATAATAATAAAAAACTGCACACTAATATAATAAGTAGTTACTATTATGTCTTGGATGGTAGTAAAATAAGCCAGACTGTGAAATAAACATTTTCACATGTTCTGCAGCCATTTAAAGATTGTACCTAATTCTGGAATATTGTACAGCACTGAATCAGTGGTACAGCATTTGGCTGGCATATGTAAGGCCCTGGATTTCATTCCCAGCAGCACAAGGAAAAATCTTAGAATTTAAAAAGCCAACACTAGGTGTTGAGTCAGGTGAGAAAAGTCCAAATTAACCAAGTTTTCCTTTTGGATAAGATTTTTAATAAGTTTTAAGGTTTTGGAAATGCTACTGAATACTACAGCAGTGAATTTTGATTTCTCATGACAACCTTATGAGAGAAATGTAGGTAGGACAAGAGTAGAGGAAAGTAAATTCACAACTGAACAGGTTTTTTTTGAACAGTAAGAAGAGGTGTGTGGATTAGAGAGGAAGCAAAAAGGTTTGTCTTTGGTTATATACTATTAAATATTTTCAGTGATCACAATAAAGACTAGAAAATTTTAATTCATTTGTACAAGATGATAAGCTAGAAAGAACATACATAAAACATTATAGACAGGAGATCTAAAATTTAAAAACATTGTGATGAGTTATTAAAATGAACTTAAGAAGTGACGTTTATCATGAATAAACCAAATCCTGCATTTATATATTACTGCCTTAATTAAAATACTACTGTCTAAGCATAAAATGTGAGATAGTTTGTTGGGTAAAAGTTTGCATGAAAAAGAATCTTGGCTGGGCACGGTGGTGCAAGCCTATAATCCCAATGGTGGGAGGCTGAGGCAGGAGGATCTGGAGTTCAAAGCCAGCTTCAGCAACTTAGTAAGGCCCTAAGCAACTCAGTGAAATTCTATCTCTAAACAAAATATAAAAAAGGGCTGGGGATGTGGCTCAGAGGTAAAATGCTACTGGTTTCAATCCCTGGTCCCAAAAAAGAACAAACAAAACAAAACAAAACAAAACCCAAACCAAAAAATTAATATTTTAGTGATTTAGAGTGATCAACTCAAATTTTGTATTTAAAAAAAGAAAAATAAATTCCAAATTAACAATGGGGGGAGCTTAATTTAATATTTAATAAAATTAAGGCATTGACTTAAGAACTTTAAAGATGTGGTCTTGTTTTTTCAAATTATGTTCTTTACTCTAGAGGAAAATACTTTCACAGATTACCCTTTGGTAGTGCTTGAAGGTTTTGGTGCCGAAAATACCTACTAAAGATAAACAATGGGGCTGGGGATGTGGCTCAAGCGGTAGCGCGCTCGCCTGGCATGCGTGCGGCCCGGGTTCGATCCTCAGCACCACATACAAACAAAGATGCTGTACCCACCGATAACTAAATAATAAATATTAAAATTCTCTCTCTCTCTACCTCTCTCTACCTCTCTCTTTAAAAAAAAAAAAAAGATAAACAATGAATATCAGAGTGTCAGATTTATTCTTGTACAATTATCACTTATGCTAGAAATGTTTACTGAAATTAGAGATAAGAGTAAAAAGGAAGGTCACAAAAATTTAGCCTATTCCCCAAAACTTTTTGACACTACTTTCTTTTTAGAACTGTTAAATTGCATTTAAAAAACTGAACTCAACCAAACACAGTGGCGCACACCTATATTCTCAGAGGTTGAGGTAGGAGGATCTTGAGTTCAAAGCCAGCCTTGGTAACTTAGAGAGACCCTAAGCAGTTCAGCAAGACCCTGTCTCTAAATAAAAAATGGCTGCAGATGTAGCTTAGTGGTTAAGTGCTACCCTCCCTACTACCAAAACAAACAATGACCCCTTTTGATACTCTAAATAATTTAGCTATGTAAAAAAAACAAAACAAAAACTAAATGATCCAAAACCAATGCCAACTTGATTTCAGTGTATTAATAAAATACAGATACATTTTAAGCAAAATTTTGTAAGACTGGAATACCACGGATATTAAATAAATAACCTGTTAAGAGACTCATGAAACTTCAAAACCTACATAAAATATTAAAATCTGCAACATTTAAAGTTTTATAGAAAAAAAACCTTATTATTATATATTTTATCTATTCTATGGAAAAGCATTAAGAAATTAATTTATATACATACAGAAATGTACAGTCCGGTGAGAAGAAGTTTTCATATGATGTAGAGGAAAACACATCTGATTTGTTTTCTAGTTCATTCCAAGTCACAGGCTTATGATCTACATGAAAAAAGTACAAATGCAAGCAACAATTATACCAACTTAAAAATCATTCACTAAAATTCCAAATAATCTCTCATCAAATAGAAATTTTGCCCATATAGAACCCTAAAATTTGCAAACATTATGATTTCAAGATTGCAAGGCAGGATGTAGTGGCACATGCTTGTAATCCTGGTGGCTCAGTAGGCTCAGGCAAGAGTCAGCATCAGCAACTAGCAAGGTGCTAAGCAACTCAATGAGACTCTGCTCTAAATAAAATACAAAATAGGGCTGGGGATGTAGCTCAGTGATTGAGTGCCACTGAGATCAATTCCTGATACCCCAAGCCCACCCCCCCAAAAAAAAAATGAGCCAAAAGATTAGGTATAATTTTTAGAAGTGTTAAGAAAATAACATAGGATAAATTTTAAAACTTAGAAGATTTCTTCTGAAGAAATTAATTAATGGACTGGAGCTATAGCTCAGTGGCACTTGCCTAGCATGTGTGAGGCACTGGGTTTGATCCTTAGCACATAAAAATAGAGGGTTGAAAAAATAAATCTTAAAGAAACTAGTTTGGCTTAATTTGATCTGACTTTTAATCAACTTTAATATGAACATCAAGTATCCCTGCATCTACCTATATTTTACAGAAAGTAGCATAGCTCTTCAAGGCTTATAGAAGATCACAAAGTGGAAAATGTATACATCCTTTGTCTTTTCATTATTCTACAACTATCTGTTTTGTGGAAGCAGAGGTTGAAGTATTTGGTTGTTTCTTTTAACATTTCTTCATACATATTTTTACAATTAATTCTATCTCATTTTTTTTACAGGGGGAGGGCAGTGCTGCAGATTAAACCCTGGACTTGCACATGCTAGATAAGTACTCTATTTCCCCCTAATTTCTATACTTCATAAGCTTACCCTCTAACGTGTCTATAATATACAAATAAAGATGTACATTTGTTGACAAAAAGCTATAGATTCCCTGTTCATATTCTGTAAAGTGAGTATGTGGGCTATTCTTTGGCTTAAAAACTTTTCTTGAGCTTGGGATATAGCTCAAGTCTGTAGAGTGCTTGCTTTGCATGCACAAGGCCCTGGGTTCAATCCCTAGTACCACCAAAAAAAAAAAAAAAAGTAAACATTTTTCTTAATGTGGTTTTTCCTATGCACAAATGGACTGTAAGGAAAAAAGTATCTTGTCCTAGACTGTTAACTTGCTGTTATAGAAAAAAATTAATCAGCTGGATAAAGTAGCACCTCCTGAAATTCCTGCAACTTGGAAGGCTGAGGCAGGAGAATTACAAGTTTGAGGCCAGCCTCAGAAATTTGGCAAGAGCTATCTCAAAATTTTAAAAAGGCTGGATGGGTAGCTTAGTGATAGAGTATCCCTGGGTTCAATGATACACGCTGAAGCACCATAAAATGTTCTATTTATGACCCACTGAGATCCGCATAAGGACCATTGCAGTGTGATTTTTCCAGTGAGGGAGGGAAAGTAGGCTCAGTTCAGAATATAGTATGGGCAAATGGGAATTAATAATCAAGGATCAGGATGGAATCAATGGACGGAAAATTACCAAGAGGAAACATAAAGCATCTAAAGAGGATTCTGAATAAACCAACCCAACAGGATTCTTGATGAAAACAGGCCAGTGGTCACATATCACAGAGATGGTGGGAGATGAGGAACCTAATTAAATAATGAGGGTGATTAAATATCAAGAATGGGGGCAAGCTCTTGTTAAAACTATATTTTTAAGAAGTAAAATATGGGCCAAGGAGAAGGTTCTCGTGCCTAACTGAAGTTTGATTAAGTAGTTCTTTAGTCTTACTAAAAACAACAGCAATAAAAATTTAAAATAATATCTAAAGTTAAACTCCAAGGCTTCTCCTTGGCTTACTGGAAAACAAATATCCCATTTTAATGGTCAAGGTAAAGAAAAAAGCTGAAAAAATATGACAGCCAAAGAAATCCATAATAACTGACTAGAAATTAAATAATTTTACAAGTTAAGGATTTCTGATTTTTTCCTCAAATAATTTCTTTATAAAAGCTACATAAATCATATTAGCAAATACAAATGAAACAAACATATATTCATAGCTGAAGTAGAAGTTAATGAAAACATGGAGATTTAAAATTAATCATTAAATGAGGAAGTAAAGGGAAATAATTCAAGGAAAACAGTATCTAATCTTTTTATGGGGACACTGCCAAAATATATAGTTATATAGAAGCAAAAACATAAAGGTGATTGGTGGTTTATTAAGGAGTCTAGGGAGTCCAGGTTCAATCCCAGATGGCTTATTATGACTCTTGACACCAAGTTCTTTTGTTTCTCTCAGTCTCAGTATTTTTCAAAAAAATAAATGCTAGCATGAAACATCTATTATCACCAAGTTTTTAATACTTTTATAAGCTAACAATGTAAATTACATAACTCTTCCCTAAACATTTCTCCGCCATTAATAAACAGGTTACATTTCAGAATAACTAACTATATAAAAAATGCAATTATAATATTTGGTATTTCTACTGATGAAATTATTGATTTAAAAGACCCCAAACAAAAATTCAATTTATTTTTACCAGAAAATAAGTTGTTTCAGAGGGAAAAAATGGTTTACTATTAGTTTCTTGTTATCATCTCCTGCATTTAAAAGCTTCTCCCTTACAAAATTAATATAATTCCTTAAGGTACGTTGATTCTGAAAGGGTCTGGATGTACCACAGTGACACAGAAAATACTTTGAGCTAAAAACATTTGAGAATCAATGAATGCAGTAAGAGGCTTTCTCTGAAATCCTCTTAAACTGTCTACACACACGTTCTCCAAAACAAAAATGAACAGATCCATTAAGTTATCATAATTCACAGGAGTTGTACCAACCAAGAATACATCACAAGAGAGCAGAGAAAAGGTGGCACTATATCCAGACAGACATTGTTACAAATGATCATATCTCCCATCTACTCTCCTCAGGGCCCATTTACCTTTCAAATGACTTTTATAAGTCATTTGTACTTCCCTAAGTGTCTCTTCTCCTTCCCACCCACTTTTTTTGGGGGAGTGGGTACTAGGGTTGAACTCAGGAGCACTCTACCACTGAGCCACATTTCTAGCCCTATTTTGTGTTTTATTTACAGCAGTGTCTCACCGAGTTGCTTAGCACCTCACCATTGCTGAGGCTTGCTTTGAACTCGCAATCCCCTCCTGTCTCACCCTCTAGAGCCACTGGGATTACAGAAGTGTGCCACCATGCCTGGTTCCTCCCACCCACTTCTAATAAGTCATTTCCCTCACTCTTACCTTTCCCCTATTATGATGGCATAATAAGCTCTCAAATCTCACTGCTGTTTTGGGTAGCCACTTCTTTCTTTCTTTCTTTCTTTGTTTTCTTAAGGTACCAGGGATTGAACTCAGGGCACTCAACCACGAAGCCACATGGCCAGCGCTATTTTTGTATTTTTTTTAACTATTTTTTTTAGTTGTAGATGGACACAGTATCTTTATTTTATTATGTGGTGCTGAGAACCCAGTGCCTCACGCATGCAAGGCAAGTGTTCAACCACTGAGCTACAATCCCAGTCCCTGTATTTTATTTAGAGACAGGGTATCACTGAGTTGCTTTGCGCCTTGCTTTCGCTGAGGCTGGCTTTGATCTCTCCATCCTCCTGTCTCAGCCTCCTGAGCCTTTTTTCCTGTTAATTTGATATTTGCCAGTTTAATACACAGCTCCCATGTAGGCACTGAGATAAAAAGATTTTCCTCCCCTATGAATCCAAATATTATTGAAGGATACTGTGAAAGGAGGATATTTTCTTTAAGAACCTATTCTCCCAAAATGATATTTTTAGCTATCTGAAATTGTGAATACTTAAGAAAAACAAAAAGGGTCTTTAAAACAGACCAGTGATGTTGGACTACATTTTCAGAGACTTAAAGGTCTTAAGGCTCCTTAACAGTGAAACAAAAATAAATTTTTCTAATAATACCCAGCAGTATTAAAATCCAGTAAATGTTGTACTTTCTCAACATTTTAGCAAATTTGTGATAAAGATTTATAAAATGGGGCTGTGATAAACTAAGATTTATGGAATAGTAATTCTGATAAAAGTAACTTTTTTTCTAGTCTTAGTACATGTTGTTATACAACAAAAAGTATATATTTGATCTGCCCCAGTTCCTAACAAGATTCCTAAACCCTTGTATACCTTAAGCATAGGGTGATAGAGCACTTCTGTTTTAATAGTTGCTCTTAGTTCCTGGTTCCTGACACAGGAGCTTCTAAAACCCTGGAAATCTCCAGTGATGAGTGTCTTTTGAATGCTGATAAGATGACTGGTGACTGCAGTCCCTGGAGAGCTTTAGGATGATGGCTGGTCTTCAGAAAGACCAAAGCACAATTACAGAGTTGGAACTTTCAGCCCTCAGTACTTTTGCTTTCCTTTTCCAGGGAGTGTAGAGGGGCAAGAGATTGAGTCAACCACCAAAGACCAATAATCCAATCATTTGTGAATATGTAATCAGACCTCCATAAAACTCCTAAATAATGGGGTCTGGAGAATTTTCAGATTGATGAAAGCATCCGCATGCTAGCGGGGTGGTACACCTCATAACTCCACTGATGCACTTGGTGTCTTTCCAGACTGGACCTTGCCCTATGGAACTCTTCATCTGGGTGTTCATTTGTATCCTTTACAATAAACTGGTATAAGTAAAACATTTTCCTGAATTCCATGAGTCATTACAGCAAAATTACTGAACCTAAGGAGAAAACTGTTGTGAGGACCCCTGATCTGTAGCCAAGTCAGTAGTCAAATCAGTCAGAAGCATTTGTGAATGGCATTTAAAGTAGGGGGCAAATCTTGTGGGGCTCAGCCTTTATCCTGTGCAATCTGCACTAACTCTTGACAGTATCAGAAATCAATTAAATTGTAGGACATCTTATTAGTGTCCACAGAACATGGGGCAATTATGTGGTATGGAAAACACACACATTTGGAATCAGAGTGTTGGGAATACAGAAACAGTTTTCCTTTATGTTTTCTTTGATTCTTCTAAACTGAATTTGTTTAGAGCTTTGAAGACTGATTGTCTCATACCAATTTAGAAATTAAAAATTTATCCACTGACTCACCTATACCAGAATATGCCTTTCCAGTAGTATTCTTCACAGAAAGCAGGTTTATAGTGACTTAGAGTCTCAGAATTTTATTTGCCTTCCCTATCTACATATGGGTAAGATTTTTCATTTAAAAGAGGAAACTGATTTTAGCAATGTGAATCTTTTACTTTAATTAACCTGACATAAAGGTGGCCTGTTTCATGGCAAGAAAATACCAGAGAATATTCCAGGATTAGGATAAGAAAAGTACATACCCTCGATTAATGTTGAATTGTTACTTACAGTGGCTTCATTCACTAAAATCATTGCTTGTATATATTCTGTCGAGGAGGGGAAAAAGGAATGAAAATAATCAGCATCATCCTCACCTTTATTCACAACACCAGCAATTATGTTGAAAATTTACATACTTTATCTCATTTAACCTCACAACTCTCCTTAGTGGTTATTTTTTTTTGGGGGGGGTGGGGACTGGGGATTGAACTCAAGAGTGCTTAACCACTGAGCCACATCTCAGCACTTTTTATTTTGAGATCATCTCACTTAGCTATTAGAGGCTGGTCTTGAACTTGTGGTCTTCCTGAGTAAGCCTCCCAAATTGCTGGGCTAAAGGCATGTGCCAGCATACCCAGTCTAAGTGGTTCTTATAATTACATGCATTAGAGACAAAGAAACTGAGGCTCATGGACTAAGCTATTTATTCTAGGTCATACAGCTAGAGGTGGTGGAAATGGATTCAAATGTACATTTATCTGACTTATGAAGGCTTGAAAAGGAATATTAAAACAGTACTATGTTGTTTTTACTAATACATAATAGTAAATGTACATTAATAGTAAATAAATGTCTTAAGAACAGAAATGTCACCAGAAAGTATTAAAAATAGTTGGGGAAATTTTTGCTTTAAAACTGTGTGTCCTGCTGGGTGCACTGGCACACACCTGTAATGCCAGCTATTAAAAATACTGAGGCAGGAAGATGGAAGTTCAAGGCCAGACTACAACTAATGAGACACTGTCTCTAAAAAAGAAAGAGTTAGCTTGATATGAGAATAAATAAATTCAAATAAATTCAGTAGTTATTTCTCATAAGTAATCAGAGTCATCCACTATTACAAAATGTCCACAGTTTTCCTAGCTTGGGGCACAAAAAAGAGCAAACAGACAAATATTAGGTTGTCAGAAAACAAACAAAAATTATTTTACTTTTAAAAAAAGGATGCTGGAAGTAGAATTACACAGTATTGCCAGTGGCAACATTAGGCATAGTGATATACCTTTATTTGTGGCAGACCTATTTTTGATCTTCTGCTTAAGTGACTGTAGCACATTTTGCACTTTTTCAAATACAAAGTCCACTTTTCCATCATCTTCCAGTTCCATCCAGAAAGTTTTTGCATCACCTAAAATAAAAATAGGTAGGTAAATAATCCCAGAGTTTAATAGAAACAGACTCATTTCCGCAGGGCATAGGTTATAGAAAAACCCACGTGGTTTCTAAATAGAATCAAATTCAATTGGTCTGTCACTTTCTTTGAGAAAAGAATTTTGGTCATCTTTCCTAATAAAAAACTAGAAACAAAGAATATGATTCAAGCGTCTCACCTGTTTCTGCTAACTTTAAAAATATATTGCAATATCAAAGTGCATAAATACATTCTACTATCATGTATAACTAATCAAAACAAATTTTTTAAAAAAGAAAACACTAAAATAAATTTCAAATACAATAACTGTTAATGACATTCTTTCTGGGTTAAAGGGAAAGAGTTACATTTCGTGAGTTTTTAAAAAAGTTTATGAAAACTCTCCCTTCTCCAATTTTAAGAACTATTGTCTAACTCTAATTGTAAAAGACTATCAAATAGTGTGCTTAAGAGACAATATTGTGGGGCTGAGATTGTGGCTCAGCAGCAGAGCTCTTGCCTAGCAGGGGCAAGACCCAGGTTCTATCCTCAGCTGTCTCTAAATAACAAAATAGGACTGGGAATGAGGCTGAGTGGCCTAGAGCCCCCCAG